TCGTTGCTTCTTCCACCAGTACTCAAATCAACAACAAGATCAAATTAAACAACGATCCAATAAATTAACCAATCTATACTCTTGACCATCAGATTCTAAGGCTGAGTCTAAACTCCACCAACAAGAACACCAAGGAACCAGAGAGCTGGAAGAAAAAGCAAAGAATTTCAGGAACACAGCAAGATTATCGGGAACAGATCCACGAGACAAGGGGGAATCACTTTTGGATATATCACCACTCATCTTTCCCGCATCTTCGGAAATCTCGAACATCAACAACTTGAAGAATCATCCATTCGATCACCATCAACAAACAAACAACACTTCTTATCCCTGTGTACACAACCGCGGCGCTGGAGTTACACACAACATCAACATATAATACCACCATCAGCACCCAACATCCTCAACCACAACCACCACCACAATGCAAAACGATTCAGCCATGCACTCCAACGACGGCTTCAAGGTCTTCCTCAACAAGGTGATCCGCCGCAACAGGAAGGAGGTCAAGCAGCGCGGGTCCGAGATCTCTGCTCCCTTCAACTTCCAAAAATGCAACCTTGACCTCGCCGGCATCAGCGCAGATGAGTATGTCTACAATCCTTTCTTCACCATACATCCAATGATCAACATAACTAATAAGTCTCCTCTAGAATTGCCATGCTCAAGGAACAAGCAGTCGCCAGCCGCATCGGCATCGCCGACTTCGACTCCGACTTCCCTGCCCGCCCTCTCTTCTCCATTCAGCCCATCATGTCCAGCGCCTCCATCTCCACCGTCGGCAGCTCTTACAGATAAATGGGTCTTCAGCAGTCTCATATACAACTACATCTCAACTCTCAATCTCCTTTGTCAATCAACATCACTATCACACAACTACAACATCACTACACCACACTACTACCGCCAATACCTTAATGAGAGCTGGACCTAATGGAGTTGCAACCGGAACACCCAGGCTGGTGTGGAGAAAGATCTTTTGAGCGTTTTCTTTTTCTTGAATACTAGCGACTGCATGGTACTATGATACCTGGGATGAACATTTTTAGCAAGCGATGGCGTTTATGGATGGGAATACTCATGGCGATGACTTCAAGTCATCTGCACATTTGAGAGAGAGAGAATGCTTTACTTGAAAAGAACGATACCACTAGGTACGCGAGGGAGGCTATATGCCGAGGGATCAGACTAGGAGAGCGGAGGAAGATGTCGAGACTCAAAGACCGACGATGAATCAAATAAAAATCAATCCTAACAAACAAACACCCGCTACACTTGCCCTGTCTTTGTGATGCTACGATGATCAAGCAAACTATGCTTCATGCTTACTATTATTGATACTACTGCTCGCAGGGTGTTGGACCGAGCTAGGTTGATCCATCATCATCAACATCATCATCATCATCACCCTTTACCCACAACTCGCACCTTTCATGTAGTCACGATTGTCACGTTCGTTCCCAGAATCTTGCCGTATGAAATCCGTTATCGAACCTACCTACACCATATTCAGGTTTTGGATATCAAGGATGCCACTATCCTCCTGAACGACAAACTTCCCAACACCTTTGCTTCGAGGCCTTGAGGCTGCTATTTTCCGAGTTTTACATCGATGAAGGCAGATCTCCTTCATCGCCTCCATCACCCACCGTAGACGCCTTTGCTTTCCATGGAGTCGTGATTGCCGCCCCATCGCTTCCCACACCTTGATATGTGAAAGTCACCATCGACCTTTGCAATAATGGGTAACAGATAACATGGATGCCTTCATCTTCTATTAAGAGACACTCAACTTTCACGTTGATTTCGCATCCTTCTTGTTTTCGAGCGTTTGGTCAAGGAAGGCACGCCTCCATCGTCGCCACCCTTCTCCCCAGGACTTTTACCTTGATGTGCATAATCAACCATATGTTTTCCCCCCAAAGCCTGGTTTGTGAAAGTCAATCATCGACCTTTGTAGCGTTCAAAGATGCCATTTTTTCTCACGAAGGGGGAAAAGCCCCCCTTTCTTCCTGTAAGTCTCAAACTTTCAAGGCTGGATGCCGTCATGCTGTTATTGTGATTATACAACACTTCACCTTTGCCTGGAGCTCTTAGGGGCCACATGAGTCAACGACGAGAGCTCGGTGCATTCCTCCAAAAGATACCCGTCACGATTCCATGCAAGATACCAAAGTTGATCAAGACAAGACTCTTCTGGTACATGAGAAAGTTGGTAATTTGAGGATGTCGATTTTGAGGATCAGTGGCTTTGTAGGCGAATCCGGTGGGAACCAGCATGGAGGACAAACTACCTACATGATGTGAGATACTCACCAATGTAAGATACTCACTACAAAATGACGTGATATAAGTCCTGCTCATAAATAATGTAATCGATACTCTGGCATCTGATACCACTCTTCGATCATCAATAGAATCATCCTCTTCGTGGACAAGATGCGGACGTGTAAATCATTATAATGGGAGATCAACCCGCTTTCATGTCGACCTCTAGGATTTCCAAATAGCGGCTGATAGGCTAGGCATGGGAAAAAGCATCAACGAACATGACATCTCTGTATCCTCTTCTGGTATAATCAACCATGGCACAGTGACACAGTGATGTGCTCTCAGTTGCCAAGTGCTACTGGAGTGCTGCCTACACAACCTGCATATGTACTTGAGATTATCACGCGTGGAAGAATGTCGTCATGGAGGGCTCACGTGTGCTTCCTTCTCAATATCAAGCCACACGATGTTGACATGTCCGCGTCAGACAGCCCAGCATCCCTAGATTTATGCCATAGTCCTCTTGCAAGTGGCAGCCCTGGCTCCAAGCATGCCACATCTGGTTATGCAACTTGGCCCTTTGAGAGGGAACTTGTGTCTGCCACATACGATTATGCAATGGAGTATCTGCCCCTTGTAAGAAAAGGATAGGTGCAGTGGACAGAGTTGCAACTTCATTTCCAGGGTCAGTACTCCGTAAGGGTATTGCAACTCTGCAGATACTCAGTAAGGGGTGTAATTTGTGGTTTCGTTTGTCACTCGTCAGTAACTCAACAGCGGTTGCATGTCGTCAATGCAGCAAGCTCAGCCTTGCATGATCCCTGATGCATCGTGCAACACCACGCATGTCCGTAGTCCGAGATGATCGGATTTCCTTCTCGGAGCCACTCTGCTAAATCCACAGCGGACCTGTGGCAAACAGACATGTGCAAACTGCAAACTAAAGACGATCATCCAAGTTGGGATGCTGCGTAATGAATAGCGCAATGCGTCTTCCCTGATGCTAGTTGTGCACGGCACCGCTCGCACGTAATGAAAACTGCACGCTGCGCCCCACGTGGAAAAGCGTGAAGTCAACATGTCACCTTGTCAAGACCTGGGCTGGAGTCCGCTGGACTGGGTACGGGCGTCGATCCTCCACAGCCCACACCGAGGTCCCGAGCCGACACATCTCGGTGACAGGCGGGAGGCGAAACCCCCGGACGGACGCAGGTTGCAGCGCATTAGGGGCGGGTGATGAATAAGCCGCAAATCCCCTGGTCGAGCCGTGGTGACGGCATCAGACGTGACCAGGGCAGAAACGGGAACAGGACCAGCGGACGGGTAGCTACTGAATCTCTAACCCGTCGGCGGCGGTCGGCAAACAGATGATGGAGGCACGGGGATAACTTTCGTTCAGTCCGCATCCGCGGAGGTAAGCCGGCTCAACCAGAAGCCCGTTCCTCCGAGTCTGACGTGCCTACGTTCGTGAGCATTCGGAGCCTAAAGGGTTCCAACGGCGAGTACCTGCGCATTGCGGCGCACATCACCCATGGTCATCCATGCCTGGCAGGAAGCTTGTGCCTGACCGAGATCCTGTTTTAGGATCTGTGAGACTGTGGCTCTGCGCCGTGCCGCAGAATCGATGGCGGCTCTTTTTCGTGGAGGAATGGCCTCGTGATGAGAAAGGTCATGAGGCGCCCCCACGGGTTGCGGGAAATTTAGGTGCTTGACCACGGTTACCAGGCTGTCTGCTAGATGCCTGGAAAATGCTGCCGCTTGTGTGTGCGTGCCTCGCCAATTGCGGAGGAGGGGTTCCCGGGGCGTCTCGATTTCTCGGTTTCTCGATTGTCTCGACGCGTCGCGTCTGTTAGGGCACGACATTGACAATGTCTGCCATAGTAACGACAGGGAATCTGAGAAGCTTTTACACCGCCAGGCCAGTTTTTTTTTTTTGGCCCAATATGACTCCCGCTGCCAGTTGACGAGACAATTGGCAATGAAGATCTCATCGCCATCTCCGGGCCGTGTTCGAGATTCAGAGAAATGCGGTAAGTGACCCTTGAAGCAAAGGGTCCACGGGGACTTGGAGGGGCAGATTACATTGTCAGTTTGGGCGCACCGCCATTCGTCCGCGGATGCAAGGGATGGGCGACAGGCAGGCCCAAGAGCATGGGGATCGAAAACTATGTATCCGTAGCAGGCTGGGTCTCAGATTCTCAGAAAAGGAGTCAAACCAGGGGTTGCAAGGAGGACAATTTGCCGATGCGAAAAAAGGGTCGAAATTTGATGCTGGTCCGTAGTTTGTTGTTTCTTCTTTCGTTCGTGTTGCTGGCGGCGGCGATCCATAGCTTGGTGCCAGCCCTCCCTTCACCTGAAGTCAACGGTTGTGACTGGGGAAGCTCAAGCATCGTTGGCAATGTCTGGTCACAGGTCAGAGATCTGTGTTATCCAGATGTCGTAACTGGCCAGCTGTGCCAGTCTTACCATTGAATGATAACTCCAGCCACGATCATCGATATAGAAAACAGGAGACGATAGGAGCTGAGCAAAGGGTCCGCCTCAGCTATCACGGCCCCTGGATAATGGATTTGGTGTTGAAAATTTTGCGTGCGAGGATGGGAATTTGGTGGTGAATCACCAATGGGTACGACTAGCAGACGCTACCGGCGGGGAAGTACCGGAACAGGGGGAGGCAAGTGTGGACTGTGCAGAGTTGTGCAGCCAGTGGCGGGCGAAACATAGCAATGGGTGGGAACGGAATGGAAAGGCGGGGCTGGAGGCAGCTTCCCGACAGGACGGAACTGAGCACTTGGTCCTTCCCTGAGTGGCTCCCGAGTGGAGGCAGGAAGGGCTCCCCGACCATCCCGCGCCTTCCGGCTTCTCCCAGCATTACACCGGCTCTGATTGGCCACAGCTCGGGTACCATCTATTCGCGTCCACGACCTTCCAACTTGGCTCAGCTAGGGGAGGAGCAGGTATCTCGTACCTTCTATCCGGACAAACTCATGTCAATTGGACAGCCCCGGGGAAATATTGGAGATGGACCATATGCATTTCTGTCAAAAGTTCAAAACGTCTCCAGCCTTGAAGCGGCCCCACGCAACCCAGTGCACTGGTGCCGGTTTCTTCTCGCAGAAGGGGGGCCATTGGGTGGAAGACATCAAGGAGTCATCGGCCTGATTTGGCAATCGCCTGGACTCGTGAGCCCTGGGAGGCCCCCTTTGGCCAGCCCCTGGGATGCAAGCCCCAAATTTCCCCGTGTTTTTGGTGGTCGTGTGCGTTCAGGCGTTGGACAAATTGACGTTCCAGCGCAGCTTTAGACCGTTTCTTAGTACGAATATAGCTGGGCCTCTTTGATGCGCAGCGATGATCAATCAATCTCGCGTCCTCAGGCGGCAGGTCAGAGTCGTCATCTCGCTGCGGGAACCATTTTGGAAAGCCGAGGGAGGTGAGGGGCCGAGAGTGAACTTGTGACCGAACGGGCTTTTCAAACTTGCGACAGCTAAGTATCTTTTGCGCCTTTGACACCTCCAGTATCCGTACGAATACCTATGCCACGCTTAGTCGGCCTCGGAGCGTATACTAGACGTATCCGTCCCGTCTCCGACTTCATCTCATACCGTATTCTACACGTCGTCACCTGTCAACTTCCAAGGCATAGGACAATGGGAGGAAGAGGCAGATCTCGGGAAGAATTGGACATTGAGGCTACCTACCTTTCTGCCCATCCCCTTTCTCAGTATCTGTCTCGATATCGTAGCCAGCGTGCCAGATCACAGGTAGGTATCCGTAGATGTACTGTCAGTGTCAGGGCCCCATTCCAATCAACCAGCATTGCTTTTTCAATGCTTGGTCCGGATACTCAAGTACGAACAAGGGAGTGAGCCACAGCAAAACGAGGCTAGAGAGCGTGGCCAGCCACTCAGAGGTCGCAAACAGTTCGGGGTTTGCTGCCTGAGTCATTACTGTCAAGGAGTAGCCACAATGTATCCACCCATAGAAAATGGCAGCTAACAAGTCACCGAAAGAACATTGGAGCCTTGGAACCAGGAAAGTTGGAAGGAGCTACTCGCCCGGACGGACACAACGGCCTTAGTAATTAAAGTTCCCGAATCCACCCTTGGCCGTCACGTACCCGCACCTCTCCCGCCAGCGCGCAACATGACTGGACGAGGCCGGCACAGTCCATGCGACAGCTCCGAATCCACGCGAACAAGTTCCCCAGTCTTTTGCGCATATTCTTGTGTGTGTGTGTTTTTCCAAGTTCTCTCGAGTCTTGTCTGTCTCTGCTCCATGTTCCTCAATGCCAGACTGTCAGTGAGACTCAACGCAAAGTCCCTCGCCTTCGCCTTGCTTCCTTTCCCCTGGCCTGCCACTCGCCCTTGTCTAGCGTGCCCGTAGCTGGCCCCCCTTCTGTTCCATTCTCCATTCCTTCCAGAGTCTGAAAGAGACAGCCGTGACGGGCGAAGGAGGGAATCGAGAGCCGTGGCCGGTGGGCGATCCGTATTAGCTCCAGCTGAGGTGGCAGAAGCATCAAAGTATCTACCACATTGACAGCTGCAACACTCACACTGTAAACCGCCAAAAGTGACTTGCATCGGTTGTAGTACGCCTCATCGACTCTCCATCCGATCTCAAACGTGCTCCCGTTCTCTCCCATTTTCCATTCCCAGGTCCATTCCCACTCCCACCTCCCTACCGATCGGTATACCCTGCTTTTTTTTTTTTCCCTTGCGGCCACCATACCTAGACATTTGGTACGCAGTGGCAGTATCCGTACGGGTAGTCACCAAATCTATCGGCGCCTCAGACTAATACTTCTACCTCAGGCCCCCTCCCGTCATCATTCTGCTTCCTTCCCTCTTCTTGCTTCTCAGTACCCAATCCAATAACCCTTTTTTAATCAGATCGCGCGTTTATTTGGCGGCTACAGTGCTGTCAAATGAACCTGCAACGGACTCTTCACATTTCCCTATGTAAGTCGTCACCACTCAATGATCCCGGCGGCTGTCTGAGTCGCCCATGCCGTTATCCCCGTTCGCCCGGCTTTTTTTTTTTTTTTGGGCTGTGGCAAAACATCCCCAACCGCGCGCAGCTTCCTCCAAGAAACGGAGGAAAAAAAACATGTGTCATCTGAACACGCGGAAAGCACAGCGCAAATCTTGTCGATCACCGTTTATGCAGCATCAACTCCAGAGGAAACCGCAAACTGACATTCCTTGCCATACAGAATTCCCCCCTCCGCCGCGTCTTCTAAATGCCCACCATCTACTCCTCCCTGTACCAGAATTTCATCCGTCAAGGATTCGCAAAGTCATTCACCCACGGTTACGCCCAGTCCGTCGTAGCTGCCACACATCCCATCCTCAACACACAAAACCGACCTTCATTTGCGCGCCGGAACACCAACCGCTTCGGTCGCCTTCAGTCTCTCCAGCTTCAGTCCGCTTTCCACACCGCCGAGCGGACAAGTGCTGGTCTCCCCCAGCACCACCACGAGAAGCTCGACGAGAAGCTTAAGCATGGAAGTTTAGACGCCTACTTCGAGGCGCTGCAGGAGCAGCAGGCCTCCGAAGAGGATCTCGACAAGGAATGGACTCAGTTTCAGTTCCAGCGTCAGATTGAGTGGAAGCCTTCACCTGCTTCCATTCTTGTTGGCGAGTCAAAGACTTACGATGCCGAGGAGCACGCCGCCGCTCAAGATGGGGAAACATCGCCAATTCCATTAGAAGCACAGGCCGCTTTGGCACAGATTGACGCAGCACTCGAGAAGGAAATCGAATTCAGGAATCGCTTGGAAGCTTTGGAAGAGGCTTCTGAGCACTCTATTCGTTCAGCATCCCACAATGGCTCCGCAGCTCGCTCATACCAGTCCCCAGCAATCGACAGATCACGGACTCCCGTCAGCGTAGCCCGAACGGCCACGCCCCCTTTCGACCCTCAATCTCAGGTCTACGCTGACCACCTTCACAAGCTCTCTGAAGATGGCCGCTACGCTGAGATTCCGGCCGTCTTCGAGGCAATGCTCGTCGCTGGCGTGCAGCCCATCGCGAGCGCCTACAATGCCTTGTTGGTTGCCGCGATCCACCTGCCCACCGCCAAGAATGAGATGGTCACCAAGGCCCTGGATGTCTACGCCGACATGCTCCGCCGTAAGATCGTGCCGGACAGCGATACCTACAACATCCTTGTTGGTCTCCTTGCCGCCCGGTCTCTCGAGGTTGCCTCTTTGAAGAAGACTCTGCACGACAAGCTAGTGCGTTTCGGTGGCATGGACGAGCCCGGCAAGTTCATGTTCGCTTCTCACGAGCTCGAGCATGCCATTCTTTCCGAGGATGATAGGCTCGATCTTGCCATGGACATGTTTGAGAAGTCGGTTCTCACCCAGAGAGCGTCTTACTCGGCTGAGTCATACCACCAGCTAATCTCTGCTTGTGCTCAAGCCGGGCGTGTTACCGACATGCTTCGCTTGTACGAGCACATGGAGTTGAACCGCGTCACCCCCTTCGCCGCCATGTTCCCCAGCATGATCAACGCTTTCGCGACTTCTGGCGACCTCGTTAGCGCTGTCGAGTGCTACAACGAGTACAAGGACCTAGCAGTTGCTAACGATAACGGCGAGCCTACCCTTAACGACCGGTTGGACGCGGAAGTGTACGCTGCTGTCATTCACGCCTACATCATTTCCGACAAGGTTGACGGTGCGATGAAGTTCTACGAGAAGATCATTAAGGAGTACGGTGTCCGCGCTGGCGACATCAAGGATGCGATTGTCAGCTCTGGCATGGTCAAGGCTTTCACTGACCGCGGCATTTTCAACGAGGCCCTTCGTTGGGCCCAAGTTGTTGAGTCTGAGTTCAGGGCGGATCCCATGAGCAGCCTTGCTACTCGCGCTGCCGATCACGGCGACAAGCACACCGCCGTTGCTGCCTTTGCCAATCTGCCTCTCAACTTCCACCAGATTGCCACCCCTGCCATGGCCCTTCTTGCCTTGAGCGTTCGCCAAGGCGATGTTGCCTCCGCAGCCCGCTACTGGCACGTTCTGTGTGCTCTTGAGACCCCGGTCACCCCGGCGCTCATCGAGCCCACTGCAATGTACGCCATTGCGATGATTGGATCTGGTCAAGTTGCTGAGGGTCTGGCCGAGTCGGAGCTCATGTTCCAGCGCATTCGTGCCGCCAACCCGGAGTCTGCCGATGAGATCGAGGAGGGTGTTGACTTTGTTCACCAGTTCATGAGCAGTCGTGGCATCACCGATCCTCGCGAGCTGTCTTCCCAGAACCTCTCCGCCTCTCCCTTCACCACATCAGCCACTGTATCCAGCTTCGAGGATTCTTTCGACCCATACGCGCACAACACCGACTTCAAGGGGTCATCATTGATCTCTGATGAGCTCGAGGGTTCTCACGGTCGCAAGGGTCCCAGACTTCACGATGCTCTTGGTCGCTTCCGCAACATGCGCCGTGCCGGCCGTCACCCTCGCTACATCACCTACGCCAAGCTGATTTCCGCTGCTTCCCGCGAGGGCAAGATGGAGCTCTGTAACGACATTCTCGCCATGGCTCGCACTGATGTTCCCCTGCTGCCCCAGTACGCTGTTGTTCGCTACGGCTGGTCTTCCATCCTGGATGCCATGGTTGGCGCCTGCCTTACCATTGGTCACCGCCAGATGGCTGAGCAATACCACCAGGAGCTGCTCGCCATGGGAGCCGCCCCCTCCGCCAACACCTTTGGTCTGTACATCACCACCCTCAAGGAATCTGCCAAGACTTTCGACGAGGCTTCCGAAGCTGTGAAGATCTTCCACCGTGCCAAGGCTGAGGGCGTCGAGCCCAGCTCTTTTCTCTACAATGCTTTGATTGGCAAGTTGGGCAAGGCTCGTCGTATCGATGACTGCCTGTTCTACTTCGCTGAGATGCGTGCTCTGGGAATTAAGCCTACCTCAGTCACCTACGGCACTATTGTCAACGCTCTCTGCCGTGTCAGTGACGAAAAGTTTGCGGAAGAGCTTTTCGATGAGATGGAGGCGATGCCCAACTACAAGGCCCGTCCTGCTCCGTACAACAGCATGATGCAGTTCTTCCTGACCACCAAGCGCGATAAGGCGAAGGTTCTTGCCTACTACGATCGCATGATGGTCAAGGGAATCGCCCCCACTGCTCATACTTACAAGCTTCTTGTTGACACCCACGCTACCCTCGAGCCTGTTGATATGGCTGCTGCTGAGAAGGTCCTCGAGGCTATCCGCACCTCCGGTCAGAAGCCTGAAGCCGTCCACTTTGCTGCTCTCATCCACGCCCGTGGCTGCAACCTCCACGACATGGAGGGTGCCCGCAAGGTCTTCGACTCTGTCATGGCTGACCGAGCTGTCACTGCCAACGCCAGCCTTTTTCAAGCACTGTTTGAGGCCATGGTTGCCAACCACAAGGTCGCTGACACCGAGACCATCCTTGGCCAGATGCGCCGACGAGGTGTTGAGATGACTCCTTACATCGCCAACACGCTGATCCACGGCTGGGCCGCTGAGAAGCAGATTGAGAAAGCCCAAGCCATCTACGACTCTGTTGGTCATGAGAATCGTGAGCCCAGCACATACGAGGCCATGACTCGTGCTTACCTCGCTGTTGAGGAACGCGAGAAGGCCAAGGGTGTTGTTGGAGAGATGCTCTGCCGTGGCTACCCCAGTGCCGTTGTCAATAAGGTGCTGGAGCTTCTCGGCGGTGGCGGTGGTGAGGAAGCTGTTGCACACAACTAAGCTTGCTTCCACACCTGTCTCGTCTACCCTGTGCGTCAAATCATTGAAATGCGCATCGAGCAGCTGCTCTGCGCGTTCCTCCGATGAACATATTTCCTTTGTAACTGCCCTCATCTACCGCGTTGCTTGATACCCCGTTGTGTTTTGAAGTAGGTGGACTGAGGGTGTCTGGCCAGGATCGGCGGCCAGTCTGTTTTACGGCAGTGCGCCGAAAGCATTTCATTCTGTCAACTGGTTTTGGAATTTGGAGTTTGCAACGGGAGTCGAATTCATACCCCCCATAATCGGGATACTGGGACGGTACGGCGTTTGTCGGAAGCAAAAGGGTCACGGCGACTGAGCACCCGTTCACGGGGCTTTTTATCGGAAAGCGAGCGATGACGGCCAATGGCCCAAACTATAGACACAACCCCACTCAAGCATAGTATAAAAAAGAGGGCGCCGGATAGAAGCGCAACGCAGCATAGAGGATCATGAATGGACGGATAGGGTACTGGGGCGGTCGGTTTACGACGACATGTCATGAGGGCATGTGATCCTGCTGTATGTATATTACCGGCAGCATCCAAAAAACAAGATTTGTCGATTGTTCAAACAATTCGCCTGCCTTGTGTGAACTTGACAGTGATGGACTGGATTCAATGTGTGGTAGATAACCTCGGCTCATGATGGGTTGTTATGGTTCTTTAAACTTAGACTTGGACTCTTATCTACAGTAGGCATGTCATCATAAGTTTGGGGAGTCTGATCGCTGGAGCTGGAGCTCGGGTTACCGTTTCGAGTGTGCCAGCTTTGGCGACAATGTGAAGCTCTTCGTTGGGACGGAACCCAAGATATTTTACAGTGTAACGTCGGTGCATCAACGAATTCGCACGTGCCACTAGCACTGTACCGCCGTTCTTCTTCCACGATGCGATTTCGCATCCCAAACTTTCAACCACCTAGCTACCATACCTCCATCACGCCTGCGTCATCACACAACCCACCCCTCACTGTGCCTCAGCTTACAGCCGTACCGCATTGTCAAGCGCGCTCAAATTTGACTTGCCACGAGCTGCACAATTGCTAAGTTTCAATTGGCGAGGTTTCACAGTCGTACATACATTTCCTGACCTGCAATTTGGAAGGAGATCTCATCTACACACGTAATCAACCTCGAAGCCATACAGACACACACACACACACATATACATAACTACTAGCTATCCAGCAAACCACGACCGCCAAAAATGACGGCTTCCTCTATGACCGCGAACCCCACGACGACAGCCGTCTCGGCGCCCGGCAAAGTCCTCCTGGCGGGCGGCTACCTGGTCCTGGACCGGGCCTACACGGGCCTCGTCTTTGGGCTCAGCGCCCGCATCAACGTCGTGGCGGCCGAGATCCACACCATTCCGGGCGTGCACCTGACCGAGATCGTCGTCGAGAGCCCGCAGTTTGTCGATGCTGTGTGGCGGTACGGGTTCCATCTCGCGCCGGAGGATGGGGGGATTACGGTCACGCAGCTGCAGGTGTAAGTCATTTTTTTTTCGTCCACCGGTGCCTCTCCCCCATCAGTATTCTCGCAGTATTTATTTGTTCCCTTGCCATGTGGTTGTGGTGGTGGTCATGAGTCGGCGCGCCGGCTGTGTTGAGGGGAATTGTTGTCTCAAAGTTCTTCAGGCGTTTGGTGCGGGGCTTGGTGGGATGTGGTTGATGAGGGGCAATACTTTTCGACATATCGCGCGGCAGATGAGTGTTGAGTTGGGTGAAAGGCCGCTGTGCTATGCTATACCACGCTCTTGAAAATGAACCTTAGAATCTTTCCACTCATGATCAGCATCATCTACACATCTCGCAAGCATACTCACTCAAGATCTCACACTACCTCACTCACCCATCTCATCACTAACCTCCTCCCAGCGGCTCCAAAATCAGCCCAAACACATTCGTCGAGACGACCCTAAGCTACGCCCTCACCTACATCGCCCGCATTAACAAGCAGCGCCCAAGCCACTCCCTCACCTCCACGCGTCTCATTATCCTCGCCGACAACGACTACTACTCCCTCCCTTCCACAGCAGCCAACGACCCGGACTCAGCCGTCTCCGGCACCGCCGTCCCAGTAGCAGCAAAGAAGGGAGCCCGCTTCGCGCGGTACCCCCACTCCATCGGCGAAGCGCACAAGACGGGCCTCGGCTCCTCCGCCGCGCTCGTCACCTCCCTGACGGCCGCGCTGCTGACGCACCACCTGCCCACCTCGCTCTTCGACATCACCTCCGAGGCCGGGAAGCACACGCTCCACAACCTCGCGCAGGCGGCGCACTGCGCTGCGCAGGGCAAAGTCGGGTCCGGGTTCGATGTCGCGGCGGCCGTGTTTGGGAGCTGTCGGTACCGTCGTTTTTCGCCTTCTCTGCTCTCCGATCTCGGCGGCGCGGGGTCACCTGGGTTCTCGGAGGCGTTGGTGAGGAAGGTGGATGAGTTGCTGGCGTGGGATGTCGAGGTTGATAAGGCTGGGACGGGGTTGCCGGAGGGCGTGTGCCTTCGTATGTGCGATGTTGATTGTGGTAGCCAGACGGTGAGTATGGTTAAGAAGGTGCTTGAGTGGAGGAAGGCCGATGCCGAGGGGAGCAAGGAGCTGTGGGAGGAGTTGCAGGGGAAGAACGAGGCTCTCGCGGCGGTGCTGAAGAATGGGGAGACGGACAAGGTTGGTGGTGCGGTTGCGGATGTGAGGGGGTTGATTCGGGCTATGGGCAAAGGGAGTGGTGTTCCGATTGAGCCTGAGTCGCAGACGGAGCTGCTCGATGCGCTCGGGGGTGTCGAGGGTGTGTTGGGCGGGGTTGTGCCTGGTGCGGGCGGGTTCGATGCCGTGGCTTTGATTATGAGGGATGACCAGGCTACGCAGAAGAGAATTGAGGAGTTCTTGGAGGGGTGGGGGAAGGAGAAGGGGGCGAGGGTGCGATTGTTGGGTGTGAAGGGGGAGATGGAGGGCGCGAGGCGGGAGGAGTTGAGTACGTATGATGGGTGGTTGGCTTGAAGGGTATCTGCGATGGTTGAGTCTTGAAGACAAGAAGAAAAAAAGCGAACAAGGAGCTTAAAACATAGAAAAGAGTATGATACTAGCTAGCGTATACGAAAGTCCGAGAGGAGATGGTCAATACACAAATAAGTACATTGCTTGAACTGTATGGTAACGACAGGTCCTACCTGCAACTGACGATATGCTTCAGAAGCTGCACCGTAGATATTCTCCATGGCGCAGCCTCGCTCTAAGAATTCCGCGGTAGATTTGAATTATGAGATCAAATATGGAGGCTCACCTCTGCGGGGGCGAGGATATGGCAACCGCAACCTACGGCGTTACTTACTAAACTAGAGTCAGCCCCAAACGGTGGATGGTTGAAAGTGCTCGCGCGAAGCACAACCCCGGGACGCAACTTCCTCCCTAAATACCTCGGAGCGCGACAAGAGAAAGGCCTCGGCGCGATCGCGAAGGACCTCTCACGATACCCGGACGCGTGAGGTCGGCACCGACGGGGAGCTGCGGGACTGCGCCGGGACTCGCGCGTCCCTTGATCTTGTAGCTTACCTGGGTTGTTACCAATCAAATGCGGCGGACATAGCTCAGTTGGGAGAGCGTCAGACTGAAGTCAACTTCAATCACTTAATCTGAAGGTCGTGTGTTCAATCCACACTGGCCGCATTACCTTTTGCAATTTTGGCCATCTACATCTTTACGAGTCTGTATTGGCTCTGGATACATATGGTCTCTCTTTTTTCCCATCTTATTTTGGGCTTTGAAGCTCTTCTCCTGGGCCAAATCAAGTCAAGAAGGAATGTTTCTTACAGAATTTTCAGGAAAATCCCAAATCCACTCTTTCTTCTCCATCGCACTTCACAATCGATTGTGACGGCACCTACGACACGCGTGGATGTGACACTGGGTGCATTCGTAGATGAATGACGGCAGATAGTGATGGCACTCCTCGCACTGAAAACTGCCACTGCGGCTTCTCCACCTGGTATGGGCGCACTGGTGGTTCTGAACGAGGTTGAGCGCCTCTTGCTCGACACGCTGAGCTCTAACCGCGGCGTTCAAGTGCATGGCGCCGGCCTCGCGGTTCACAATCACGTTAGCGCGGGCGATGAGCCGCTCTTCGTTCCACTGCTCACAGGTGCATGTCTTCCACTGCAGACCACAGAGGTAGCAGAATTGGGATCCGCAGGGGCAGGCTGTTTTTGGTTGTTCAGCTATCCTCCATCCTCATCGTTCTGTTCAAGGATATAGAGGGCAGTACGAGAGACTCACTCATATGATAGCATCCGTGGTCGAGCTCCACGATTCGGCGGCACGAGAAGCAGCGCTGCCAACCGTTGGCGGCAGCGACTTCGAGAAGAGCCTGTGTTAACGTATCTTGTGCGCAATCTTGGTTCCCGTGCTCGGCGCCCTTGCACATGGTGCACGTCTGGTGGCGGCATTGCGGGCATGTTCCAACGTCGGCTCTGATGAACTCCATGGGGATGAACCTGGAACAGGTCGGTCTGTGGCAGTACGTCCTGTTGGGCGTTGAAAACTCAATCTCCTTTGCCCGGAACTCCCCTACCAGCTTCGAGGACAGCAGGGCCCTGGCGTTGCCTCGGTCTATAGGGATAGGCAATTTGCAGCATCTCGGCGGAAATAGCGACTCGTCTGTGAGGGAGAGCTCGAAGAGGGTCCTCAGGCAGTCGCGGCAGTAGTTATGTTTGCATGGCAGCTGGGCGACTGCGCTGGGGGTGTAGGTACTCGAACAACTGTCGCATGTCGTCTTCTTCTCCCGCCTGGTTGGTTTGATGGCTGCCGCATCGGTTTCCTTCCTGGAGGCCGCCCACGATGAAGACTCTGGCTCTTCGTCATTGCCTTCGTCGTCGTCCTCGCCATAATCAACAGAGACGTAGAGGGACTCAAGTTTCCGTAAAAACATCTCATCTTCCTCGTTTGTGCAAGACTCCTCTGAAAGAGTGGGAAGATTCTTTGGAGATACATCGTCGCCGAGTGCGGTTCCCTCGCTTAGCCGAATAGCCGCCGCTCTGTCGCGAGTGGCCTGGTTCTCCTGCCTCGTGAGAATCATAATGAGGAGGCTATCGCATCGGTTCGCTTTGGCTATGCTCTTGCACATGCACCTATCCGCCGCGAGTGCAGCTTGCGACTCCAGCTCCGCATGGTATGCATCGACAGCCAAGTCGAGATCAGAGACCTGATCCACTCGGCATTTGCCCTTGCCACTCTCCTTGATGTTTTTCAAGTCCTCCAACTGCATCTGGAGGACCAGACGGAGCGACTCGTCGTCGATCTCGTAGCACTGCATCGGAGGCTGGGGTGTGGTTTCCAGGAAACCCATCAGTTTGTAATAGATAAATGCCACAAGCGAGATAACAATGAAACTTCCCTCCAGTGTTTTGTGTAGTTCGATGGACTCGGATTGAGCCAACTCGAGATCCAGAGGGAATGCTCTACGCGCGAGGCGGGTAAGGATTGAGTGCATGACCGAGGTCAGGTGGCTAATCGATGAGTGAGTTCTTGAAGGAAGTACAAGATAATACAGGCGAGGGGCCGCGGGAGTTGCATGATAACACCAGTGGGAAAAGCAAGCCTAGGCGCTCTTCTGTTGACTTGCTGATGTGTGTTTGGTTGTTAGGTTGCATGTGGTGTGGAGGGCCTCCGACATGAAAGTCAAATCCAAATATGTCGTTGAATGCTTCTATGCAATAGCTAGAGCCAGATCTCACACAGTGAATCTTGACCCCCTCAAGATATGCAAGGGCCATTGCGAAGTTTGCCTATCATGGTAGAAGCTTTGTATCCGAGGACGACTTTTTCTCGTGCCTTTCTGAAGCTGTGCCACCGTGTCTCCCATCATTTGAGAGCTTGCTTCTAGGCTTGTGAGTGCGCTTGATATTGTGTGATGACATGTGAATCACGGCTAGGAGAAGTGAAATGCCGTTGATGTAGGATGAGTACCTTTCTCAGTTTGCCCTCTTCCTAAGTTTTTTTACGAATTCCGGTGCTGCCGCCGTCTCAAGTACATAGTCTCAGTGACCATTTTGTCGCAAGATACGTGATGTCCCGATTCAGTTGCAAAGTCGGCCAAAATGCACATGTCTATTGAATTTCAGTAGTCAAGACGAACATAAGGGGAAAGGATAATGGTTAGAAAATCAGCGCTCAAGGAAAGGTAGGACAGTGGTGCGATCCTTTTTGAGCCAGGGAAAATCTTGCATATGTTTACCTACCATCAGCGTACTGTAGTTTCAATACTTTGATCGAGCGCAGGGTTCGGGAGTTCGAAGCATCGTGTCGAATGACTTAGCGACACCCTACCAGGTTTACTCATCGGCTCGGTTTCCCGACGGAAAGTGCAAGGCCGAAGCTCCAAATTCATACCTCAAGACGGCTCTTCCATCCATCGCTACTCAGTCTCAACATACCAAACTACAGGTAAGAGCATACTGATAAGGGCGATAAGCAAAAAATCAGAAGACCTCTAAATGGTGCGAAGTAGGGGTTCGGAAAGCATCGATGAAGTGACACCAAATCCAGGATAAGGGCGGAATCTCGTGAAGCAGGTACTTTGGCAGCTGTCAACTTTCCACGACCACCGAGAAGTCGTTCTCCGCAGAGGAACCGGGACCAGGAGACCTACCTACCTGCCTTCTTCTTCTCACTCTTATGAGTGATTTTCGAGGGAAAACATCGAGGGAAACCATTGAGGTGTCCGACTGAAACTTGCGCATTGCCAAATCACCTCTTTCATAGAGTACTTTTTGTGACATCGCCCCGTGCTGATGAGAAACGATGAGTGAGTGAGTAGGTAGGTTATTCCAGCGGTGGTCCGAGCACCCTTACATGAGGGACCGAGTGGGGCTTATCTAAACGCCGACAGCGATAAGACTTTTGCTTGCCTGAAAATTTCCACCGAGTCTTGGTAACCCAGAGCCTCAGTCTTGCGACCAACGGCAAATCTCATCGACAAAATGGCGGACGATGGCATGATTCTCAATTTTGACATGGGCAGTGGCCCTGCCAAGCCCCATGTCAAGATTCAGGGTGGTCGCTGGCGCGACAGGAATAAAGCCAACCGCATTGCGAATAAAGGTACTGAAAAAGAGGCTTCATCAACAGCCAAAGACGATGCCCCGCTACCGCAGAGATACACGCCTGGATCCAAGAAGCCCCAGAGGACAGACCGCCCTGGCGACGATGACGACTCTTTTGAGCGCCCGGCAAAGCGAGCGCGGCCAGAGCATCCTCATGCGACTGCTTACCGGACTGGAAAACTGCCGCCCGGCAGCATCTCCAACAAGCTGAGAGACGGCCAAATTTCATCGAAACTGTTCTCTTACAACCCGACGCCAAAGACCATCTTTGATGAGCCCGGTGCTGAGAAGGTCGAGGAGAAGGTTGCTGAACCTTCAAACGCGCCGCTTTCCGATGAAGCTGCCAGCTTCCACGCCCTCGGTATTTCACGACGACTGGCGTTGACGCTCTCTGGCAAGATTCAGCTCAAGGCACCGACGGCTATTCAAGCCAAGGTCCTTCCTCAACTCATCAATGATGACAGCGATGCTTTCGTGCAGGCACAGACTGGTTCCGGAAAGACTTTGGCGTATCTGCTGCCCATTATCCAGCGGATTCTGTCGGTTGAGGGTCAGATCAAGAGAGACTCAGGCTTGTTCGCCATCGTCATGGCGCCTACCCGTGAACTTTGCAGACAGATTGAGCTGGTGCTCGCAAAGGTCCTGCCGCCGTACCTGGTCAGCACAACGGTCATTGGTGGTGAGAGCAAACATTCCGAGAAGAGCCGCCTACGGAAAGGTGTGAATATCCTCATCGCAACACCTGGTCGTTTGAGCGATCACCTCGAGCACACCAAGACCCTCGATGTCGGCACCGTGAGATGGCTGGTTCTTGACGAAGGCGATCGCTTGATGGAAATGGGTTTCGAGGCGGAACTGCGCACCATTGTCAACAGGATTCGTGAGAACCCCTTGGCAGACAAAACAGCCAACGGTGTCTCGCTCGCCAACCTCCCACAGCGCCGTGTAACGGTTCTTTGCTCGGCCACTATGAAGATGAACGTTCAGAAACTTGGCGAGATCAGTCTGGAGGATGCAGTACACATTACCACATCCGGAGAGGACCATGTTGAGGGAGAGGAGATCAAGTTCGAGGCACCGGCACAACTGAAGCAAAACTACTTGATCGTACCGGCCAAGTTGCGGTTGGTTACGCTCATAGCACTGCTGAAGTCAACATTTTCACGAAAGGGATCAGTGATGAAGGCCATTGTCTTCTTCTCCTGCGCCGATTCGGTCGACTATCATTTCGATCTTCTTCGTCAACCGCCGAAGAAGGAAAATACGACCGACAACGCAACGTCATCAACCGCAAATACCGTTGCGCCTTCCGCTTACATCACATCAGCGGCGAACACAAACATCGTCCTTCATAAACTGCACGGTTCTCTCCCTCAACCGGTCCGTACAGCTACTTTGGCGTCTTACAGCAAATGTGAAGACCCAACAGTCCTGCTTACCACCGATATTGCGTCCCGTGGTCTCGATGTGCCCTCCGTCGAGCTCGTAGTCGAATACGACCCCGCCTTCAGCGCAGACGACCACGTCCATCGCATCGGTCGTACAGCGCGTGCCGGTAAGCCCGGCAAGGCAATTCTCTTCCTCATGCCTGGCTGCGAAGAAGGCTACATCGACCTCCTCAAATCCAAGAACGCCTCCCCTCCCAAGCCCGAGCTCTACGACACCATCCTCCACAAGGGCTTCACAACAGGCATGGATTTCCCGGTCGAGACGGACACCAAGCCCCAGCCCGCGACAGACAGGGGCTTCAGCAACCGTGCCGAGAACTTGCAGCTTCACCTCGAACAGCGTCTTCTCCTCGAATCGGCAACAAAACTCCTGGACGAGGCGCGCAAGGCCTTCCGCTCGCACATTAGGGCGTACGCAACTCACATCAAGGACGAGCGCGTCTACTTTGATATCAACGAGGTGCACCTGGGTCACATGGCAAAGGCGTACGGCCTGCGCGAGGCGCCGTCGGGTATTGGACGTGGCGGCCACGACAGCAAGAAGGCTGTCATGAAGCAGAAGAACGCCGGCAAGAGAAGAGGAGACAGCAGGCCGTCGGGCGGCAATGCGATGGAGGACATTGATACTGGCGCTGAGCCCAGCGAGATGGAGAGGAAGATGAAGATGAAGATGAGGGCCGTGATGATTGCGGCCAGTGAATTCAACCTGGGTTGAAGGATTTGTCTTTGTTGTATGTATTTTGTCTGGGCTGGGTTACGGATGATAGATAAAATGGGGCATACTCATAGCGTTTAAAATAGTCATATCCCGGATCGGGTGCTTTCTTTTCTATCAAGATGTCTTCTCTGTAACGCCTTTTGCTCGTTTGATGGTGATGAGTAGGAATGCACCTCGCAGTTATGTAAAAGCGGGGCACGTATTCGGAGATGGTTATGCAGGTTCTTGCATAATTGTCGGTGCTCCTGCACCATCCACCAGTCTCACCCGGAAGGCGCGACGTTCATCAACCACATCGACCTTATTGGCCTGCAAATCACAGGCAGCCGTGGTCAATATCTCATTCTACCTCAACTTACTTCAACAACATCGGCTCAAAAACTCCAGGTCATGAAACTTTTCTGTCTACAGCCTCATCGGACTCTTCATACACCATCCAAGCCATGACGCGACAACTCCCCTGGGACCGTAAGGCACTGGAACGGACGGCGAGCCCGAAGAAGCAGACTGCGTCGACACCTCGGAGAACCGCAACACCAAATCGGGCTCCATCTCGAGCAACGACAGCCGCTGCATCACCGTTAGATCGCTCGAATCATAAGCCAGCCCGCTCAAATGGTTTCCTTGGAGGTATGAGTCGCGTCTACTCGCATCATCCCTCTCACTGACTTGGAACTCTCATAGGCAGAAGCCCGTCAACTTCACCACCGCCAGAACCCCTTCCAGAAACGTACTCATCCCTTTATCACCCCATATTTTGCACAGTGCTGATAAACGTACAGCTTCATGATAGAAGGCCTTGAAAATGACGACAAATATCGCATGGTCGAGGATGAACTCGTCACAATCGCAGGGCACTTCACAGCACACCTCCACGCAGCAGAATACCAGCGTCTCAAAGCCCAAACGCGCACCCAGAATGCAGAAACTATCAAAACCATTTCACGCCCTGTCGTCGGGTCCCTCACTGAGCTCGCGCGCAAACGCCAGGAGGAGCTGCTCCGTAAGAAGAAGCAGCGCGAGGCGCTGCGCCGCGCAAAGAGGGATGCCGGCAGAGACGACGAGGACACTGGAGACGAGACGAACGTGCCGTGGCGGGGAACGTCGCTGCAGGGGCTTATGCACAGTCCCAAGAAGAAGGAGGTGCCGCTGATGGCGCTGACGAGAGCGGATTCGGGCGTGAGGACATCGGCTTCGGGGTTGTTTGGGGGCGTGGTGAGGTCTTCTCAGAACAAAAGGCCAGTGGCGCCGGCGAAGAGGAGTATGCCGGTGGATGAGGATTCGACCGAAGACGAGAGTGATGACCTTGAGGGACCCGTTAAAGGCCCGGTCAGGAGGGATATCGAACACAAAAGGCCGGCTTATCCATCGAAAACCATTGCAAAGGTCCAGAGTCGACCCAGTCATCAGCAAAGAACGATGCAACCGAACAGCACACGACTGTCCGATACGAAAGTGTCTTCAAATAGTCATGGGCCCTTGGTAACAGCGGCTTCGAAATCGATCTCAACTGCCAGAGCGGCTACTCATACAACACCTACGAACGAAGAAGAAAAAGAAGATGACGACGACGATGATCTATTTACTAGACTGAAGAATCGGAGAGCGAACGCGAGGCCTCAGCGGCGGGCTCCAGTGAAGAAGGAGAAGCCAGACTCAAAGGAAGCCGGAGACATCATTCCGTCATTCATATGAATCCCTTGTAATGTCAAAAGGGAGCTCAATAGCGAGTCTTTATCCAATTTCAGGAACTGTCTATCTGAAGTTATGGGCTTGACATCGCGATAAGCATAGGTCTTTGACCTTTCTCCGTAACCTTCCATGATAATCTACCATGCTCGACCAGAACCTGGGTCTCCGCATCTTGTAATCAAGTAGGAATCACTGCGGTGGAACAGGTTTCTATGACCTCTGTAAGTCCTTCATCCCCCTTCCCTGGAAACGCGTGGTATCTGGGTTTGCGTCTGGGTCAGCCTGGGGCTGCCGTGGGATCGCCTTTGTGCATCCTATCCAGTTCGAAGCCTTACCTATTGTCCTCTTTTGTGAAATTATAACTAATCTTGGATCTAGTCTTTCCCGCCTACCCTACCAACCCTATCAACCCTTTCAACCCTTTCTCCGATGTATCCGTCAACAGAATTCTTCTTTTCAAATGAGAGATGCGACCCAGGAGTTCTTCCATTCTATCAAATCATTCACTTCAACGAATTGCTAGCCCTCCAAAACCAGCCTAGGCACACACAGCATCCTGCTTATATACGACAAGAATAATCCTACAACATGGCTTCAACGATGGAAGAGGAGGTTTACCTGACTATGCAACCTGTCTTCTCCAATCAGCACGCCCAGATCCGTCGCCCAAGAGCCATCAAACACAGAATTCACGTTTGCAGATGCCCGGAGATCAACGCTCTGATGTCCCAATACACCCGACCAGCCGTCATCAGTACTTGCCAGCAGCTCCTTGAGAAGAGGATTTTCGAAAGCAGATGGAAGGCTGAGCAGCAGTTTCCTCGACTATCCCAAGGAGCTACACCAGTGATTACGTCGGAGAAGCCGGAGATCAATTGGAAGGAGAAGATCAGGGCACTTACAGATGAGATGCAGGCGGATGAGATAGCCCGGCAGCAATCTGCTGTTGCAGGTACAGAACCAGAGGAAGGGGAGAACATGATAAGTGCAGAGTCTCACGATAGTCTGGCTATAGGGGAGACGGGCGATGCGGTGGACAGCATTACCACAGCGAGCAGCAGCACCGTCGTCGGCGAGCCCACGGCAGCAGCAACAGCAACAGCAGAACAGCCACCTAAAAAGACCACAAAGTTACCCAGGCTCCGCACCGCCTTCCTATCATACGAAGCTCAGCACGCTCTTATGACAAGAACCCAAGAGCTTCTGGAGGATGCCTGCTTCGAGTTTGCGAAGCAGGAGCACCCCGAGATTCTAGAATCAGGACAATGGGACTCGCCCGAGTGTGTCGAACTCCAGAAATGGGTATGGATCTTCAACAACGAGTTGTTCAGCCAATTCGAGGGTGAAAAGGTGCCCCTGCCGCACACTGGCTGGCACACCTTTTTCGAATCGATTAGACATATTCGGCACAAGGCCGTTCATCGGCAGGTGCTCTGTGCCGCGGACGCAAAGGCGCACCTAACCGATGCCGAGAGCCTCGCGAGGCTGCTGCGTCAGGATGTGTGTCAGGTCAAGCTGGGCTTGTTGAAGGAGGAGATGGAGATGGCACTGGCGATTTCGGAGCGGAAGAGGGGCGTGCTGGTGGATGTATACCAAGCCAAGTTTGACGAGATTGAAGCGCGAAGGAGGGACCTGGATGAGCTTGAGGGGCGGATGAGGGAGGAGTTGGTGCGGGAGCATAAGAAGATGCAGAGTGATCTCGGATATGGATTCAAGCTTGCGGTTGCGGAGATGAAGAAGGCGGAGGCGGTGGGGATGGATGAAGAAGAGGAAGAAGGCGCGGGCTCCTGGGGACTGATCGACGGCTTCTGGAAACTGGTTTCTGGCAGACGACTTGCCTGATGTATCTGCTACGACCAAGTGCGATAGATCACGCGGGTTATTAGGTCCTTCATATAGTATATAATAATAATAATCGCAGACGGCAGATGATGGGTCTGAACCATTCCCGCAACGATACCAGTTAATGACGATTCCTCCTCCGTGGGTTAGCCATCTTCACGCATCTAGAAAGCAGCATATCGAGAGGCAGCAGGTGTTAGGAACATAAGCGAGCCTCGATTTATCTCAAGTTGTCTCTCGCCGTCTGGGGTATTCTATTCACTGCTGTATACTATCCCAACGAGGAGCAATAATGGCCCTCTTCGTTGGACTCCCAGATAGTCGAGAACCCCCGAGTTTCCTACGTAAAGTCAGAACTCAGCGAGACCATGTGTGGATCCTGCTGCGCTATTACAGAAAGGAATGTAAAGCTTGAGGGCGGCAGCCCCCTCTTATAGGGCCGACTTTCCCTCCGATGGCATCCGAGAGTAGGTAAGTTCACCAGAACTCAGTCTCTCGTTCTTCAGTGGCCCCTGTCATACATACACATAGCTTCCCAAGCTCGTTGGCAGGAGTTTGACTCGATACAGACTGACTCGCCACCGAAGAGGCGTAGAGCGTGGGAGGACGTCGGCCGTGATAGGATATTCGAGAACAGGCACCAAAATAGAACATGACCGATTCGCTTTCGGCTAACCGTCTTCATTAAGGGTGTTGGATTTTCTATGGCATACTATCTCTACCATGCCAAGTTAGCAATGGTGATGTTCGTCCTCGGATTCCTCCACCGTCGCGATGACTCGATCGGCTGCAACTGCGCGGGCGGGGAGCACGCGAGCGCTCAGCTTCTTGATCAGGTTGGTTCCGTCGAGGGCCAGGGCGGACAGAACATGGGCAGTGGTCTATCCATGGGAGTCAGTAATCAGTAATCTAAAGACTGTCACAGAGTACCTCGAATCACTTGCCTTTGCATTGACTGTGAGCTGGTCCAGGTCCGGGTTGTTGATGTTGTCGCACTCCTGGTGATAACAGGGATCCTGCGCAGACCCCGTTCCCGTGTGAAGACCACCGATAGGCTTGCCCAAAACCTGCCAGAAGGAGGCATAGTCACTGCCGTTCGTGAACCTCGCGGCAGTGACATTGATGCCCTTGGCAACAAAGTCGGCGGTGAAGAGTTCCTGGATGACATCGGAGCCGGCCGGCGCGGGGACGCCGTAGGACGCGCCGTCGCCGTCAAAAACGCCGTAGTACCCCTTGGCGACCATATCGAAGTTGAGGTAGGCCAGGATGTTGGCACGCTCTTCCGTGGCGAGGTTATTGACGTAGTAGCGGGATCCGACGAGGCCCTTCTCTTCGGCGCCCCACCATGCGAAGCGGATTTTGTTGTTGGTGGCGTATTTTGTGAGAGCCAGGAAGAGCTCGAGGAGGAGGGAGGTTCCGGAGCCTGATACAATGTAAGCATTTAGAAATTCTTCGACGAGCTTCGTGAAGGGGGTTTTCTCTTACCATTGTCGTTGATACCCGGGCCCCATGCAACACTGTCCAGATGGGCGCCGAGCTAGGAATTCGTCAGAAAGACTTACGTATACTCTCGATGGTGGGCATTACTTACCACAATCACGTTGCTCTCATCGCCGCCCTCCGTCTCAGCAAACACGTTCTGCGTAACCCGGCTATCGACAACCTCAGCCTCCCAGAACAAGGCCGTCAGCACCTCCCCAGCCGCCAACCGAGCCTTGAGCGGATCGCCAATGTACTGGTTAACGAAACCCGTAGGGACATACGTCCCATCATCAGCCGGACCAAGGTTCCCGGCAGTAAGGTTCAGCGCAAAATCGTTAATCACGATCACGGCACTAGCACCCGCCGCAGCAGCAGGCTTCATCACACCAGCGTGGAATCCATCTCGGTACCCGGGACACAGCGACTCCGTCACAATCACAATCTTGCCGTCGACGTCGAGGTCCGCGTACGAAGCGGCCTCGCAGGCGGCGGTGCCATTAGGTCCTGCGACGAGCTGCGCGGTGATGCCCTCGGCAGGCGTATCGGGGGACCCGTAGAGGCCGTAAATGGTCAGCTTCTCGCCATTGACGGTGAGGTTGGCGCGGAGCTCGGTGCTGTAGGTGGCGGAGAAGTCCTGTTTCCAGACTTTGGCGCCGGCGGCGCTGGAGATGCGGCTGAAGATGTAGTCGACGGAGGCGGCGTAGCCTGGGAGACCAAAGGCGCGGTTGCCGCCGTTTGCTATTGCGATGTCGCTCAGTTGGACCAGGTTGGCTTGTAAGCTGTGTCCATGTTAGCAACCGAGTCTATTGGCAAGAGGCAAGTAAAGTGCGTATAGAGCATACTTCTCCTTGGTGATTTGATCTTGGAAGCTGGCCGAGTCGACGAGAGGTTTCGTGGTCTGCCTCTCCTGGACGGCGGCGCGAACGCCAAGAGTCGCCCAGGATGCGAGGATGGTTGTCGTAGCCAAGAACTTCATCGTGGTGTGGCTGGCGGGTTGTCCTGTCCTTTCACGGATGGCGACAAAGTCCGAGAAACCAAAACCAGACTAGAATTCGCGGGACGAACCGCACCTTAAGTCATCGTCGTGGCGCCGCCACTGTCTCGTTCTCGTGTTGTGCGATGCTGCTTGAATGGCATGATGGCGCACCTCTGCGGGTACCCCTGAAGCGGTCGAGATGAAGGAAGAGGAAGGTCGCAATGGCATAACGGGCACTCTAAACCCAATCTTTATCGCATCCCGAGAAAACCATCCACAACTCTTCAATGCCAAGATGTTGTTTGCGACCATGTAATCAGCGAATCTCGTAAAAAGCATTGCAGGCAATGGGGCATTGGGATTGATTCAAGGTTCTCTCAACGATAGATGAATTGTTGCAATCGTTCATGATGATGCGATTTCAGCTCACCGTTGCCAAGACTTTGGTCAGTGCCATTCTGCCTTGTGAGAACGGGATCGACGGTGTAACGTCCCGGCAATGCAAGGCAATGCAACGCTTGATTTCACGTCTGGGCAGTGGGCACAGCAATGGAGCAGATGCGAGTCTGACGAGAGGGTCTCAGAGTGACTCTGAGAGCGTGTATCGTGACGTACAAGTACTTTCATTTGGGATCTGTAAACATCAGAAAACAGCTATTGGAATTCACAAGCCAAAGTCGCTGTCCTAATGGTCAAAGTTGGACTGTTTCTGCGAAGAAGTGTCTTTCGTAGCTGAAGCAACACGAAGCAACTCATTTGCAACGCTCTCATCCCACTCGGCATCACTTTACTGTGAGACAACACTGAGGCTTGACGAATGTAGCAGTCGCAGTATTTCATATCAGCCAAGTGGTCTGGGCTGCATCTCATTCGAACTCATCTGTCAACATACCGAGCATTGATTGATACCAGCGATCCAACATTGGCCAAACCTTGATCAAAGAGACAACTTCTGCTCACCGATTGATGGCGGCCCACGAGCTTAAGTGCCGCATCGGGATTCCCGTTGCCCTCAATGCGGGCTCCGAGCTTCATTGATCCATGTTCACCTCGAGACAAACCAGCCACACTCAATCCGACACTTCCGCCGGTCTATTTTAGTCGCTGTTGACTAAAGAAACTCATCCAATGCCAGACCTCGGTCGTGGTTGTTCCTTGCAAACCATCACCTAAAGGGAACCACTTCAACGAGTCATTTTATGAACTACTCTTTGTGATTCTGGAAGAGTAAAAGATTCAACTTCAACATTGTTTTCGTCACTTCGTCGCCGCCGTAGCCCGACGATATCCACTTGCCGGGCAATGAGGAGTTCTCAGCTGCCCCTCTCGCCTGTCAGAAACTACCAGGCCTTGTTTGACAGCGCTAACATGGAGGAGACAGAGGAGAACATGACGTTGCTATGGCAGATAGACCGGGGCTGCGACATCTGGGATCCCTGGCTCTTGGTGGATCAGGGCTTATCGTTGACTCGTATTTGCCCGTAACGGACGGCCTCCGGAATGCCACCCACCGGCTCGCCGGCTTTGGGGTATCCCATTTATCTCCAGCCTTAACCGCAAGGGGTGGGAGCCTTTTGAATGAGACGGACTTCTTAAACCAGCTGGATAGCCCATGTCGCGTGCGCTCCCCTGGCCTGTTGACATTTGATTATCCTCGCCCTTCTCTCACCAAGAACGAAGCGGACCGCTCCAAACCCATCGATCAAGCTCGCGATGGTCTCGACCTTCTCAGCGGCTCTCGCCCTCCTCTCCGCGTTGCCGTTGACCTCGGGTACCGCAGTCGTCACCCCGCGTCAGGCCACAGGCGACGCAAACTGCCAGAGCGTACATGTCTTCCTCGCGCGCGGGAATAACGAGCCCTACCCCGGACGCCAGGGCAAGCTTGTCACCGCCATCTGCGACGGGCTCGACAGCTGCGACTACGAGGACATTCAGTTCTACAACCCGCTCGAGGCGCCCTACTGCCAGTCCATTGAGGAGGGCGCTGCGAACGGCACGGCGCAGATCACGGCGTACAACAAGCGCTGTCCGGACGCGAAGCTCGTTGTGAGCGGGTACTCCCAGGGCGGCCATGTTGTTGGTGATGTTTTGGGTGGTGGAGGAGGCACGTTCTTCCAGGGTTGTCAACAGAAGGCGAATGCTGGGTTAGATGCCACAACGGCGCCTGGCAACAAGCGTAAGTCTGCATGTGTCGGAACTTGAGACCGCGAGGGGCTTGCTAATATACCTTCTTCAGTCGCTGCTATTCTCATCTTTGGCGACACAAGACATACGGCCAGCCAGCCGTACAACTATCTCTCGGGAGCTCCGGACAACGGGCTCTTCCCTCGGCCGGAAAACCAGCTCGCCGGTATGCGGGCCTTTTCCAGCGTGATGCGCTCGTACTGCGTCGAATCCGATCCGATTTGCGCCGGCGGAGACACCGCTGCGAATCACCTCAACTACTTTGACGTGTACTCTAGCGACGCCGGCAAGTGGGTGCAGGAGATGGTTGGCAAGGCAGACACGACGACATCGTCATCGTCCTCAAAGACCAGTGCGACGTCGACCTCGTCAGCACCAGCGAGCTTGAGCTCATCGGCGGTATCATCAACGAGTGCGACGTCGACCGCGGCATCATCGGCTGGAGGAGGATCAACCACAGCGGCTCCGACATCTGCTGATGCTGCATCTGCGTCCTCCCCTACTCCCACATCTCAGAACGCGGCCGGGGCTCTGACGTGGGATGCGGTGTCGCTCGGCGCCTCGGCCTTTGCCTTGCTGGCCGTTGCAGGCCTTGTTTAAGCATCGCGACGGTTGGTGCATAGTCTTTTCAAGCGAGTTATTTTGATGAAGAGGAGGCATTCACGCAAGTACATGAATACATGATCCAGGCATGCGCAATTTAGATTCAGGATACCTCCAGTACATAATACCTCAAGCGATTGGGTTGAGACATAATGTAAATACAAAAATAGTATGTGTACTGCTGTCGCTAAAGCTGAGAGTTTCGACTGTTTATGGCAACACTTCTATGGCATCAAAGCTTGGATGCGTCGAAGTAGTTACCTTAATCATGCAATTTTTTCTGCCACCTAAGGACAACCTTCGTTAGACAGCATCAATCTATGGCATTTTGGGGCTTGCATCTACTTTAAAGCTAACCAACTTTAACATATCAGTAAATTGCTTCTTCGAGTTGACGATGAAGGTAACCTTAGATGCAGTGGGTTGAGTTTCGTGCTTACCAATTGACAAACGGCATCTCTCATTCTGAAGTTGCTTACCTTGCCGTCCATCCGCGGCATTTTTGATTCGCAACTTTAGGCAGAAACACCACCACGCCCTTGCTATTGGATCGCAGACGCCCTTCCTGCTACACAACATAAAGGAATCCACCCTACGTCTTTAATTTGTCACAACAAACGCCCTTAAGTTCACCTTCCAGATGTAGCAACTCGTCTAGCAACAGCTTCACTGTGTTTTATTTATAAAGAGTCGCCGTGTGCTGCCTAGGAATACTCGTCCTCGTCACCAAAATTTCTACATCGAGCCACTTGCCCACTTCTGACATCCAGATCCAACCCCCGCATTAACTCAAACATGGCTAACGACAAGAAAAACGAAAATACCACACCTCTCCAATTCCGCATCGCGACCGTAGATGACGCACCTCAAGTCGCCCAGCTCGTAGAAGCTGCTTTTCGCGCCGAAGACAGCCGCGCAGACTGGACAGCCGATATGGAACTCGGCAGATCATTCAACTACTCAACCGACAATGCTCTCAGGAACATCAACAACCCCGACGCAGAGGTCCTCATGGGCTTTGATCCCCACGGCGTATTCGCTGCCTCAGTTCAAGTTGTCTTCAAGCCTGAAGCCCACATGGCCCGCATTGTCCTGCTTTCCGTGAACCCTCAGCTGCAGCGTAGCGGCGGCGGGCGCCAGGCTCTTGGTTCTGCCGAGGAATACGCGCGGCAGCATTACGACATCAAGAAGTTCGGTTTGAATGCTCTTTCTTCTCGCGAGAAGTTGATTGCGTGGTATGAGCGCTGCGGCTACCAAAGGACAGGAGAGACGACACCGTTTCCTTTTGTATGGTACCCTCATCTGGACCTTCCGAAGGATTTGTGCAATGTTGAGCTTGAGAAGGATGCCACATCTGTTGGGGCTTGATCAAGACTTTTCCAAGGGTGCCACACGAGCGAATCTGAGATGAGCGTACCACGAGGAACACAAAGTTTAGAGGCCTGGATTGAGAAGGCTCTTCACGATCTTTACATACTAGCACACAGCAGACACAAGAATGCTAGGCAAGTACGAGACCCCTCGCGGCATTATTGACATTTTGCTGACCTTTCCAAGACCTTTCCTTTGTAACCCGTGAGCAATGGACTCCAACAGAAAAGACAGTCTCATGCTCAGTTTCTCTTTCTTCCACCATCACTCCCACTCTCACTACTCAAACCCGATGCTTCTCCGAGCACTTTCTTTAAAATTTACCTCTGGAAGCCTAGGGAAATAGCCATCAGGCTAGCCATAATGAGGTGGGGGTGTCCATTGCTCATCATCATGAGCTGCATGGGGCTTGAAAGCTAAGTCAAGTGGTCAAGGGGTTTCTCTGATGGCACGAAGATTATTTCTTTCGCAACAGTCATTCCCGTAGACCTAAACTTACGACAAAAATCTATTATATCTGAAATATATAACGTTTCCAGAGATTGGAGCCTCGAAAATAGCCGATTGTTATAGCGACCTAACCTACCTTACCTTCACCCCAATGATGTAGTCCGAAGTGTACCGTGCTGCATGCTTGGATTGTCAAAGTCAACTCGAGTAGAGAAAGTTTACCTGGATTGAGTGAAGATTATAAAATAACAGAGTGGCGACTATGCCATCAGTTCTGATTCAAGAACACGTCAAGTTCTTGACTCTCAGCTGGCCAACACCAGGGCCTACGCTCTCAACATCGCACAAAGCCTCTCTCTTGCCCTCCAACACCAAATTCAGTGTTCTTCGCAAGAGCTCAATCTCAATCTTGGCCAACAAATCGCCATCAATGGTGCCCAGAACCTGCTTGATGAGATCAGAATACTCTGCAGGCAAAGCCTTGACAGCTGGGAGTTGTGGAGCGTCAAAGAAGGACATGTGGGTTGTTCCGTTGACAATCAGCATCAACGATGGACCGCGCAGATTAAGCCAAGTCTCGTTCCAGCCGGAGATGTAATCGAATGTCGCCGGCGTGCTGACCAGTACCAGGGGCTTGTCGGTGCCTTCGGCCTGGACCGGACCAACCATCAGGCCGTCAAAGTTGAGACCGCCAATAATGCGGTCATCGGCGTAGAGTGATGAAGCTACTGTAGCGCCGCCGAAGGAGTGACCGGCAATGAAAATCTTGCCTGGGTTGATAGATGCTTGTGTTCCGGCAAGTAGTGGAGTAGCTACTGAAGGGTCTAGGAGCTGGTCGATTATGAAGGAGACATCTTTCTGACGACTCTGTGGGATCGCGATGTTTAGAGTCTCCGGTTCAACATGACTGGTTTACCTCCGGGCAAACTCACCTCAAGAAGGCTCTCAACGTAAGCCGAGTCGTTTTCCGTTGCGTTCTCCGCAAATCTAATGCTGCCATCTGGGAACTCGACAATCGCGGCATCATACGTATGATCCAGAGTGACGACGATGTACCCATAGCTAGCAAGAGACCGCGCCAATACGCCATGCGCAAGTCTCGAGCTAGCTCTTCCGTGTGAGAAGAGGACGAGAGGGTGCTTTTCACTCTTCTCGGGCCCGCCGTAAGCCGTATCGACAATGTAGAACTCAAGTTCCATCCCTGAGAAGACAGTGTCTGGCAGACCAAACAAGGTCGCCGCCCCCTGGCCGAGGGCGACTGCAGTGGTAGGCGGCACGTAGGGAACTAGTTCGACGGAACAGTTGGCTTCCTTCTTTAGAGGAACGTGGACAGAGACCATGACCTTGCGCTTTTCAGGCTGGTCTTGAGGGGCGTGGGGATCCCATCGTGCTGCGTCTTCGAAGGCCTCCACTCGCAAGGCGACGGGGTATGGGCCGGGAGGCCCGGGGATGACGACCGCAGCGGCCATCAAAGCAAATATAGAGAAGAGCAAGAACAGCATGTTTGCGCCCCAGGGTGGAGATTTTACAAGTACGCGATGCTCCTTATACTTACAATTGACTAGATATACGCTTATGTCTGGTCATTCATTGACTCCCAGGTCATCTGAACCGCCGATGGAATGCTGACATTGGACGTTGGGATAGTGCACCTGACCCGTAAAGTCATTGTTCTATGCTGACTGCGTGGTGATTTCCAAAAGGAGCCCAAGAGATTGAACCAAAGTTCCTCCTGCGTATGCAGTCGCCCGGCGTGGAGACTTTCTCGGCGCAGGCTGTGTCTTGCCCGAAAACCAATCGACCGCTTTCCGTCTGCCACTGCCTGGCGCCGGAATCTGCGGAAGAACCAGCGACATACTCTAGGGTCTCGGATTTGGCTTTCGTTGTGGATGAATTAGGCCCGAGGCTTACTTTTATCTCGGCGGGGTGGCAGGCGTCATCTGGAAGTCAATCCAGCTGGCTGATAGAACAGTTTGTAAATTGAAAGTAAGCCTCAGCTCAGAACTGTTTGGTCAGGACGTTTCCATGTAGTAACGTACCCGCCAGATCAGATACAGGTGGACTTGTGGTGCCAACTACCTCAGGTATCTCAGGTACCTCAGGAAGGCCTCCCGATTTCTGTTCGCAATATTTTCTGATTTTCTCATTTGCCTTGTACATTATCGGTTGCTTTTTATGCGATTAGAGCGAGAGCAAGCTTCGTATGTTTCTAGGTAAAGAAAACTTGATTAGCCCTTTTGACGCCGAAGGCGTGCACCATCCAAGAACATAGGGCTTGGACTCTGAAGCTGTATTCCATAAAAAACCCCCATCATACTATCTTGAGATTAGTTAAAGGTCTTATACAAGGGGCTTGGTGCTATACCTAAATAGTAGATATGCTGTCAAAAGAAGCTCTAGGATTGACCCATGGCAGCGATGAGAGGGAGTCTAACATTGCGCATGGCACCTGAGTATGTCAAGATGATTGTTTCCATTGTAGAGGATCTTCAGCGGACGGCTTTTTTGTCGATGAAATAAAAAGAGTCCCCTTGGAAGAACAGTAGTGCAAACAAGAGAAAGTTCTCGCCGGGAAGGAACATGGCGGAGCTGCCGTGCCGTCAAGCGTGAGCACAACGTATTTGCACTCTCCCGAAAGATCTAGCTTGTTCTCTAGCCCCTACCAAAATATTCCTAGACTTTTCCAGATGATTTTCCGTTTGAAATCATCTGAAGAAGAGCTAGACACCTAGGTCTCGAACTCGGATCATCCTTCCATACTAAAGCCCGGATTTCTCTTCTATCAATCTCTTCGGAACAAGACTATAGAGACGAACCAACTCAAGCGCACCTCGCAAATTACTCTGTGTTTGCTAGGTGGCAAAGGCTCTGCATCACTTACTTCAACTCTTGGCCTTCTGCAGTCCCGAGTCCCTCATCGGGCCTTGTCGCAGGGAACAAGACGCCCAACTCGGCTGTCCCCACCTAAACAGCCGCAGTACTGGGGATCGAGGACCCTGAGCATTTGGAAGGTGATTTCATGTCGGCCCAAGTGAGAGAAGAAGATATTGCCATATTTGTTTCGAAGTCCCTCCAGCTTCTGCTTTATAAAATCCATAGTGATAGTCGCGTCTTTGACCACCGTGAATAACGGCAACTCCCACGTGACTAGGACGCTGAGTTGCCTATTACCAATCATTGGGGAAGCATAGAGTGATATTGTCGGAGGCTTGGGAATCCAACGAAGATCTCTTCTGTGATGCAGGGCATCTTGGAAACCTGTTATTTCTTCGCACTGATGGCAACTTTTAGGCTCAAGGAAAATACCGAAAACAGATCTGTCTGCCCGAACTCTGTCTGCACTGGTACGCTCCGAATGCGTGATCTTGCCCCAGGACCAAGAGACTGGCACCGTCAGATGAGGACAAGACCGGATGAATGCGTCGTGCGCAATGCATTGACGAATTTCTGGGCCCTTTTTGCGCTGCTCAGCAGAGAAGACCAATTTCCTGTAGGATACCTTGCAACGAAAAATACGTGTCTCCCCACCTAGTGTAGTGGTACGCTTCCTCCCTGTGGGTGGGCGAAAGTCTCCTCATCGCACATTTAGTACAAAGAGCGTTCAGTTTGGCTCGTACAACGGTTGCTTCGTCATCCTGGAAACTCTCTGATCTGCGTGACCAGATTCTCACTTCTCTACGATGGGACTTCTCAAATTCTTTTCCCAGATAGATATGCCAAAAGATGAATGATATTTGGCGGACCATGCAAAGATCGGCTATCTCGAGAGTTTCCAAGATGCGTACCAGCAGCTCATCAGGAAGCCGGATTATCGGACTTTGCCGGTGATTTCTGTCAAAGTTGGACTCCCAGTAAGGACGTTCATGTGATGCCATGGGGTGAGTTCGCTTAGGGTGTGGGTAATTATTCAGGACATCTCGATCCTGTGCTTTCGGCTTAGAGCATATCGGTTCAGAGGCTGTCAATCCAGAGAATGCCGATCCCGAGCATGTCGGCTTAGATAATGTCACGGCTGTTTCCCAGAGGATTTTTCCTCGCTTGATGCAATACTTTTGAGACATAAAACAAGGAACCCAATATGACCGATGCACCATTTTGCTATAGAGCGTAGAGCGGGATCCATGGATGACGCTTTTGAGTGTCAAACTTTTGTGTAGATTATTTGTTGCTCTGAAAGGGGATCGAGGGGTAAAATTCTCAGAAACAGGTTGTGCAAAGAATCAGATTACAATTCCACAGGCATTACCCATATATAGCTTGGACTGCGGGTACCGGGATAGGTAAGGTAGAGAGACGTCCAAGACGGTCAGCTGAGGTGCCACGTCAAAGTTCGGTAGAGTAGGCGCAATAGCAGAGCTGAAGAATCCATCAAGGCAACCAAGGCGAACAAGGTGCAAGGAACGACCATCTAAACCTCCGAGTCTAACATTCGTGACCTGTCAGACATACGTCAGAAGCACCTGGCTTTGACCTTCTCGTTCGACCGGACAAGAGCACCGTGGACAACTCGTCTCCTTATTAGCGACATGGATAAAAGCTTCTGTGGTTGAACTCTAAAATCATACCTTGAATAGCTTGAGGTTTCCTACATTCCTGATTGACCGTGCTTGGAAAAGCCGACTCTCAATGAACATGTCCTCATACGATCGCCTTTCACTACCGGTATGCCTTGAAGCCATCGGCGATAACGCGAAAGTGCCCAGGCATTGCTACAATTCAATTTCTTATGCAAAATTCGCTTCTGGAAACAATTCAGATTTATTCAAGTCAAGTTTTATGTTCGCGGCTTTGACAACCGAACAAAGAAAGATATCTTCTCGTTCAAAAATGGTGGCATATCGTGGCCCACCCCCACTCTTGTCACCAAACTCCCACTTTCGTCCAAGATAAGCTCCTCCACTTACACCGTAGATTTGATGTAGTATAAGTATCATTGCAAATGCGAAAGGAAAAGGAAACCGGCAATGAGTCTTCACTATCGAGAACATCCTCAAAATCACTGCCATTTCACTCGCAATTAGTATGTGGTCCAACAAGGTCTGATGCCACTGTTGCTAACTCCACAAAGTGTCTTCCTCGGAAGTTGAAGCCATCACCGCAGTCCTCCACAAGTACGGAGCAGCTCTGAAGAGCCGCAACGTGGAGGACGTCGTCAATCTCTACACGTCCGACGGCGTCATCATGCCGCCTCACTTCACAGCCACCGTGGGCACAGCCGCACTTCGCGAATCCTACACGCGCATCTTCTCGACGGTTCAGCTGGTCATCGCGTTTTCAATAGAGGAGATTGTCATCATGTCTCCTGAATGGGCATTCGCGAGGACGACCGCCGAGGGCACCAAGACGATGCTGGCGACACAGGCGTCTGAGGAGCATGCGAACCAGGAGCTTTTCATTATGAAGAAGGAGGATAAGGGTTGGAGGATTGCTAGATACGCATTTTCGACGATGAAGCCTCTGGTTCAAGATGGTGTACGGAGGAGTTGAGGGGAACTATTTATTTTTACACTACGCAAGGGCAAAGGTTTGTGATTCGATGACCAGGAACAAGATTAGCCATGGTGAGACCGCAAGAAAAGCAGATTTATAGATTAAATACTGTAGGCATTGCATTGACTTATATGTCGATCTATCACCAAGACTAGGACTGCAATAAGGTACCAAGCATATGGTTGTATCTCGCAGAGTGAAACTCGATATCTTACGTTGGCCCACACGAATTGATCGTCTGAGACATCGTGGAGATCTGAAGAGCTGAAGATCTTTCCAGGGAACTGAAATGTTCAACATATCCGTCATCCGCGAACCGGAGGAGGCTGGACACGTAAAAGCCTCCCTATCTCTCAGATAAGCAAGTGAGGTTCAAGTGTATTCAATGGCTATGCCAGCAAGTGTGCGACAAAAGAGTATGCTGGCCGACGTGCTTTGCCCTCGCCCTATCATCACTACTTTCTCACTATGCCCTCCTTAGGATTGTGACATATTCTTCGTGGAATAAAAAGACACTGAAGGAGCAAAGTAGTATTGACAATGATGACAGAAGGTGGAGCAGAGATGTTGCAATATTAATTGATCAACCGACAAATCAATCTATGATCGATCAATCTATTATCAACCAACCTTTCAACTAGTCCATCAACGAACCCGTGAACTAATCCTCAACCAACCCATCAACTAACTTATCAACGAATGGAAAACACTAAATACGAACTGAAAAAAACGAACAGAGATTTGGATGTGTTGAACGACATCATTTTTTCACTAACCTGCGTGGATCCCTCTTATGTGAGTAAGCATCTCTGAGGTCCACATCAATTCATTCCATGTCCGCAGAGCCTACTGTGGCTTTGTCTATCGACGTCGAGATGGATAAAGTATTATACCTTACATACCTTATGCAATGACTGCGTCACCGCCCTCAAGTCTTCTGTCACAGCAACATCAAGCTAGGTTCGACTGAAGGTTAGCTTTCGGCTCTAATCTCAATTTCTGATACTAGCTTCATCCGAGCTGCGAGCCATCGGCTCCGAATGACCTGGTTTGCCTCCTGGCTTCAGCAGGCTGCAGCTCTGTAGTTGAGGATGACACATGCAAGCCTTCTCGACGATGAAGAACTTGCCTCTTTGACTCACATGCATGCTGAAAAATTGTTCATACAACGGCGCCGACATCGCTCATGTTCGCAGGGGTCCAAAGATGCCAAATGCCAGTGCCGTCGTAAATCTACAAACCCATCGTGGATTTCAATTGAGAACCCTTGGCGATTCTCGTTATCAGCTTAGGGAGTTAGTCACATGCTGTGGAGCAAGATAATCCGAGAACCGTTCTTTTATTTCAAATCAAGTCGATGAGATCAACCATTGATGAAAACCGGGGCCGACACGTGTGAGATGGGCCCGCTCACAGGCGGTAGGAATGGAGACACTGAAGACAGGACGGGTCTGGCAGACGGGCCGGGGGTGGGAATCTGGGAAGATGGGTAGATGGGCAATGAGAAACTGGGTCGGTGATGTTTCGCTCGAATCACGGAATTGCCAAGAGTGTGGGGGAAAGGAAGAAGCTTGGGCTCCACATTGGCTGTCGACGGCTTCAGTGGCAATGAGAGTTTTAGGTCGCAGGTCACCCGAGGCCGATGCAGCGTGAGGTGAACGTGTTTCTGGCTGGCGAACATAGACATAACCTGACCCTGGACCATGGAAATCGAAGAAAAGTTGTCATCACGTTTGCCAGTTTGATACCGGGGAACGGTGGCCAATGGATGGTGGTGGTTGTGTTACTGGGATATCGTTACCCTGGACACAGAACCTTGGCCTTGCGCTCTGTACACCATCAACCAAGTGTAAAGAAGGTCCGGAAACCGGCGATTTTAGCCACGATCGTCGCTCCAACAACCCTACGCGGTTTCCTTTGAGGTGCTGTCCGGCGGCTTGGTCTACTTCCTCTTCCACTTAGCGTTGATATTCACAGTGCGTGAATGCCCAGCCGATGGTCTCGACTTTTCCGCAACTCTTCGCGATGGGAGGCAGCACAAAGTGGGGTGGGGGTGACGTCGTGGACTTCATAAGAAGCTGCTCCCCTGGTCGTTTTGCCTGCAGCTGGGTAAATATAGCTGGTGGTAGGTAGGTACCGAGGTCCATACTTTCCTTGTCTGCTTATGTAAGGTGAGGTGGTTAAGGCGCGTACTATGTAAGTGCACGTACCGCGTAGCATCCATCTGTGGAGGGGAACGGGAAGGAAGGAGCTTCCTAAGGGCAGCAAAAACAGCTGAGGAAAAGGCGATTTGCGGGGTTATCTCGGCCAACCAGGAGACGCCCAATTCAATTCTCCTCACGGAAGGAGTCAAACACAAATGCAGTCTGCGGGAAAGAACAGAACAGACGCAATGGAAGTTACTTCCTGGAACACAGAGCCCCGCTTGGTCGCATTAATGGGGGATAAATGGAGCAAAATGGGGTACAGCGATGGAGCACAGCCGGGTCGGAGCGAACGGAACACAACAGCGAACGTGCAATTCCGCTGGGTTCCGATGTCACTGTCTAACGCTCCTCTCCTCACCTCAAGGTACGATGTACCGCATCCACTTCACATGGCGGCATGGCTACCCGCTGCTTATCACCTCCGTTTCAATTGGACGCAAGGGTCCTCACTTCACACTCCCGCACTCCCTACACCTTGACCTGCAGCTACAGACAGTCCAAACCCTCCCACGTCCATCTCTGCTCTCTTACATGCTCTTTGCAGTACTGAGCACCTACTGCCTCTTCCCCGGCTCAGAGACCAGCGGCAGCTATCGAATGGGTCGATGGATCCTCCCCGCACGGCATTTTGAATCGGCCCAAGCTACTGTTCCATGCTGGTCACGCAAGCTCACGGTATTGTTGCATCTTTTACAAACTGTGAAGCTAACGCACCAATGTGGCAATCCCTCCGACTTTTGCTAGGGGTAGTCTACAAACATCTGAATGTCCGCGTCATAGCAACAAGAGCCTGCTCTACCCGTTCCCTAACGCCGCGATAACTTCCCTCGGCTCCTCACCTTGGCCAACTCGCCCGCCTCTCGAGCACATCTCGAATCTCCGAGCCGGTATCGCGCTGCAAGGCCTAGATTTCTTCGTGACCAACTGGCGGGGGCAATGAGACAACGAGACAACGACTAGCCGTTCGTTGGGCGTCCTCGAACAATCAAAGACCAAAGGACCCTTGAGAAAACATAGCCGTCGCCTCCCATCATTTGTCATTCCGCCCCGAGCTACCCTGAACGCCTTCCGCCCAAATCCCAAGAACCCCCACCCACACCAACATGACTACGGCATAGTTCCTGCTGTCACACGTTAGTGCAGCATTAATAGGAAAGAGGTGAAAGTGCACAGTGGTTCTTACTATGTACTCGGTCCTTGACCACGCACCCCTCAACCGCCAACAAGATTCGGCCCATTGGTCATGCAATGAGTGAGGGGGAGGGGAGGCCGTGGCATAAAACGCGGGGTCGCCTCCTTCCACTTGCCGAGTAATCTTGTGAGCGAACTCTTTTCTTTTTTTTGCCTTCTCTCCTTCTACACGATCCGACGATTGACTGTTGACCATAGAAACATCAATCTCCCTTCACCAGGCAACACATCGAAACACATCACAAACAACTAAAACACACAATCAGACACCATGGCCGAGGAAAAGTGTCCCTTTATTCGGACCATGAACACCGGAGGTGGCGGCACCAAGAACCGCGACTGGTGGCCCGATTCGCTGAAGCTTAACATTCTTCGCCAGCACACTCCTGTCACCAACCCATTGGGTGGTGACTTTGACTATGTCTCCGCCTTCAAGACCCTCGACTACGACGGCGTCAAAAAGGACCTGACGGCTCTGATGACCGACTCTCAGGATTGGTGGCCTGCCGACTTTGGCCACTACGGAGGTCTTTTCATCCGTATGGCATGGCACAGCGCCGGTACCTACCGTGTTCACGATGGACGCGGCGGCGGTGGTGAGGTAAGCTGCTTGGGAAATCCAGAGGATTACTCTTGCCCAACGAGATACTAACTATCGATGCTCACAGGGTCAGCAACGTTTCGCCCCTCTCAACAGTTGGCCCGACAATGTCAGTCTTGACAAGGCCCGCCGCTTGCTGTGGCCCATCAAGCAAAAGTACGGCAACAAGATCTCCTGGGCTGATCTGATGATCTTGGCCGGCAACGTTGCTCTCGAGTCAATGGGCTTCCAGACTGCTGGCTACTCCGGCGGACGTCCCGATACCTGGGAGGCGGATGAGTCTGTCTATTGGGGTGGCGAAAACACATGGCTCGGCAACGACGTCCGTTACTCCCATGGCCACGCAGGTAAGGCTGATCAGGGCGTCCTCGACGGCTCCCAAGACACCAAGAGCAAGTCAGACATTCACACCCGCGATCTTGAGTCACCACTTGGTGCTGCCCACATGGGTCTCATTTACGTGAACCCTGAGGGCCCCGATGGCAACCCCGACCCGGTCGCTGCTGCCAGAGATATTCGCGTCACCTTTGGACGCATGGCTATGAACGACGAGGAGACAGTCGCTCTCATCGCTGGTGGCCACACCTTCGGCAAGACCCATGGTGCTGCCCCCGACAGCAACGTCGGTGCCGAGCCTGAGGCCTCCGGTCTCGAAGCACAGGGCTTTGGCTGGGCCAACAAGCACGGCACTGGCAAGGGCGCCGATACCATCACCAGTGGTCTGGAGGTCACTTGGACTGCTACCCCTACCAAGTGGAGCAACAAGTATTTCGAGTACCTGTTCCAGTTCGACTGGGAGCTTACCAAGAGTCCCGCTGGTGCCAACCAGTGGGTGGCAAAGAATGCCGAGGCCATCATTCCCCATGCCTTCGACTCCAGCAAGAAGCAGCTTCCCACCATGTTGACAACCGACTTGTCGCTGCGCTTCGACCCCGAGTATGAGAAGATCTCGAGACGCTTCCTCGAGAACCCGGATCAGTTCGCCGACGCTTTCGCCAAGGCCTGGTTCAAGCTCACGCATCGTGACATGGGCCCCCGCTCCCGCTATGTCGGACCTGAGGTCCCTACCGAGGATTTCATTTGGCAGGACCCTATCCCCGCTGCCAGCTCACCCCTAGTCAGCGAGCAGGACGTTGCTGCCCTCAAGAAGGAGGTCCTCGCCACTGGCATTGATGCTTCCAAGCTCATCTCCACTGCCTGGGCTTCCGCTTCTACCTTCCGTGGCAGCGATAAGCGCGGAGGTGCCAACGGCGCTCGCATTCGCTTGGCACCTCAGAAGGATTGGGAGGTCAACAATCCTAAGCAGCTCGCTGAGGTTCTCAAGGCCCTCGAGGGTGTGCAGCAGAAGTTCAACGGCTCCGGCAAGAAGATTTCGCTGGCCGACCTCATCGTCCTCGCCGGTGCTGCTGGTGTCGAACAGGCAGCCAAGAACGCAGGGTATGACATTACCGTGCCCTTCACTCCTGGTCGTGGCGATGCTACCCAGGAGCAGACTGATGTTGAGTCTGTCGACTACCTGCAACCTTACGCCGATGGCTTCCGCAACTACGGGAAGTCAGGCAACCGCGCGAAGACAGAGCACTACCTTGTTGACAGAGCACATCTTCTTACGCTCACCGCCCCCGAGCTCACTGTTCTCGTCGGTGGTCTGCGTGTGCTGAACACCAACTTCGATGGCTCATCAGCCGGGGTCTTCACCAACCGCCCCGGTGCCTTGACCAACGACTTCTTCGTCAACTTGCTCGACATGGGCAACGAATGGAAGGCCACCAACGACCAGGATGTCTATGAGGGCTTCGACCGCAAGTCGGGCTCCAAGAAGTACACTGCTAGCCGTGTCGACCTTGTCTTTGGTTCTCACGCTGAGCTCCGCGCTGTTTCAGAGATTTACGCTCAGGCTGATGCTGGACAGAAGTTCGTCAAGGACTTCGTGACCACTTGGGACAAGGTCATGAACTTGGACCGCTTCGATCTGAAGAAGCAGTCTGGTAGCGTACCGAGTCGCCTGTAGATCGGTAGAATGAACCGCGGAAAAAGCAATGTCGATTATGAGGAAATGAGACCATCCGTAGCCTTCGTGCTTTGAGATAGCCTAGTGTAGTCTAGTGACCTGCAGATAGGAACATGTATTTACGTTTCACGATCACCGACGCCTAACACGCCTTACTCGAACAGTTTTCCTTCGCCTGTAGAGATTTTGCAGATTGACCATGCAGAGGCGCACAATATTGCCTCATGGCGGCCCGCCAGCTCACCACCCATATAACCGATGGTCTTCTTGGTCTATGTATCCACAGATTATAATCGATAGCCAAAATTTCCAGCTTTCACTCAAAAAAGGCACGGCTGCGCAACATTATGCGACTTCTTCTTTGAAGCTGTTGCTGTTGTAGGACGGCTCCGGATGCCTGTTTGTCCACGACTAATGTGGCTGGTGGCGTGGCTGAACGTGGTGGGTGCCTTCCCAAGCAAGCCTAGCAAAAGCAGCGTGATCAGAAGACCCTACCTACTTTAACTAACTTAGAGAAATACAGGTATGCCAATCTTGAGTATAGCGTCGAAGACCGTTCCGGTGAACTGCAACGTCAAGGGCAACAGGACTGAAAGTAACCCACCCCTCTTCATATAACCTCGCTCCAAAGCTCGTTGGCGGCTGGCCTGGAGTCAAGTCACAGGTAACTGATATTCGGTTCAAGGACGCCCGCTTGCAGCTCGTGTTACAGAGGTAACCAGTCTGCCAGACCATATAGAATTGCAAACGAAGACCGACAGACAAATCTAGACCGCTAACTGATGAGCGCAACCACAGACAGGATGGAATCATCGATTCCGAGGCTCTGGTCGCCCGGTAGATGTAACAGCTTTGATTTTAGCTTCTGGGGCCGAGTGGGTGGCACAAGCTTCCCCTGACAAGAGACTGGGGTTGTGAGATGTGCGGGGCGCTCGGGATCCGCTGAAGAGCGAGACCCTTGACTTCCATGACTCCTTCTCTGCATTGCCAAGTCTGGTTCTGAACATGGAATTATCTGATGTTTTGTTGTAGACTGTAGATCCTGTCAACCCAAATCTCCCTAGACCAACCCGCGTCGGCAACCATTTCTTTGATTACGGTACCAGCATCAGCGGGTGGATTCTTGTCTATTCGCCTTGAATGGGCCACTGCTGGTAGGGCTGGGCGAACTAGCAGTGCCGCACCTGCAAGGGATGAAGCCACTTGATACTGGCGATCGGGAAATTATGGTGCGATCGCCTGTGGCGTCCTACCCATGAATACGCTTGAAGACTTGGAAATGCCTCCTCCACGTCTTAGCCTACGTCGGCCCCAAGAGCCCCGGAATGGACTTGTGCGACTTCACGAAAGACAATACGGAAGGGCGAAGCCGTGATTGGGCAACGCTGCCAGCAGCTTGTATGATGGGCTGGGGACTAAATCCATCACCACGGAAGAAACCCTGTCTTGCTTGTCAGTCTAGCGAAATGTGCCGCGGTCCTTGAGGCTAACGTCGATATGATCGGATTGTGCGACCCTGAATGCGAAGTGCAAACCGAGTGAAAGCCTAGTTAAATGTCACTTGTACCTTTGACCGAGAAATATAGTCAAGCCAATATCAGGGTCTGGGTCCACACTCTCCGGCCCTATTTGATCTCCTTTTCACGCTTCATAGCAACGATTTCCCAACGACCCCACATCCTTTGCACCTGGCTGTACCATCGTCCACAGCAGCATCCAGCAATACAATGAGTCAAGATGGCGGCTGAGCTTTACTTTGAGCAATGCTGGGCTATTCTGAGCACGATCGGCATCTCAAATGTGTTCCTGGGCTTCATCGTCATCAGCATCACGAAATTCTCAAGCATCGCGATGGTCCCGATCATCACAAGCATGGCCTGTGCCATCGCCAACGGACTCTGTTTTCAAATTTTCTACACGGATAGTTCACCATTGAATAAGGCGCTCGCATCTGGGTTCGCGGATACTTTCTGGCTAGTACGAAATCCACTGGAAGGCCGTTTGGTAGCGAATTCCATGATTGACACCGAGTTCAGGTTCAAGAAGCTGGCATGTCATTCTACTCGTATGCTATGCTGACTCACATGTTGTCGGGCCGTAGTCGGACGATCTACCTGACGACCTTTTGGGTCTTGATTGCAGGCATCACCGCTCTGCGTGGCACCATCTTGATAGCTCGAGTCAAGGGCATCTACGACGATACCAACAACACCGCGTCCAAGATTGTCGACTTTGTCCACGTCTGCTACTTTGTGCTGCTGGCTCTTCTGGAGTGTCTGAGCGCCTTCTACTTGCTCCGGAAATTTGCGTCGACGAAGAAGAGGTCGTTGCGGGCTGCGTTAAACATCAGCCTATGGGGTCACTTGATGCGCAGCACAGAGATACGTGTGTCTTCTCTGGCGTTGATAGGGGTGACGAGGTCTATCACGTACACCTTCCATCCGTCTCTCTTGAATACGCCTGCCACGACGCCCAGGCAAATCGACCGATTCGTGTACACGTTGGAGTGTATCTTCCCTGTCATCCTGTAGTGAGTCTTTCGATCCCTTTTACAACTTGGATCTAGTTTTTTTGGCTTACCTAGACGGATGCAGTTTCGATCTGTTAGCTTGCATGATACAGTCCGAGAATCATGGGGCGAAGAACAATTACAACATACGGCACGTGGAAACACCAAACATCCTAAGAGATTCAGCAACTGGCGAGCTTAGCAGTACGATATCGCCATCGTCAGAGAAGCCTGTTGAGATTTGTAGGGAAACCCGAAGATAGTGCTCTTGCTCGAATCGATGTGGCTAGAAGGTTATGTCAAAAGTTGATAATGACTTGTTGCACGTGGTGACTTTGCCCTGCCTTCTTGGGTTTACTTATGGCACCACGTAGTGATTTTCGACCCCTTCATCTTCCTCGAACTGCACCTGCCGGAAACGTCACTGCATGGCATATTACAGACACTAGTGTAAACCGGGTTGGCGTAGGCCGACTCGGGCAGCATAACTCGAGTGGGCCTGGCACCGAACCCCTCCTGCAAAACAACCTCAATAGGTGCGGTGTGTTGTTCAACTCTGCATCATAGTTACGATATAACCCCACTCACTGTTCCATCGCAATTGGCATCAACACTAGCTGTGTGATGCAAGTGGAGTCCTGTTTTCTCAATCGGTGACCGAGAATGACGGCTAGACCCTCCGAACTCCGAGACGTAGATCACCACTGCGGCTCTGCCATCTGAAGGTCCTGATTAGAAGGTAACGGCGACTATGAATGGTATGTGGCATTGAGACCCACAACGTTCTAGTGCAACGAGTTTATTGAAGTTGAAGCCGATAAGCCCGCCGTTTGCTGACAACTCAGACACTTAGTGTAAGTGTCAGAGATTATTCACACAACACAGCCGCAAGATGCGACGTTGAAATCGTGGATCACTAATACGGGTAGATGAAACAAGGTTTTGTTTAATCGTTTCACTGATAGGGTACGCTCTAAGTCTAATAAAACGGAACTGCAGATCGGGTATCCGTAGGAAAAAAGGGGGTACCACAAAATCGAAAGTGAACATGCTTCACGAATTGTACCCCCACGTGCCTCTGACTCTCTCAGCAATCTAGAATACGACCCAGCTCAACAGACAAGCTTTCAACTCCTTCTCCACTAGCAATGTAGCTGCGACTCTTGCTGCAATGCTGCTGCCGCCTTCCTTGACGACATGGATCTACGGATACACAGCACCAAGCTGCCGACACGTGTAACTGTGGCGGTGTCTCTTACAAGTGCCACCGGCATTCCCTGCTTGAAGCCTGTTGTCTATGAAAGAGATGAATGCCTTGCTGAGGATGGTACCACGTGAGAGTCTATTGCATTTCCGCTGGACCACGATATTGTATGATTTTCAAGACGTTGGGCACTGCTGCATGTAATGGTCCGCTCAGAACCACTCGGCTGTAAGCGTTGCTAGGTAAAATCTTTACCCACTGACCCTTGACCACATTCTTGTCATGTTTTCCCTTGGAGTTCAGGAGAAGCTCAAGGCGGCCGAAGCTTGACAAGGGTCTGGTGATTATGGTGGAGACGGTCACTTAGTTGCCGGTAGCGGGGGGGTTGAGAATAGAGGATGTATCAGAGAACATTGAACTTTTCAAATTTTTATTACCCTGTAACACTAGGAATTTGCTGCATAAATCTAAACCCCTCGTTCCTGAACGATATTTTTTGGGGGAGGCAGAGCTGTAGTTTGTTAAAGGCCGCCTTGTCTATGATCCCAAACCTCCCAAAGTAACCCAAGAAAAGAAAATAGAGGCCAGCTCGGCCTACCACGCCACTTGACCATACGCGCCGTTCTTTTTTGCCTTGGTGGACTGTCTAACCTATTGTGACTTTCCTGTAAATAACTATCACAAGGTTAGGTTAGCAGATAAAACAGCAATCGGGAAGAATCAAAGCTGCCATACCCCTCCCGAGCCCATGCTGTTGCGATTCTTCCTTTTGCGCCAGAATATCAATACGGCCATTGCCAGGATGGATGTCGCGGCTGTTTTTGATTGAATTAGCTCATGGAAAGAACCAGATACCAACTCCATGTTGCTCTTACCAATGCCTCCGAGCACCCCAAGAACGGCAACGCCAGATCCACTGGTGAAAGATACACCTTGAGTAGACCCAATGGCTGATGGCTGGGGTTGAGGTTGAGGCTTGCTTCCACTATCGCCGTTGAGGTCGTTCGATGGGATTGGGATAGATGGCGCAGTTACTGTTATCGTCTGGGGCGCAGCGGTGACGAAAACTGTATTTGTAGGGCTCGGGAGAACCGAGGATTGAGGTCTCGTTGTTGTGATGAACACTGTGGTTCTTGATACTGACACGCTTGGGCGAAGGGTCGGTGACTTTGGAGGTGCACTAGAGATCGGTGTTGATGGAGGTGTAATTATCCTTGGTGGTGCGCTTGATGAGGGTACTACAGCAGGTTGAGTGGTCGTTGGAATCTGAGGGAGCGTGTCCGCAGGACCATTGGATGGCAAAGGAGCATGAGTAGATGTTATTAAGGTGGTTTGCTGAGGAGCTGGGAGTATAGGTATGTCAGAGCCTATGAGAGGTCTGTTGGGCGTCAGAGGTCCTGGCGACTTGACGGCTCGTTCTTGGTGTTGCTCTTGAGGAATGTCGAGCCGAAGGTTGGGAGGAGGACCTCTCCTACGGTTCATCGAAAGACCAACCATCTTGTTCCGCTTAGGTAGCTGTAAGTCTGTGTGGTTGTTCGCTGCGAAGACGATGTCAGCTAAAACGGATCTCTGCCACAGCCATGGGCGGCCTGCATCTTCTCACCAGCGACACTGAACTCTCTCAAGACCGAGACCACGACGAGTACATTTCGCCAACGAGGTCGTCTGTCAAAGGCCGCTCGAGATCCCTCAGCAGGAGCCTCAGCGTTGCCAGCTCGCGTAGCAGTAACTCGTCCATCTTCTTCGGCCGGCCGAACTCATTGCCTTCCATCACGGAGAGCGAAAATGATCCCCACGGCACTGGGTTCCGCGACCCGTTTGCGGATCAAAACTCAATAGAACGGCTTTCTCCTTCGCGTGAAGCTCAGAACCCGTTCGACGATAACAATAGCGGCGATGAGGGAACAGCCGTTCAAGAGCTGGAGCCAGAGCCACCTTACCACGTTTTCACGAAGAAGCAGAAATGGGTCGTCATCGTCATCATTGGAGCTGCTGGACTGTTCTCTGGTCTTTCTTCCAACATCTATTTCCCAGCTCTCGATACGATTGCACGGGTAAGTGCTATTCATTCTCTCGGAGTCCTCGGAAACTCTCTAATTCACAAAATTTTCATAGGATCTCAATGTCAGCTCGCAGATGGTTTCTCTGACCATCACATCCTACTTGATCATCCAGGGCATCTCCCCGCTGATCTGGGGCTCGATCTCGGATGCTCTGGGCAGAAGGCCAATCTACATCGCCTCGTTCGCCGTGTACATCATTGCCAACATCGGACTCAGCTTCTCTCCCAATTTCACAGTTCTTCTGATCTTCAGGGGCTTGCAAGCCGCCGGAAGTGCCTCCACCGTGAGCATTGGTAAGTTACACACGGGAAAATACAACCTTTCCTCTCCCTTGGACCTCTAAATTTAGCCAAGAAAACATGAAAGTCGTCGTAATTCCTTCTTGCTGACCAGTGCAACAGGAAACGGCGTAATCCAGGACATTTCACCCCCAGCCGAACGGGGAGCCTTTATTAGTTTCTACCAGGCGAGTAAGTCACTATGGGCCCTATCGCTGTTTCACTAGCATTACAGTGTTTTGCTCGGTGGCTCGGTTTTATCTCCTGGTGAGCTCGGAGCTAACACCTCGTAGTCCGAAACTTCAGCATAGCAGTCGGGCCTGTGCTCGGCGGCCTGCTCGCCAACTTCCTCGGGTTCCGGTCTATCTTTGTCTTTCTCCTGATCCTTTCTTCTATAGTCACCTTGGTGATTGTGTTTTGGCTGCCTGAAACCATGCGGAGCATTGCCGGGAACGGCTCGCTTCGTTTAGGGGGCATTTACAAGCCGATCGTATGGTACCTTGGCAAGGAGCCAGACTACCTGGAAGACCCGGATGAACCCATCCCGCGGAAGAAGGTGACATTGATGACCTTTATCGAACCGTTACGGCTGTTGATTCAGAAGGACATCTTAATCAACTTGGTATTTGGTGGCGTGGTCTATACCATATGGACTATGGTCACGTCAAGTACCACCATCCTGTTCAAGGAGTTGTTTGGACTTAGTGACCTGCAAACTGGTCTCGCATTTCTACCTAATGGTACGCACCCTCTACACCTTCGCACTTTCACCTTACCTCTATAAGGAGTCTCGCTAACATGTAGGACAGGACTTGGAACTATTGTTGGGTCCGCAATCGTGGGCAAGCTAATGACAAAAGACTATCTCGAGGCGGAAGAGAAATACAAGACATCTCATAACATAACAGGAACAGAAAAGCTCTCAGGAAAGAACATGCCCGCCGAATTCCCCATAGAGCGCGCTCGCCTCCGTCGTCTTCCATGGATCGTCCTCATCTTCGTCGCTTCCACTGGCGGCTACGGCCTATCCCTCAACTTCCCCTCCACCACCTCCCGATCAGGCTGGATCGCAGTCCCACTCGTCCTCCAATTCTTCATCGCTGCCACCAGCAACGCCGTCTTTGCCCTCAACCAGACCCTTGTCACCGACCTGTGTCCCGGAAAGGGTGCTAGTGCCACCGCGATAAACAACTTGGTTAGGTGCGGTCTGGGAGCTATCGGCGTAGCATTGGTAGACAACTTTGTTGCTACCACGGGACCTGGCGCCGCGTTCTTGGGCCTGGCCCTCGTCACGGTTGCTGTTGGGCCGTTGGCGGTGATACACTGGTACTGGGGACAGACCTGGAGGGCGGCGAGGATGAGGGAGAAGAGCTCGAACAACGAGAAGGCATGAGGCCCCAAGGTCTCTGCGTTGCATTAGTCGTCACACATAGTGGCTTGGTGAGGCCGTGTCTGTGACGCCTACCGGTCGATGCATTATCACAAGTCTGTAGCGTTGAGCGTGCATGATTTGGTGATTCCGCGAAAGGGAGTTTTACATCATAGTTTGGCCACAAAAAAGCAGGATAGAACTACATAGAACTACATTTACAAGCAGTATTAGACACCGCTTCAACCTTCCTCCCAACTTCATACCTGCACCAACCCGAGGAAATTCATCATGTCTCTCTAACTCTACTCTTCAACCTAAGGATGGAGTCGACGTCCTTTGATGTACAACAAGGAAATTGATTGCCGAGTCTTGGCGAAAACGAAGTGTTTGACACATGGGTCCGGGGCGAAATCGTGTAAAACCATTGGCTCCTGGGCCTCTCTCCAACACTCGATGAACCGCAGACAACCTGACACCTAACACATGCTGCCAAGCAGCCCGTCGGCTTACATCTTACCTAGCTATATCGAACCATTTCGCTTTCGGGAAAGGATTTGGACAGGTTGAGGATCTGAATAGACCGTATGAGGTCTGAGATTTTCCATCGCTTGGATCAAATCTTTCATTCTCGGGTATGAACCGCTAGTGCATCTTTCCCGAGAAATCGGCGCTCAAAATTTCCGAACATGATTCGGCATCCCGATGTCGCATACCCGAGCGGGGTTCATCTTATCTACAGCCCACGAAGAACACTCATCAGTGGCAGAAGCGTTCGGATCGGACCAGGTTCCGCGGCAAAGTTTGATAGTATTTAACAGGTCGATTGCTTAATGAGACATACGAATGCTCCTATCTACTCTCGTTCCTTCAGCAAAGACTCTTCAGCAAGACGTGCAGCATCTCCGTGGACCCCGCAATCGAGCAGCCATGGTGGAACTTGAACAAAATGGGGAGGCAACTCAGCCTGCGACGAAGATCGAGCAGCAATTGAACGCGTACGTCGACAAGTATGTCGCAGAGAACCAAGGCTCGCTCCAAGTCAACAAGACAGCCTCGGGATCGCTACCTGGAGGAACGACCAGATCTGTTTTGCATTACCTGCCTTTTCCATTGGCATTCTCGGGAGGCCACGATTGTCACCTGGCATCAGTAGATGGCGTCGAGTACCTCGACTTCGTGTCCGAGTACTGCGCCGGGATGTTTGGCCACTCGCACCCAAACATCATTGCTGCCATCAATAGCGTTACCAAGTCGGGATTCACCCTGGGTGGGCCAAGTCCAAAGGAGGGTGAATTGGCAGCTCTGCTTGTCGAGAGGTTCCAAAGCGTCGATGCTATTAGGTTTTGTAACTCGGGGACCGAAGCTAACACCATGGCGATTGGTACGGCGTTGCATTTCATCGGAAGAAAGAAGGTCAGCCGTTACAGTCCTTTGAGCCGTAGATTGTTTACTAAACCGTGCCTCGCGCTCAGGTCTTGGTGTTTGAAGACGGTTATCATGGCGGCACTTTAGCTTTCACGCCCAACAACCCGCTGATTCTCCCCCATCATTTCACGTACGGTCGATACAACGACATTGAGTACACCCGGTCGCAAATCACCGACGACATTGGCATCATCATCGTCGAGCCCATGCAAGGCGCCGCCGGCATGATTGAAGGATCAAAAAAGTTCCTCCAGTTCCTCCGAGATGAAGCCACGCGCATCGGCGCTATCCTCATCTTTGACGAGGTCATCACCTCGCGACTCAACTACGGCGGCCTGCAAGAGATCTACGGCATCAAGCCGGATATGACCACCATCGGCAAGCACTTTGGCGGAGGCTTCTCGTTTGGCGCGTTCGGCGGGCGCCAGGACATCATGGATCTGTATGATCCGCAGGTGCCGCGGACTCTCTTCCATTCGGGAACGTGGAACAATAACGTTTTTTCCATGACTGCGGGCGTCGCTGCCACAAAGCTTTTGTCGAGGGAGGCTCTTCAGAGGAACAATGAGCTGGGAAATAGGCTTCGCGACGAGCTGCGTGAAGTGTTTGGATCCAAGGATGCGTCTATTGTCAAGCTCACTGGCTATGGAAGTGCAATTGGTTTACACTTCCAGGGCCCGTCAGCAAGCAAGCTGCAGGACCTCTTCTTCTTTTACCTTCTCAGCAAGAGGGTCTATGTTGGACGTCGCGGGTTCCTTGCACTGAACCTTACTCATGGGGAGGAACATACTAACAGTGTCGTGAATGCGGTCAAGGACTTCTGCACAGAAGTGCTATGAGCAATGTCTGTAAGCTCGAACCTCTAATCCAATTCTACCAGCCCCTAGACTACGTCAAAACATAAAGTCTTAAATCTTGCCTGTCTCTCTCATTTGGTTACCATGAGTTTCAAAAACAACGTCGATTTTCTTCAGTATGATTCACTCTTCTTGAGACGGAGATCATGCTCTAGGCTTTAGCCTGACCGTCCGTCAACATTAGATCCAAGATCCTTCCTTGGCATCACCAACCTCCTCGTCATGATACTTAGAAAGGAAGGTTGATAGCGCAACATCGACTTTTGCTTGGCAAACCGAAAGTAACGTGGTATTAATTGCAATTCAACCTCTATCCGGCTCGGACCCAACGTTCAAATGCCCCCTGGACCCCTGTTTATCGGCGCAGATCAGCCTATCGCGCGGGGTAAACCACATCAACACCGGCGCAGCGGTTTGTGCGACCGTGCTTCTTAATTAAAAGACTCCCTCCGCAAACCGGTCAACCAGTCTCGTCTCATCTCACCTCACTTGCGCCATCGTCACTCATTCTGGCAAATAGCCGCCAAGCTCATGAAACAAAGCTATTGAGAGCCTCCTTTCCCTCTTGAACCTCCATTCACTGGCTCGGTATCACCTCCGAAACCCGCCCACAATGCCGGACCTCCGCCCCCGCCTCCTCGCCCCACTCCTCCTCTCCATCCTCACTGGGCGCTGCGTCCTCGGCCAAGCGTCGCCGGGTTTCCCTATGGTCATCAACACCTGGGGCGGCCCCTTCACAGCGGCCACCGACGCGGCGTACCAAGCGCTCGTGAAGCCCGGCACCTCAGCCCTCGACGCCGTCGAGATCGGCTGTGCAACCTGCGAGGCGAACCAGTGCGACGGCAGCGTCGGCTTCGGCGGTTCCCCCGGCGAGAACTGCGAGACCACCCTCGATGCCATGATCATGGACGGCGTCACCATGAAGTCCGGCTCCGTCGCTGCCCTGCGCCGCGTCAAGAATGCCATTGGCGTTGCTCGCCACGTGCTTGAGTATACTTCGCACACCATGCTCGCTGGCGACCTCGCGACGGAATTCGCCATTGAGAACGGCTTCGTCGCCGAGAGCTTGGCTACTGAGGCCTCCGCGGCGCGGTGTGCCGAGTGGCGGAGTGGGAACTGCCAGTCGAATTACAGGCAGAACGTCACGCCGGATCCTAAGGCCGCGTGTGGGCCGTATACACCCATTGAGCTCGACTCAAGCTCGTCCGGCTATTTTGATCTCATTGCGCCGAATTCGGCGCAGGCGTCACACGATACCATCTCCATGATGGCTCTAGACGCGAACGGGATCATGGCGGCAGGTACCTCAACCAACGGAGCCTCGTTCAAGGTTCCCGGTCGCGTGGGCGACGGCCCGATCACGGGATCCGGTTCATACGTCGACGGTGATGTCGGAGCATGCGGCGCGACCGGCGACGGCGACATTATGATGCGTTTCTTACCCTGTTATCAGGCCGTGGAGAGCATGCGAAGGGGAATGAGCCCGCAGGATGCGGCGAGAGATGCCGTAGTTCGCATGGTGAAGAAGTACCCGGCCGTGTCGAGCGGTATTGTGGTTGTCAACAACAAGGGTGAGCACGCTGGTGCCGGGTCTGGGTGGACTTTTACGTATGCCTTCAGAGGTGGCAAGATGAACGCTACCGAAGTTGTGACTGTTCCGCCAGTCTGTGTGACCCGATCTTTGCGCGTTGAGTCTGAGTTGCGGTAGAAAGCGTCGTGTTCATGAGAGCTGTCGAAAAATGTACCTAATTGATCTGACCCCCGGGAGACTACTACGCGGCCTTCGTCATCGAATAAACAACTTTCTTCGATACAAGATTCAGACTTCTTGAGCTGCAGGGAACATAATCGGGAACATAATCAGCTGTTTGCAACGGTCTACTCATCGAATGAGAACACAACCCCAAAAGACGTCAAAGCAAGGTTGTCTATCACCATTGTGGGGTTACAGCACACCATTGCCTCGCCTGGCTTTCGTCAGCCAACTTGCAGAGTGGCCAGCCAATCTAAACACTTATGTACCAGGTCGATGAAGCCCTCTACCGATATCGCAAAATCCCTTTTTCTTGGCACTTCAGATATTCTCTTACCCTACAATCCGACGATACTACCAGCCCACTTTTGGCCGCATCGGCGAGATTCACTGCGGCCATCCATTGACGTACTGAGCCTAACGCTCCTCATGGGCTCTGTATGAATTGCGCAATGGCGGGCAATTTCCGGGTGGGATACAGCTGGGATAAGGGCTCCCGAACAGTACACGTTTGCCATTTAATATCAGTCCGCCGAGTCTGCTTCGTCGAGCAAAAATGACTTGGATCACCTCAGTTCCCAATCGTTCTCATCCTGGAGGTCTCTGGTAGAGTGACTCAAAACTTTGCAACGATGTCATCCGCTCTAAAAGAGTCGGTCCCGAGAGACAAGTGGTGGGAGTGGAAATGGTTCTCACCAGACGACACGAAGGAGGAAAGACGCCTTATCACGAAGATTGATCTTCTCTTGGTACCTTATTCGGTACTCGGTATGATGTATCACACCCGCATTATCTGATGGCTATGAGGCTAACACCCTTTCTGAAAGGCTACTGGGTCAAATATGTTGACCAATCCAACTTGAATAACGCCTACGTTGCCGGCATGAAGGAGGACCTCGGTTTCTACGGAAACGAGCTTGTTCAACTACAGACGCTGTTCACTCTTGGATCCGTCTTGGGCCAGATTCCGTTCTTGTATAAACCCCGAATCTTAACAACCCAGTTGGAATTGCTGACAGGAACTCAAGATTTATCATGACCTACGTTCCAATCCAGTATCTCATCCCAATTTGCGATGTTCTCTGGGGCATTTTCACGCTCCTCCAGTATCGCGTTCACTCTTACGCAGAGCTGGCCGCCTATAGATTCATGGTGGGCTGGTTTGAAGCAGCATTCTTTCCAGCAATGCATTACGTATTCGGTACGCTTGGGGGACTTGAAATTGCTTGGGGCTTGTCACTGACTCTAATCTACATAGGCTCTTGGTATCGAGGCCACGAGATTGCTCGCCGCGGTGGTATCTTCTATACCGGTCTCGCTGCCGGCACATTGACAGCCGGCCTCATCCAAGCTGGCGCATCAAGCTCACTCGAAGGAGTCCACGGTATGATAATCCGGCTTCGAACCTAGCTAGTATGGTTAGGTGGTGTATTCGTCCCTGACAAGTCACCGCAGGTATGGAAGGCTGGCGATGGATGTACATCATCTGCGCTCTCATTACCATCCCCGTCGGCATCTTCGGATTCTTCGTGATCCCCGGCACCATCGACCAACCCAACAGGTGGTGCGTCAACGACAAGGACATTGAGACCGCCCGCGACCGGCTTGAGAAACACGGTCACGTCCTCCACGGCAAGATGAAGTTTGGCCACATCAAGCGCACCCTCCTCGGCTTCCGCTTCTGGCTCGTCATCACGACCGACGTCCTCTTCTGGAATGCGGGCATCCACAAGAATACGGGCTCCTACTTGCTCTGGATCAAAAGTCTTGGACGATACAGTGCGGCGCGGATCAATGAGTTGGGCACGATTTCTCCCGCGCTGGGCATCGCATACACGCTCATCGCATGCTTCGCTTCGGATATGTTCCTTGGTCCAGCCTGGTCGATCACAATATGTTCGGTTCTCAACGCCATCGGTCTTATCTTTTTGACGATATGGACTGTTCCTGAAAGCGGTCTCTGGTTTGGATTCGCGACTATGTATTGGTCCAATGCTCTATCTTCGGTGTTCCACGGATGGGTTAATAACCTGCTGCGAGACAGCCCCGAGGAACGGAGCTTTACGCTGGTTCTCATCAACTTGCTATCGCAGAGCTCGACGGCGTGGACGCCTTTACTCACGTTCCCTACAGTGGAGTCACCGAGGTACAGGAAGGGCTTCTCGTTCTGCCTGGGATGCGCAGTCGCGTTGATTGTGTTCACCTGGATCATGCACTACTACCTGAAAAGAGACAAGAAAGACGATACTGGATCCACTGACGAGGAGACGAGTGGCCATTCCGAAGTTGGCGAGGAGTCGGCGGTAGGAGTGCAAGCCAAAAGCAACTTGGATGCCAAGGAAAACGACTCGGCTGCTCAAAAACTCGAGAGGGAGACAGGCGACGACAAGATCACAGCGATTTGATGGTTTCCCCGTCTCATTTGGGGGCTAACCATGAACGGACTTGATCCTAAGTGCTAAAGTTCTTTTGAAAGGTCTATGTACTGAAATAAAAGCTAAGCTATGTACAGTCTCTTCTTGGGCTTCAACGGGGCATGGCCCAAAGCGAGATATAATGAAACAGACTTCAATCCTGCGTTTTTCCAACATTCTCTATACACTCCATCCATGATGAAACAACAGCCCGACTGTGAAATAGCCTCCATGAGCACTTAGTATACAGGAAGCTTGAAAGCGGGGAAGGTGTAAGTCCAGCTGTCAATCGACTTGGCGTCGTTGACGCAGTCAAAGTCGGAGCTGTTGCCGCGCCAGACGGGACGGGTAGGCCACTGGCAAAGCATCTGAGTCTCACCAGAGTTGACATTGGTGGACGAAGAGACGGTAGCGTTGAGGCGGCTGGGCTTGTTGCCGTTCTCAACCCAATCAATCATGATGTTCATGTTGTTCTGGGGGTAGGGTCCGGGCTGAAGGCTATTGGTGCCGCAGTGGCCGGCGCCGGGGACCAGGTAGAATTGGTACCAGTCCTCGAGGGACTTGATGGCCTCCTCGTCCTTGGCATCGGGGTACATGATGGAGCGGACGGACTGCCAGTAGTGAATGGAGGAGGCGGCGGGAATGCTAGAGTCGGACTCGCCGTGGTAGTGGAGGAGTTTACCGCCCGAGGACTGGAAGGGAGTCAGGTCGGGGAGGGTGGTCTGGAGGCTGTCGAGGTAGCGGATCATGCCGGTGTTCATCCACTCGACGAGGGTGTCGTAGGTGATATTGTTCATGTCGGAGAGGTTGTCGAGGTCGAGGAGCTGGACGAACTTGGTGACGTACTCGCCGCCGGTGGAGGGAATGCTGAGCTCCCAAGCCTCCGTCTCGTTGTTCCATACCGTGGCGGCGTCGCCGAGCTCCGAGCCGATTTGCCAAGAAAGGTAGGCGCGCTCGTTCTTAGAGTTGAAAACGCCGTCGTAGATGGCCTGGGCGACGGCAACAGCCTCCTCGGTAACGGTGCCGTTCTGCTCAGGCTGGTAGCTGGTGGTGCTGCCCTGAGCCTGTCTCTTGTTGAAACCGAAGCCGAGCGAGCTGCTGGTCTTGGCGGCACAGTGGTAGGACTCGCCAATGGTGGACTTGAGGTCGAACTGGAGCTTGCAGAGGTCAGTGCGGGAGATGACGCCGTCAACACGGCCGTCGAGGCCGTCGCAGGCGGCAATGGTGGCGTTGACAATCTTGGCCAGCTCGCAGGGAGGCGGGTAGTAGTTCTGGGTGTGCTCGACGGCAGACGAGTAGACGTGGAGGACTTGCTGCTGGGCGAAGCGGAAGGCCGGGGCACCGGCAATGACACCGTCGTACTCCTCGCCCCAGCGCTGAACCTGACTCATACCTTCGCGGCCACCGTCAGAGCAGCCCTCGTAGTAGGTGTAGACCTTGTCATCGGCGCCCATGCTGTAGAATCCCTTGGTGATGGCCTTGCCGACCTGGGTCATCTCGCCCAGAGCCTGGTATCCGAACATGTGGGTAGCATCCCAGTTGATGGAGCCGTTTCCGTAGAGAACGACCTCGTCATAGCTGTTGTTGAAGGCGTCGTAGCCGGCATCGGTGGCACCTCCGGCGGCGCCGTAGGAGATACCGCCAGTGGAGTCGGTGGATAGAGAGAAGCCGCCGCCGCCGGCAACATAGAAGCGGTTCTTGAAGACTTCGGGGCCCGGGAAGGCGTACTTGAGGTTGACGGTATCGCCCTTGCCGGTATGGGTATAGGCTACGGTGACGTTGCAGTATGTGACGGAGGTGGTGCTACCGCCAGCCATACCGCCGCCGCTAGTGGCATTGTAAACCGGGCTGGCAGTGATGGTGGAGGGAATCAAGTCGATGCCGAGAAGAGTGCCGTTGGCCGGCAGAGCGTTCTGCACGTTCTCAACGGTGCACACATCTGCTAGGGAAGATGTACTGGCTCTGGCCGCCAAAGCGCGGAGAGCCGCCTTGGAGTACTTAGACATATTAGGAGGATTTGAGGTTCAAGTCGGTGTGCCGGAAAGGCAAGTGAGTGAATGAGAGAAGAGAGACCGAATGTTGGTGGTGATGTCTTCCAAAACACCAGAAACATCGTGCCCGGGCAGACATCTTTATAACAAGCTTGAAAACTTATGCCGACTCTGCGATTCCCGAGTCTTCGGTGACGGCGTTGCCATAGTAGACGCGGCTCCACACGTGGTCCGTCTGTACGCCTAATAGCGCCGGGGCGCAGTGTATGGACGTGTGAGCCGTATTCTCGCATCGACCCCACTTCGGCCGTGGAGAACCACTTCGATAAGTTGCGTTTACGTCAGCCACGTCTAGCGTGAATGGGAAAGATGATGGTAGGGCTGATGGACCGGACGAACCTTGTTCGGGTGGGGATCCAACTCCCGACGCCTAGGGGGTTGACGGGTTGTTTGCTGGTTCGTCCAATGATGCTTGGTATCCTGACCACCAGTATGCCGCGTCACATTGGTCCTGAACAATCTTTGAATGCAGTGTAGTCTGATATGTGACGCGTCTTCGACAGAACGTGGAAGAAAACGTGCTGCGGCGCTGAGGCTAGATCGAAGGCGGCTTGATGATTCACGAAAGAAATCAGGCTCCCGGCGTTGGCGCCAGACATCGAGGACATGTTTATCAAGGCAGTGTCTCAGTACCACGCCACTTTCTTGGTGCAGTTCCCCTTTCGATTTTATTCCAAGGAGTAGGGGAGAGTTCGACACCTTGAACCCATTGATAAAATCTACTGGCATATCAAAAGGGGTGCTATGAGCACCGCAAGACACTCGCAGGGCATGAGTGAAGTTTATGCCAACAGCCAACACCACCTGATATTTTCTGGTCAATGTCATCCCAGCAAGGAGCATAAACAAGTGTATGAAGGTTCCACAACTCTGTGACCCCTGAACAAAGGTGGTAAAAAAAGATCGAAGTCGCCGGGAGGAATGTGACCGCAGGCCACAGCAGTAGAGTTTCCTTCGGTACAACCCCACAGAGCTTATGGGGTTTCTTGGAAAGGGGGCTAGGCCATACCCACGAATCTAGCTTAAAATCTGCTCAGTGTGCGCCGACACACAGCCAACTCCCATCACGGGACCGATTCGGCCAACGGGTTGTGGGTAGTGATGATGAATTGTCTCTCTCCATTCACCGGCCGAGTGTAATTGCTTTCTCCAGCTTTCTTCAAATTTCATCCGATTCTTCCTTTGGTGGCGGATGTTGCCGCAGGAGTAAAGAACGGGAGCACCGTTCTAGCGTTGTCTCTCGGAGGCCGTTGTGGGGGCGCCTCCGATCTACGGCCGGGATTTGGGCCGATGCTTCTAGTGGGGCTAGTCCGAGGTACCTTTCGGCCAATCACGGATTTCAGCGGACAAGCTTCTTTGCTTGATTTGGCGGAGGAATACTAATCAGGCACTCATTTCAGCCTGTAAGACAGGCGAGAAGTGCCCCGTATGAAGGCGTATGGTGAGCTAGAACGCGGAAGGGAAAGCAGGTGACCTATGAGAACGCAAGACGGAGAGCAGCGAGTGACATGTGAGTTGGTTTACGCTTGATCTTTACGCAGAATGTCTATCCTTTAATTTACTGCAAGGAGTAGTCCGTAATAATCCTTCCTAAGCCGAAGTCTTTACAGCCCACATCCCGATGCCATCACTCAAATTGTTTGCTGCTAGGTGTCGAAAATATCGTGGCCGGACCCCGGAACCGACGAGTATGTCGACCTTTGGGCGCAGATCACATGATACTCATTTTTCCAATGGGTCAGCACAAGGCAATTGTAGAAAAGCCCTACAAATAGCTATAAATAGACGAAGACGAACATCGGCTGGAATGGTTTGACAATCCGCCATCGCATGTTCAACTAAGGTAATCAAAAAGTACATACGGAGATGCCAGCCGACTTCCACGACAGACCTGACAACTCACACTCAAACTACCCAGAATATTCGTGTACTTATAAGAAATTCCTTCACACCAAAAATCATCTTATGATATGCCCAACAAGCCCTCACCAACAAAGTTGACTCCCAAAATACCTAGTAATTATTGCCATCATATCCAGTGCCGAAGGATCCGGGAATGTGGTGGGTGATCTCTGGGTAAGGGGTGACTTCATTGGCGTACTCTGGAATTGCTTCCGGATCTTTCTCATCAATAGTAACCTCGTTTGAAACAACGCAGATGAGGAGGTTTTTCATCTCTTCAGTCGACTTCAACTCTCCAGTGGGAAGCGTAATCTTCCACCGAAGATTGTCCTTGAGATACTGAACAACGTGCTGAGGCTTGAGGCTGTCGACCTGCCCAGCCAGATACCGCTCCACCAAGGCGATAGTCAGAGGAATTTGACCGGTAATTCTCTGCTTCTCCGAGCGACCTTTCTTGCAATTTTCACATGGGCTATGTTCATCCTGGCCGAATGTGGCGAACGATCCGACGTGAGCGTGGCCTCTCATGTACAGGAGAGGGGGCGTCTTGCTCGAGGGATCACCCAGGAAAACATTAACAATGTAGTTGCCGCTCAACTCGGTCTTGTCAGCCCTGATGTTGACGAGCCATTCGAGGTATCGGCCTTTGACCATCAAACTGCTGACGTCACGACCTTGCGGGAGCTCAATGACGCCGGTGTCAGGAGACTTCTTCAAATGGACCCTTGCGCGTTCCTGAAGTTGCTCAAGAGTGGCAATATCTTTTGGCTGGCTTCGCAGAATGTTGCCAAACGACGCCCGCTTCCAGTAGACACGATCCAACTCGTTGATAATAGCCTTCCTGGAATTGAAAGTCGGTCGAGTTTCTGGGTAGAGATAGCCAAATGTCTTGGTGTCTTCTACTCCAACCGATGTCCAAAACGTTTGCTGACCATCTGCGGTTACTGAACGTGCGAATGGAGGTAAAGAAGAGTTCACATCTTCGTCCATGTTGGTCGCCCGGACTATGTTGTTTCTCTTCGACTTCTGAGGCGTCACATATTTTCCAGGATTGCACACTTGCCAGATGGCGAAGATGCGATCAATATTGGTGTGGTGGAGCCAAAAGATAGGGTCAAAGGCTGAGATCGCTGGAAATCCCATGTTTCCTCCAATGTAATCGTGAACAGCATTGTGTACATCCTCGATGCTGCCCCAGTGGAAGAATTCGTCCTTCTTGGAGCCAAGCTCGCTGTTGTTTGACACGGCTGCAAAGTCTGTGTAGGACTGAAGAAGGAATAGAAGCCGCTCGGCCAGATTCAATCCCTTGATGCCTCTTTCTGGTTCGGTAAAGAACTTGCGCATTTCTGCCCTAACTTCCTTGTTGTCGATGTTTCCGATGGTCCTCGATGTCTTATCTCTATTCTGAAGGAGTTAGCTTGAGGTCTGATGAACAGATCCGTGGAATATACCTGGAGGATTTGCGGGAAGTCGGCCTCTTGCCGATCCCTTCGGCCCTTGGAGTAGTCCTGGAAGACATATGATGCCAGCGGGTTGATCTTCACAAGTTTACCGTTGGGCCTCTCTACAGAGTGCTCCGCTGTTGAAACAGCTTCAGCTGGGAACAATGGCAGGTCAGGCCGCGCCCAATCCCAGTATGGGATTCGGAAGGTTTTGGCAGCCTCAATGTACCTCATCTCTCCATTCTCTTCAAACTCTTTGGCGATGTCGTTGACGTGCTTGTAGAGCTCTTTCTGCATTCTAAATCTTAGCATAGATCTCAAAGATTATTCGGCACACACTTGCCTCAAAAAGAGCTAGGTAGACGCGATGCCAGGTGAGAAACAAGATCGAGCTGTGCGTGCAGTAACCGCCGTACCCCTGATTCGGTTTAAGGTCTTTGTCGGCGGCGGAATTCCACATCTCATTTGGCCACTTCTGGGCCGGTTTTCCGTGAATGCCTTTGTGATTAAGCCTGGAGACCCGATGCATCTGGAAGGCGACTAGGCTACTTACCAGCAATCTGGAAATAAGAAAGCGGATGTTCCTCTGAGACGCCTTGGAATCGCTCCAGTCCTAGAAGGTACAGATGCCATTGATCCGGGTGGACTTTGAACATGTCACGCAGCTCCAATCGCATGGGTGGTTCATCTCAAGATCCTTAGCATCTTGAGGTATAGCATGGCTTGCATTAAGACTTACTGCCTTGGTAAGCGGTTGTGATGCCTTCGATGAGGACAGGGCCTTGGGTTCCGTCGGAAGACATGTCGATCGATGTAGGTGTGATTCTGAGGTGTAAAATGATGACAGTGCAGCAGGTAGGTACAAGAGAGTCGTGGTGATATGAAGGAGACGCCCATCCAGACTATACGGGAGAAAATGGGCGGCCTTTTAAGCGATGGTTTTTGAGCTCCTGATCCTCTCCCAACACCAATAACTACTATACAGAGATCAGCGGTCTGTCGTTGACATTTGAAATCCAGAAAGCCTCCTCAGTCTGTGTCTCACATTCGCTATCTCGGGTAGGCCCGCAACGTGCATGGGCAGCCCTCAGCTAGCCACACTACTCCAGCTCCGGCTTTCGATCACATTTCAACCGTTTAGCTCCCGTATTGAAGTACACAATAGCTGCAGCTTCGAAGATCAAGACTAAGCGGTGTGAAAAATACGCATCTTACTCTATCCGAATGTCTAACCTGCCATACCAGGCAGCCGACGGGAGGGGCTTAGAAGGCGGGGAAGGGGGATGCTCGTGTAACACCCACCTCAATCATGGGGTTGGGAACGAAATGAGTGCTTTCCGAATGCTGGGTCAAATCAGTGTCCAGAGCTCATTCACGGACAATGTGTTGAGCCAATGGTTTCAAAATACGTACTTGAATAAGTGAATCATTATCACAAACAAGAATAATCTGTGCTAGTAGAGATTGAGATGACGAAGCCCGAGACTCGGTCGAAGTTTCTCCATTCTCGCGAGCTCCAAGCTAGTCTCCTGGTCTCAACCTCAACTCATATCACAAATTAGAGTTCGAGACACATCCGCATTTCCATGAGGCACACCATACGCTAAGCAGCAGTACTCACTTCGTGGATGGCCGTTGGCATGTCACAGCGCACAAATGCGGACAGGTTTTTTGTGATATGTGTGACAGGCAGCAAGCCTCAAACAGCCACTGCCTTCCCTTCACATTTGAACGCGCAATACCTGGAAGAATGTTCCTCACCGCTGCCACGAAGAAGATGCCGCCTTCTTAGAGGAATACCTCCCCATGGCGCGCGAGACCGAAGTGATGATCTGCCGGATGAACGCATGTTGCGACCAGACGACCCCATAGAAGCACCTCGCCATTCCCACACGCGAGAGCAGAATAATGACGGTGGTCACGATCGTAACCGTCCTTTTGGACCTGCTACGCAAGAAACGAATTGTTGACAGTGCTGATATTAACTCTAGATGTGAGCAGGCTAGTGGAAAGGTCTGTCGACGATCTGATGTTGCTAATGGCTTACCAGCTTATTAATTCAGCATGTTGTCTCAATAAACTCTTTCTTCAAGCGCAAAACTCAATCGACCTGCTAGAGAACCAACGGAAGCAAAGAATGGGTGTCATAGAAAGAAGAAACAGTGTCCATCCAAGAAGGGGCGACTTTCCCCTCCTTGAGGCATCTTTCCTTCATTTTTGTTCGTGCTATTCTCATCTATCTACACATGACTCTTTCCATCTTTCCATTCCTATTTCTTCATGCCGCAAGATGCTCATGTCGCTTACGACATATCCTGCATTGACATCTTTCAATGCCACCACCACTTGATGTCCTGATCCTCAAAGGTTGGGATCTAATACGTACACAACATCCCACCCTTCAATCATTACAGCAAAAACGTTTCCCAATCCCATCAGCTTTCATCTCGTTTCGTCTCGTCAAGACGCAAAAACCACAAAAACCCATATGATATCTCTGAAGAACAACAAAACAGTAAACAATTCCCAAACTTACCTCCTTGCAACTCTTTCGCAATAGGAGATAAAGGAAAATCAAGTAAAACGTCGACCCATTAAACGCCTCAAAAAAGCTGCAAGTCATGCCCGTCATCTCATGAAGAAAGCCAACGCTGTGTGTCTATGTAGCAGAGCGAGAGTGCAAGAAGCAAGCGCCGTCAAAGGGCACCGAAAGCAATTGTATGCGGATCAGCGCTTGAACACACTGCTGAGCTTGCTTCCGCCGACACTGCTTCCCACACTACTCGACACGCTGCTCATTTTCTCGCTGACCTTTTCGCCGAATCCACCCATCCACTTAGGCACCTTGAGACTCATGCGCACCTGGCCGTCAACAATCATGCTGACGACGTTGAGAACGGCAAACGTCGTAGAGCCGATGGCACGGAAGAGAGCCAGAATCGCCACGGCCCAGAGAATGAAGGCAAGGTAGTAGTTTTCACCAATGCCGCGTTCGCTATACGCCTCAGACACGGCCATGGCGAGAATGGCATTGCAGATGAGCCATGAGAGCACCATGTAGGTACGCACGCTCTTATAGTAGTCCTCCTGCAGCTGCGCCTCAGAGATGGCCGAAGGGGGCACCTCAACGCGATCCCGCAGGTTGCGGAGCGCCTCGTCGTAGCCAGAGTCGATGTCGAGTTGCTCAGATGGCATCTCGAGCTCGACGCTGTTGCCCTTTCCGATAGCGCCACCCAGATCAGTCTTCATAACGTTATCTCCCTTGGTACCCCAGGTGACGTCGTGCGTGTTGCAGAAGGCGTACACTTGCAGGGTGCAAATGTAGGCCGGCAAAAGCATGAAGTATTGAGCCGCGCTAGTGAACAAGTGCCAGGGATCCAGGTATAGGAAAGACATGACGAAGTACAAGCCGATAGTCGAAAGAATCGAGACGATGAAGTTTGTGAAGACGTTTTCGCCCATATGGATCTCGGGATTGTCCTTCTCCTTCAGCTGACGGATGACGATGTAGAAAGTTGCAAACGTTGTGTATATCATGATGATGCAGTACATGACGATACTGAAGAGGTACAATTTCTTTGCTCCCTGTGGCCGATTACCTAGCGACAGAATGAATTGTGCGCAGATGAGCAAGACACAAGTGTACCGCAGGACCGTGAAGATGTATTGACCGATGTTGTGACCGAAGGGATCTACTAGGGGATCGCCTAGACCGCCTGCCACGAAGTAGAAGGTCAGGTAGAAGTTTGCCAGGGAGAAGTAGGTGAAGATGAGCTGCAGGAACTGGTAAATGAATTCGATGTGGAGGAGGATCTTGCGAGTAATGGTATGATCCGTGTACCAGATCTGCTTAAAGTGAACGAGCGAGTAGACGGCAGCGAAGAAAGCACCGTTCAGCCAACGACGTCGCTGCGAGATGAACTCAGGAACAGTATCTATGAGCCTGGTTAGTGGTTATAAGCTTTGATGGGAGGCTATCTCTTACCTGGCACATCGGTTTCACCGTGACATCCCTTCACGTACTTCAAGACCCAGCTCTCGCCGCGCTTGGCGACGAGCTCCCAGCACAGAATACGATCCTCAGCCAGGTACATGTTTGCCGTGAACACGTCTGCATGCTGACCGTGCAGTGTCTCTCCCTTGAAGTACTGACTGAGAGGGCCATGACCCGTCTCGTCATTCTGCAGAGCGTGGTATCGGTAGGCACTAAGCGCACCAGGCAAGACGGTAATGTAGCCAAAGATGGACTCAAGAGGCTTGTCGAGGATGTTGGACATCTTGTACTCAAAGTTCTGGGAGGCTACCAACGGGTTCAGGAGGTTCACTCCGAACTTGCCCTTCATGGCCTTGATCTCTCCACAGGCACCGGCAACGTTGGAGTCGTTGTCAAAAGCCTTCCAGAGGTGGTACAGAGACGTGCCGCCGGGTCTGGTTCCAACGTCAAGCAAGATGCACACGTTGGGGTTCAGGGCCTTGCCGAAAGCGTTGAAAAACCAGCGATGCGAGTTGAGCTTCCTCTGGTTCTTTTCCTTCAGACAGAAGATCAACTGGCAAGGAACAATGCCCTTCTCGGCACCCTTGAACTTGAGATCAGAGTCGAGCGAGACTTGCGTCGTGTACTCGTAGACGTGGGCCTGCACTGCCTTCTGGTTGACGTAGTTCTTGGCGATGCCGTGCTGGTAGACACCCATGGCCGCCAACGCGTCGAGCGTGCGAGGGTGGATCTTTTCTCTGCCGTCTGAAACGATGCAGACGACAATCTTTTGCCAACCATTATCACCCCACGTGCGCGACTTTGAACGAGCGCAGAAGTGGGAGATATTCTTCATGACCGCGTACATGGTTCTCGTGAAGCCGAACTCGTCCTCGTTGTACATGGTGACGCAGATGAACAACTCCGTCTCACGAGCGGTCTTCCCAATGGACTGGCGGAGCTTATATCCGCGTTCGACAAAGTCATCGGGGTCGCAGGTGACAGCCGTGTATCTCATGTGGGTGAATTCAACCTCGTCGCGACGGGGCAGGAAACTGTAAAGAATCGTGGGGATCTTGCACTCCAAAACCAGCTCTCCGTTGATAAGCTGGACCTCCTTTCTCGACATCTGTGGCGCGCGGACACCTCGGCGCTCTTGCATTCCATCCGGGGCCGGACCGTAATGCTCCACCTTCTCATTGATGTCGGTCTCTGTGTCCTCCTCGCTGAGCGTAACTTGGTCGTGAGACATGTACGATTCTCTCATCGGCTGGCTCTCACTGATATCGGTCTCGGGTCCAAACACGTCGTCGTTGTCGTGGAGAGGGATCGAAACTGTGGCATCGTCGGCAAACGCAGTAGAGTTACGGTTCGCACCAGTCGAGAACAGCGGCGCGGGTGGAAGTGGTCGTCGGGGGCTCCCGCCATATCTTGAGGATGGAGTTCCCGGTCTGGGGCTGCCGTTGAGGTCTGAGGGCTCATAAATGCCAGAGGCAGGGGGCCTTGTGAAGTCCGATGAGAGGCGGGATGGGCTGTACGTCCTCGTCGGTGATTGGCGTCCTGACTGGTACTCGTATGGGTAGTCGTCCTGGTACTCCTGCTCATAGGTGCGCTCGTACTCGCGGGCGTAGTCGCGGCCCTGGAAGGGGACGTAGGTCGAGTCGGGCGGCGGCATGCTGGGAGGGTCTCGGATGGACGCGGAGCGGTCGGACAAAATGGACGATGCATACGATCGTCGGCTGGATCGGGGCCTATTGGTGTCTTCATGTGAGCTTGTGCTTGTGCTACTGGTAGAATCATCTGACAACGGAGGGACGGGGCAGCTAGAGGACTGGTGCAGTTGACTCTTGCGCAGTGAAGGACCCTCTGGTATGGTGGGGAGACTGTCCCGGATTTGCGATTCTTTGATAGAGTTAGGCCTGTGTCTCTTCTGTAACTTTACAGTAGAAGACCGCACCGGTATGCGAGAGGTGCGCTGCGGTTCCGCAAAGTCTACAACGCTCACGGCACTTGAGCGCGGTGTGTAGATGGGTGCTGGAGACAAGGGCGAGGTTGGATGGCCTTCCTCCTGCTGCCTCAAAGCGTCGAGGTGGTCTGGCGTAGAGATCACCGGGTCTGCAGCGCCCGACTTCTTCCTGCGCAGTGACAGAGGGCGAGGGAAGAGGCTGGGCGACGACTCGGGTGTCTTGTAAACCTGTCGAAGGCGAGGAATGGAAGATGCAGAAACAGGAGTAGTAGTAGAACCATAATGCAATGGTCTTGATGCGCCCTTGGCGCCGCTGACCGGAGTCGAAATCGACGTCGACTGATGGGGCGCGGTGGGTGTTACGTACGGTGCTCTGTCCATGATGGGCTCCTCGACTGAAGTCAGTAGTCGAATGGCGGCGGGATTGTTGGAGCGTCCCGTGGGAGTGTCGTCGTCGCGGTCGTCGTAGGGTGGGAGACTGTAGTCGGGCGGTCGCGAGGGGGTATTTGGGTCCATGATGAGATGTTGTTTGCGCCGCCGGTTACCGGGACGAAACGGTTAGAGGAATGCTGGACTGGATTGTTGTTCGAGGGCCCGGTGTTATAGGAGTGTTCTTTGTCTGCAACGGGCCGGCGCCACGATGAGATTGTGTGTGCGTGGGATTGACGTAGCTCAGGTCGGCTTCGTGGCGTTGGTTTGACTCCTATTGTCTCGATGATTGGAATGGACGTCTAGGATATGTATAAGTGTCGAAACTCGACAAAGGGTAGCGCCGTTGGAAAGAGTCAATGGGAAATTCCAGACGGCAAACTTGGTGACAATGGTGGTGCTAGAGACTAGCTTTCTGGCAAAGTGGGATCTTGAGAGATGAGAAGGGAGCAATGTGCGAGAGAGCAGCAGCAGCAGCAAGGGAGGTAAAGCATCTGGGCAAGCTGCGGGAAGGAGGGTCAAGTGTTGAGGGGGGGAGGGGGGGTTGGGGAGGCACAGGAAAAAAAACGTGGATGGGCAATCACTCTGCAACCTGCGCCTTTCTCTTTCTTACCTCAGTCTCCAACCTCAGTCTTTGCTCCCAGCGCATCCGCGAGTGTGTCGAGGGGCAACAGGGCGGATCGGGGACTTTGATCGCGTTGACGGGGCAACGGGCAATGGGTACATGGGATTCGTGTGGTGTCCCGGCTGCGAAAGGTGGGTCGGTGAGGTACAGCACATGGGGGCTGAGCCTGTCCGTGGCACCTTCAAGCGGTTAGCGGCTACTTAGCGCCCCCGGGGCCCGCTGACCGTTCCTGAGCCCGTCGCCTGAAATGGATTGATTACCTCAGGTACGCAGTACGGACGCCGTGGTACCTTACCATAAGGTACGCACAGGTGGGAACCAAAAGGTTTCGTCACTCACCTGAGGTGTACCTTGCACACTATATGCATCTCATCACTCCGCCAAATCTGTCAACTCTTCCATGTATTCGTACCCATGAGCACAATATGATCTTTGCGCAAGAAGGTAAGGTAGCTTTGACAGGCCCACGGTGGAGGAGGGCTTGGATGATTTCTTTTGGTATTCAGCGGCCATCTTTTCCATATGCGGCTCTGTCTAAGACGTCTATCCCGCATGGATGGTGTGCAGCTTCCCTCTGGGGCAAATAATCACCTACCTAATTACTTCTATATCCACCAAAACTTTACTCTCCCATCTATCCGCACACAGTATTCTTTTCACACACCCCAAAGAGCCCTCCACCGCTTCTCATCCGTCCTCAGAGGCCCATCAAACCGCCCAAACCGCGCCGGCAACCCCTCATTGGCCTCGGGCAAACAGATCCACTCCCGCACGCAATCTGGCACCTCCTCCTTGATGTGACTGATACAGATCAACGCCTGCTCTTCACTCAACCCCTTCACCCGCACCCGGCCCGCCTTGGCAACCTCGCTATCTACAATCCTCTCCCCGCTGTACGCCTTCTCTTCTCCTCTAGCGAGGAAAAGCATACACTTATCCCTGACAGCATCATCCATGCCGCTGAACGCCTCGTCAAGCACCACCACGTCAGCGTTCTTGATCACGGCCCGCAGAAGCAGCGCGATGCGCTGGGCACTGAAGGAGAGGCCGCCAAAGAGGTAGTTATCTGACCACGAGAGGTCACCCTCACCATCACCCGTGAAAGAAGATGAAGCCTTTTGGTGTCCGGGATTCAGCTCCGGCGCGAACAACTGCAACGTCGCCTCGACCTTTCTCCGTGCCTCTTCGTCGAGAACAGGAATGCCCTTGAACGTATCCGCCCATGCATTCTCCAATACCTGTCGAACAGTCAGGCCGCGGGGCATATGCTGATGAACTTCGGGACTCGAGTGTCCAATCCGTGACTGTATGTCCCAAAACGTGAGAGGTCGCTGGCCGGAACCGGGCTCCGGGATTCTGCTTCGGCCAAACAGCTTGATGGGGAGAGAGTACGTCTGCGGGTGATCGGAGCACAAAAGAGACACGACGGTCGTCTTGCCCGACCCGTTCGGACCGAACACGCCCCATCGCTCTCCTCGGCGGACAGTCCAGATCAACCCGTCCCTGGGCCCGGACGGCGTATCCTGCGACCAGTTGCCCAGCGCAATCTTGCTTCCGTACCGCACCTGACACCCATCCATCTCAATCAACGGCTCACCCACAGCCGTCTCCCCCGTAGTCGATAACGCCTCAGCAGAAGAACCAGACTCAACAGCGTGCAAATCCTTCTCCCTCGCCGACAAAAGCCCTCCTCCCTCAACCCCCCTCGCCGTCAACACCCTCCCCATCTCCAAAAGCGAATGTACGGGCAACTTCTCATCCTCCTTCAACCCACCCTTCCACACCCCCCTAACATACGTCCTCAACCCCTCCAACACCTCCTCCTTCGGCCCCATCGACCCAACCTGACAGTCTCCCCGGAGATACACCAAGTGCGTAATCCATTCCGGCACCGGGTCCTGCGGCCTAGCACTCAACACCAGCCTCGGACTCGCCCGCTCCGCGATCCCCTCCAACACGGGACTCAACCCGGCCACCGTCGGCGGATCAAGCCCCATAAACGGCTCATCTAACAACAGCACCTCCGGTGTCGCCAACAGTGCCCTCGCAATGCGCGCGCGCCTTCCTTGCCCGTTACTCAGGAACGCGACGGGCAAATCAAGCAGCGGCTCGAGCCTCAGATCCTTGACAACCCTCTCCACGAGCTCCGTTGGCATCAGGTTTTCTTCTCCGGGGAGGGTATCAAGGGGATTCAGCTCCGTGTTACCGAGTAAATAATCCCGCAGCGAAAAATCCGTATTCTCCCTCCTCGACTCGTACCGCGCGGCGAGGTACGCGCTCGTGGTATGCCCGCCGCCCAACCCGCCGTCGCCGTCGAAGCCGACATACTGAATCGCCCTATTCGCGCTCCGCAGCCGCGGCGGGACATGCTCGGTGGAGAGGTAAGGGTACGTTCGCGCGGCAGGCGGGATCGCGAGGTGTTGACCGCGGAGGACCTGTAACAGCGTCGTCTTGCCCGAGAGCGAGGGGCCGACGATGCACCAGTGGCTCTTCTTTTCACTGGTGGCGGTGGAGGAGGGCAGTTCGAGGTTGAGGTCAGTGAAGAGGGGCGGGTTCGGGTGTGTTGTGTGCGTGTTGGGGTGGCGCCGGTAGAAGGAGCCGTTGGCGATCTTTAGGATCGGGGGGGAACGATTCGGTATCCGCATTGTGATCGTGTGCGTGTACGGATATATGTGTATTTGTCTTTGCTTCAATGTGAGAGAATGAACGAGGGGGGTTGAAGTATTCCCAACGCCAATTGACCACCGTTCCCTTCGTTATCGCGTCGTTTGCGTGATAGGATGACTTCACATTGTGACTCCTTCCTTTTCCTTCCCAATAAGAAAGATCCGGGGCAGCTTTCCCCGGACTTTTTGGGTACGTAAAACCAGCTGCGATCTCGGTCTCGAAAGCTCGGCTGTCATCGCCCCACCCAATAAGTGGATCCAGGCCCCGGGGAACGGAAAGAAAAGACCGACAGGGATCAGGTAAGCTATAGTGGAGGTTGGTGCTGCCGCGCCTGCATTTCAGCCTGGAAGTCACGTGCGACCGTCTCGCTGAGGTAATGGCGGGACTTGCCTGGCACGACTGGGTAGCAGCAACGCCGTAGAGCTCCAGGCACATCACCGCAGCGCAAGCTCCCGTAATCGTCACCCTCGTCCAGCTCCCATATCCATCAAACGAACCCAACCAATTTCCCTCTTCCCCAAACCACAGTCCACCCCAAACAGAACAGTCAAGATGTCGGTATGTCACCTCCAACCTCCAGTCCACATTTCCCTGATGCAGATTGCCTCCATCCTCCTCCAGAAGGCTAACAATCACCACCCCTCACAGATGCGAATCGTCCCCGCCGCAAACCAACCCACAACCTTCGCCGCAGGCGCCAACGCCCCCTCAGCGCCCGGAGTCCACGACACCCTCCGCGCCGGCGTAGGCCAATCCGCCTACGACGCCAAAGACAACCTCGCCGCCTCCGCCCACCCCCTCGAGTCCCGCCTCAAGAACTGGGAAGCCACCCAGGAAGGCATGCGCATGGAGACGCTCCGCCGAACATTCGGCCTCGCGGAGCCCATCCGCCGCCAGATGGAGCTCAAGATTACCCAGAACGGCGAATGGCGACCTTTGGCTCTCGGTGGGCAAAAGGCCTCCGTTCACGAGGAGATCCTCCGCGGCAAGGACTCGAGCGTCACGTGGGAGGACGTGTACTCGGGCGAGGAGAGCGTGGGCATCGTTGGTATGCACGACGAGATGGAGAGAAAGCTCAAGATCTGAGAGGGATTAGAAGATTTGAGGGAGGGTTTAGAAATCCCGGGAAGCGCATCTGCGCTCCTGGAACCGAGGGGGACAGAGAGACCAGCATTGGAATTGTATTACTACGACATGCGTCATGACTTTTGGACGGCGCGGCAATGGAGATGTCAAGGCCATAGAAGGGATTCATCAAAGCGTCCAGGTTCAACGGAGAGGTTTGGAACAGAATGCGTTCTACTATCCTATGGACAACACCCATAGACGGGGGGCGTGGAGAAAGAATCAACCAGAACAAATACACAAAGCTATGATACGCCGCTGTACTCCGAATGTCCCCTTATTGTCTTCGCTCTTTGTAATACGCTCGATAGATGTCGGGGTGGCCTCCAAAGAGAGAGACCCACGAGACATGAGAAAAAACAAGACCCAAAGCAACACCGTAACCGAAGGCCTCACCAGGCCGACCAGCCCATCCATTCTGGGCACTTCTGGAATTGCATGCATTGTCGAAACCATGACCCCGGCAGGACCCCTGCCTCTTTGTATCGTATGCCGAACCATGCAAGGCTCTTAAGTCAGTTCGACCCGATAGGGCTCTTTCTCGCCTGCTCTTCTTCCATACATGCCATTCTCTCTACTAGAAAGGAATGGCTGTTGTTCGGCGGGGAAGGTGTAAAAGGAAAGGAGTGATGATCGCAGAAGAGAAAGGCCCAGATCTTGGGACCGCTCGATCATAAGATGACACAGCATCCGCCGCCACCTTCTCGGTTGCGGCCGCCGCCAGAGGTTGACTTATTTCCTCCCTTAGGTTCTTCTTCCTCAACGATATCGGCTGGCCGGACGGTCATGTGTACAACGTTGGCCGCCTCTGCACTGAAGTGGTATTCTAGAAGAGTCTTAGCACGATTACGCAAAACGTCACTGCCAGGGGAAAACCTACGTTTCAGTTGGTCCTTATCATCCAGCAGCTTTCCGAAATGAATCAAACGTATACTGCTGGGGCTCGCAGGCTTGGCATCCCACTCTTCACGCCACTCCCTGAGGATGAGTTCCTTCAAGGTATAGACACTGATAGTAAAAGGGTCCTTCTTTCCAGCCTCGGATAATCCGGGGACATTGACATTCCTCTTCGTCAGGTACTTTTCGTCCAATTTGTAAGGGTGTCTTGCACCGGTAGTGAGCAACAGCGTAATGTTGCAAACCGGGCCATCTGCTGGAGAGCTGCTGACGGGTTGGACATCATCGACTGAAGGGCCGATGGCCATGGAGTCATCCTGGGCCTTGACAGCTGGCGATGAGACCGAATCCTTCTCCTTTCCTTTGGTTGACGGCTCGATTGAATCGTCGGCATCGCCCACGGCAGAATTGCTGGCTTCAGGCTGTGTTGACGCCGCAGCGCCGGGAGTCTTGTTTGATGAAGTGGTCGTCGGCCTCGTTGTGTCTGCGGCGGCGGCGTCAGCTTCCGTCGACGAGGATTGAGGGAGGGTCTTCATTGGGATGGTATCCTTTGGCGCGGCCGGAGAATCCTTGGGTGGTTGGCCGACGGTGGTGTTGGCGTCGGCGGGTTTGGTGTCGGCCATTGCGGATCACAGGCAAGAGCAACGGCAGCGTCGAGCCTCGGGGGCGCGCGGGCTTGTGGAGAGTGGAATTGAGGTCGTATCGAATACAGTTGCTCAATGCATGCGGCAGTTTGCGAGAAAGTTGAGGATATTTCGACGAGTAGACTCTCAAGGTTTCGCGGAAGAGAATCGGGGGGTTGGAATGAATTGCAGTCGACGGGTGAGATGGTCAGACGCAGAGGCACAGCGACGCAAAGACGCCAGTCGGGATGGTACCAGTTGGCGTGGGTAGCGAGGCCGGTGTTGTGGCAGTTGCCAGGATTTGGGGGGGGGGGGGGGGGGTCGTTCAGGATGTTGGACGGGAACGCTGAAGACGGAAGCGGGTGGTAAAGGCGGGTGATCAGTGCATCCAAAGCGTATGGGCGTCGACCAGTCCAACCAGCGAGGTGGGAAAAAGGAAGGAAGGATAAAATGGAGACCCGGGGCCGAGAGTTGGAGAAGGAGAAGGAGGAGGAGGAGGACCCGTGGACCTGACGGGGAGTGTCGAATGGGGAGATGGCTTGGCGGAACTTGGAAGGCGTGGCTCGTGGGCCGTGGGCCGTGGGCGTTGTCTCTCTTTCCACCTGCGCTCCAGCTTCCAAGCACTGAGGTGGGCTCGGCTGGACAGGCGGCTGGGGATGATGCTTTGCTGAGGTCGGGCGGGTGGACTACCTAATACCTAGTAATTCAATCTAGGCTAGGTAGGCAAGGTAGGTTGAGTGGACAGGCTGGGCTGGATGGCTCGGCAATGATTCCGTTCCAAGTTTTGCTGGAGGCGAAAGAGTCGCGGAGTGTGCCAGGTACGTGTACAAATGAATACTCCTTACGAAAAGGTACCAGAAAGGGCGAATAACTTAAGTTGGCAGCTGGTAGATGATTGTATCTGTTCCTCAGGTGGGTCGAAGGTACCTCAGGTGAGGGCGGTGCTTCGCTGCCGAAGCGGCGTTTGGCCGTCTCCTGCCTCGATGCTTACCCTCTCACGTTGTTCCAGGCACGGAAGTACCTCGAGGACCAATATGTTAAGGTAATGGACGCAGGCACCTATGTAGATGACTAGGTAGGGTGGTGCTGTAACGATGTACCCGGCAATCACGTCGTCTCCCGTCGAATTTCCGAGCGGTCGGTATTAGTCGAGTCGTGCAGGCTGTTTCGTCAATCAGGCCCTCCTTGACAAAGCTGCTACGGCAGTGGCGATGGCGATAGACGCGGCGGCGGCGGATACCGGCAGCAGAGGGCAAGGCCGATCAAGGGTCGAGGATGTTGTGGAAGGCGAGGGCGAGCGAAAGAGTGTCCGTGTGTCACAAGCTTCCTCTCTCTCTCTCTCTCTCCTTTCTTCTCAGTCATCAAGTCCCATTTACTGTCCCGGCCGTAGTCCTTGATGAGTGATGTTGGTTCTTGGTAGTAGCTGAGGTACTCAATAGCCAGAGAGCAAGAAACGGTCCGAGGTACCTAGGGTAGGCAGGAGGGTATCTGCCTCAGATCGAGACAAAGCGATAAACAGCAGCAGCAGCAACTGCAACTGCTCATTCAACTGCTCATTCAACATATTAACCGGAACTGCAATCACTAGGAATGATGAATTTCTTGATCGACGAGCGCGGAGCAAACGGCGTGGTCGCTGTAGTTTCCCTCTTGATCTTCCTTAATTACCTACTCTCTCGGCTCCCTGCTTTTGTTGTTGCAGGGTTGACTGATGACTTCTTTCCCTTGACAGAGGTACTTGCCACGAAGTACACTCCTTCCAGTAGGAAAACAATGCGAGTGCCTACCTGCCTGAGAGTGTCAGGGAGGTGCAGGTCTGAAGAGAAGGAGGGAATTGCCGGTTCACAAATAAAGCAAGTGCGAATACACCCACAGCTCAGGAAGGCGTAACCGTGAAGGCTTGGAGGGGAAAGAACCACCCTCTCGTCTGACCTTCCTCCCCGTCTTCTTTCCCAACCTAATTCATCAAGATCCTCAACTGCAGCGTTTCTCTACCTACCTCATCCCTCTCCCCCTTCGTTTCTTTACCCTTACGCCATTCTTCTCCATCTGATCGCATGCTTCTCGCAGCCAAAGAATCCGAGTCCGCACCAATCTTCAATACGTCGATACGAGAACCAACCTTTCCAAGTATTTCCACGCCTGTTGGACTCGGTCAAGGCTAGCGTCCCAGCTGCACTAGCTAAATCGACCGCGGCGTCCACGGATGCCCTCCCCCGCCATCACCGCTCTAGAAGACAGGACGCTATTATCTCGCAATGTGACACTCCCAACCGCACGCACCGTTCTTTTTTCTTCCGTCTCCAGATCTGGGCGTCTCGCGGGGGAAACGGGAACGGGAGCGAGGGAATGGAAAGGATCAAATGGCACACACTTCGCGACGAGCAAGCGCACGCAGACGCCGCCTGTCAAATCTCCATCAGTCAGTGACACTGCCACCAATCGAGACCAACCACCTAGCATCCGCACCACCTACCTGTGCAAGTTACAGCACTCATTCAATCCGCCTGCAGCTAGACGCCCCGTCAGTCGGTCGAGTCTGTGTCGGTTCCGATACGTACCCATCGATAGACTGCCCTCACCGGTTCCTTTCTTCACAGGGACAAGCCAGTCTGCGGCCCCGCCACGGCGCCCCATCTCTGGGCATCCGAAATCCCCTCCTTTTCCTCGCCTCAAGCGCGGGATAAGAAGATAGACGTGCAATGTTTCAGCGGCACTCCACACGTGTGTGGGAAACAGATCCTTCTGGGGGTACGGCAGGCAACAAAAAAATGCGGCTGGGTTGGATACGACCTCGCAGTATTACAAGAGCTTCGTCACCGCTTAGTCTTTTCCGCACTCTCAGCCTCCCAGGGACCATCAGATCAGTGTGTGAGGGTGTTATGTTGATGTTTCTGAAGATGGGATAAGACTGTCAGGAACCCGAAACTCTCCTCAGGCTTATTTTGCCCGTCGCTCCATGACCTTATTTGACACCAATGCAACACGCAGGCACGGAGGGAACCAATGTAGTGCACGCACACACTCAAAACCCAAAAGGTGTAGAGAGGAAGCATTCGAAGACTAGCGATGCAAAGCACGAGCTTTCCATGCTTTGGCCTGTCGTCTTTCGAGCTGGTGCTCTGCGGCATACAGACGAAGTGCGAGGTTCTCGCTGCGCATCTGCCAGGGCGAGGAGGATCACCTACCTATGCCAGGTTGACATTTCCACACACAAACTATGGACAAACAACAACGCGGGCAGAATAATAATCGCAAAATGGACGCCGGCCGCATCCAGCCTCCCCAAGCTTCTCTGACCAGATCGGAGGCGTTGTCCTCGGCGGACTAGATCCATCCACGGCTCCAGCGGAAAGGTCGCCCGGGAACCCCAACCAGTCCCTTAGAGGATAGGACACTGTCGACGACGGCCAGCCATGGCCTACCGAGGACAGCCCGAACCTCCTTCTCCTTTGGGTCGCAGGTGACGTCTGTTCAACACGATTGTTGAAGTCCTTCATCGGGGGAACCGGGAACGGTGCAGTACCTAGACGAGTTACTATTGACTGGGTGTCTCTCATCTTGTTTTCCTGTCCCGACAACTGGGAGAATGGAAGAGCACGAAAGAAGAAAACGAGGAAGAAGCAATATCTGACCACCAACGTTTGCAAGCGATGCATTCGTCGACCTGGTATTAATATCCACGATCTCTGTCCGGGCAGAAATCGCGGGGTGACATAAGAAACAATGAAGACCCCACCTGCTTGCGCCGGCCCAAAAATTGTACAGCATGATACAGCCCCAACAGACCAGCATTGCGCCCAAGTCTCAGTTGATTATCGACCACACCGTGACAAACAACAGAGCAAGCTGATCATTTACCGACCGTGCCGGCCTTCCCTTCCCTAAGACACACACGGGAATCAAGAACACGGCACCAACCCAAAGCCGGAGCCGGACTTGGTGTGCTCCGCCACGCTCCGTGGCTTCTACTGATCTGCTTTCCCCCTTGCTATGATTTGCGTGCTTGTCTACATATCCGCAGTACGGTAGCGTATCCCATCGGCCCGTTCATTCCTCATAGAAACCAAGGTTCCGGCCGACCCCTTAGACTTCCCGTCGGGCCCGCTGCTAAGCAAGATCTGTCGTGCGCCCGCATTGCACTGCTTGGTCTCGTCTTTGTCTAAACCTTCCAATGGCTTTGTGGGATTGCCTCTCAAGCCTGTCGGTTCTGAAGTCCAATCGTACATGCACCGAAGAACTCATTAGATACGAGAGATAGCGAAGAATCTAATCTGTAGCTTCTCTGGGTTCCATGGGTTGTTCTTTTCCAATCCACACGTTGACAGAAATGAAGCCTTTGCAGTCTCAGTTGGGTGGATGTTCATTCGTTATAGGTTATCCCGATATTCACAAAAAACAAGCAGTGGATATGACTACACCTGATGGCTTCCTCGTAATTTGCTAATTGTCAACTTTTGCCTCACACTGCCATTACTAAAATACCGAGGATATCCTTTCGTTTCGTAGCCTACAGCAAAAAAAAGACCAAACTCTCCACCAACACACGCTTCCCTTAGTTCGTCGTCGTTGTATATATCCTCTCACAGAACCAACAAGTCACCATTGCTCCCCTGCGCCGGCTGCACCACCTGCTGCGGTGCATGCTGGTTCACCACGTACCCCGTCTCGTATCCCCCTGTCTCACCAAACACGTCTCCCTGGTCGATCCTCATGGCCGCCATCTGCTGCGGTCCGATACTGTTAAAGTACGCGTCCGCGTCGTTGACTGCCTGCGCCATTTCGCCGTTGGCCGCCGCCGGGTCGTTGGCGACGTGCTGGCCGTGCATGTTGTAGTCCTGCGCCTGTCCGCCCATACCGAGCATGCTCAGGCTCTTTTGATTCTCAATGGACGTCGGGAGAAGGTGCTTCTGCAGCGCCGGCGAGTCCGTCAACTTCTTGGGCCGCGCCGAGCGGAAGACGGTCTGCACCGGCTTCAGGTATACCGTAGCGAGCGTGCCTACGTTGAGGCACATCTCTTCGAGGGTGGCCGGGTCGAGACGCTCGGATTCGGCTGTGATGGGCGGCTTTTCGCCCATGACGATCTGTTTGGCTGCGGCCATATCGGTCGATAGGAGTCGCCAGTACATGTAGGCTCTGTCGCGAAGATCCGGGTTGTCTGTCTCCTCCGTCGCCCACTTGAGGACGCGAGGCACCAGCTCTTGACCCTTGGTCGGTCTCTGGATAAAGAGCTTGACGGTCGCCGTGAGCAGTGCAAGCTGCACCTCTACTGGCTCCTCTGCGAACGAGTACAAAAAGTCCTCCAACAGTGCCTCGCTGTTCTCTATTCTGTCCGCGTACTGTCCAATGACCCAGACCATGGCGGCCTTTGCTTCCGGCTCGTCAAGGGAGTCGAGATGCTCGCAGAGGGTGCCGATGATGGACTCGTACTGGTTAGGATACTTGCGGAAAATATTTCTAATAACGACCGTAGCCTCCTGTACAATATACGTGATCTTGGTCGCAACCAGTTCGAGGAGCAGGTTGATACACTGCCGCGATGCCGGTTCGATCTTGATGGCCAGCTTGCCGATGGCACGCACGGCCTTGCGCACAAAGTGAACGTCGATTTCGGTCGCGTACTCTCTAAGTTCGGTGAGAACCTCGTCGATGTTGTTTTCGTTGGCGAGCATAAAGATGAGCTCGAGCTTCGTGACCTTTACGTAGATGGGGTCGTTGTACTTGCAAAAGAAGACGCGAATGTCGTTGCGCAAGACTTCGGGTCGACGCTGCAAGATCAACAGAGCGTTTCGCAGGGCGAGGTATTGCACTTCCGGACCCTTTGCCAGGAGCGTAACGAGGGGAGGCGATAGCTTCTTGCACAGGATTGCGATCTGTCTCTGGTCCGAGATGTAGTTCATGAGGTACAGAACCACGCGGATACAGGTGAGAACGACGGCCGAGTTTGAATGTGAAAGGCGCGGCGATATGCGCTCTGCGAGGAGCAAGGCTTCCCCTGACTCCTGGGGCACGTATGACATGAGTGCCTCGAGGATGTATGTTTGGCCCCATCTACCATGATTGTCAGCAACGGCCTTTGCAAAGCGATGGAAAAAATACTCACTCAGAGCAGTCGGGGAGAATAGCCACCATCTTGGAGGCATTGCTATAGTCAATTGTGAGCTTGATGGCGTCGCTTCGCTCCCAAATGTCCATCAACGATGCCAGCGCACTGGCAACCACGGTAGGGTTGTCGTCCCTGAGAAGCGTATTAAGCCTATCGATCAGATCTGACCCCTCGATCATGCGCCTGTCGTGGTCATAGAGCTTTGCGACGCAGAAGGCGGCTGTCTTCCTAACGTAGGGATCCGCATCCTTCAACATGTGCTTGACCAGAGGCACAGTCGCCTCGACAAACTCCCGGACGTGGATGTAGGACATCGTTCGCAGGGCCAGAGCTCTGACCAGCGGGTTGTGATCTTCCATATCCTTGAACGACATTAATCAACTGATGTCTCAGAGGAGGTAAGGTGCCGCGCTCACCTGCTCCAGCACAGGAATAGCCTGAACGGCAATTTCTGGTCTCATTCTTGCGTAGTTGACCAAGAACAAGAAGCACCTAGGCGGATCGTCAACACCTGAGCGGCTCGTGGTGAGCGATGGGGAAGTAGTACATCTTCTTGATCTCGAGACTCTGAATATGCATGCAGCCGATGATGTCGGGGAACAGCGCGACCATATCATTGTTGCTCATGGTCATGTTGGCGACAATCTTTTTCAGCGCAATCTTCTTGCTCGCATAGTTCTTGTCCTTCTTGCCGCCGCTGTTGAGTTCCAGCCGCAGTTCAGCGACTTTGCCCTTGGAGGTTATTAGTTTATTGACATAAATCGGCGGGGGCACGTAGGCCATAAACATGGCGGGCGACGCATAGAAGGACAGCATCCAACGTAGGAGATATGAGATGAGGTGAAGGCGGTTGTGCCGACTACATATGATGAGAGGGGAAGCTGAAGTTCGTGACCGCGAGGCACAGCAAGGCTGTTATTAGGGACAGTGGGGGAGACAGTGCATAGGGACAACTCCCAGATGACAAGCTCAGGTTGTCTCAGACAGATATCGGAGAGTTTTGGTACAGAATTCGCGAAGGATGCCGTCCAACTGCAAGACATGTATGTGTAATGGGACAAGAGAGACAAGAATCAAATCTTACCCTGGCAAACAACTTGGAGTCTCCTCCACCCTGTGCGCTCGACATGATTACGACTTTCTCCTGGTATCAGACACAGTGGTCGGTGTGGTGGCGCGTAGTGCGATTCTCAAACAGAATACCTCCGAACGGGTGTCCCGTAAGCTCTCTGCCGGTGCTCGATCGCGTCGTGGAGGGCGATTACACCCTAGGACCCCTCACGCCCAGCTGCGCGATGTATGTCGACTTTGGCTTCCCTGTACGAGGGCCAAGCCACTCGATCGGAACGGGGTCGCAAAAGTTGGCTGGAAGACGCAGTGCTTCCTTGACTTGTCTTGGATGGTGGGAGGGGTGCAGAGGCCAGAAGGGATGTCACATGCGTCGTTGGTGCCGGGGGGTTGCGGCCAATCGAAGAGGCTTCTGCGCGATCAACGTGTCGTCGAGCTGAAATGCCGGACAACCTTCTTTTTAGTCCCTAGGCCAGCTGCCGTGGCCGTCGTCTATCGAAGCGTGGGTTCGGGAGGATTGGCTTCGCTCGGTGCGACAATACGGGGTGCGGTCGGTTGTCGTTTGTTTCTTGCGGGCAATCCGGGGTTTCGAATTCCAGTTGTTTAAGGGGAAGTTCAACGTTGGATTCCCAAAGCTCCCGCCGTTCCGCAGTGGAGTGCGACAGGTCCGAAACTGGGCCTTATCGGTCAGCCGATAAAGAATAAGCGCAGGCGCTGTCAGGCGCGTGGGGTGCGCGTCGGGCTGCCTAGGTTTAGCCGGCCCGTTTTGTGGGGAACTGCTTTCCAACGACAGCCCGTCATCACCCACCAGCGTTGCCAGCTTTCGTCTCATCACCTGCATCCGAGTCCCCTGAGCTTCCGACCGCGCGCTCGACTAACGAGACTCGACACAAGTACTCCGATCATGGCTTTGGTCAATGGCGATGTCCCGCGATGGGTGGCAGACCTACAGTCTCCCCCAGCTGCTAAGTCCAAGGTCCCCGGCATCTCCGACCCTCCAGGCTACCCGTCGCAAACCTCATCCAGTTCAAAGGTAAGCTCTCAGCGGCCCCGCGCAAGCAAACAATCGCGCTAATTTACCTCCGTAGAAGCAGAAGGACCAGAAGGCTATTCAGCCGCGCAAACAACAGACACCCGAGGAGATGGATACTCTGAAAGTCAAGAAGGCGTGGGAGGTGGCACTCGCGCCCGTCAAGAACCTGCCAATGACAGCCATCATGATGTACATGTCCGGAAATTCGCTCCAGATCTTCAGCATTATGATGGTGTTTATGGCTTTCAAGAACCCCCTGATGGGTCTCACTGCGGTCAACCAGGCATTTGAGAGGTTCGAGTCGGAAACGAACAAGGCCAAGATGCTGCAGGTCAAGCTGGCGTACGTTGCTATGCAATTCGTTGCCCTGGCCCTGGCGGTTTGGAAGGTGAACTCAATGGGACTGTTACCGTACGTACCAATCATCAAATTTGGGCAAGATGAAAATGCTAACGCGGGAATAGGACAACGAGATCAGATTGGTTGGCTTGGGAAGCTCGAAGAGAGGCTTTGGAGTCCTCAGTCCCCGCTTTATAGACGACAAAATGATATCCAGTACCACATTCCCGCAAACCATAGTTCTGTCCCTGTCCTCCTTTACATATCATCGTAAACTGCCATACCAGACCATATCACTGCCAGCCGGAGCTCCACATGGCCAGACGTCTTCGTCTTCTCCACTCACTGGTGTCTCGTTCCAATTCTGGACGGGCATTCCTACTTCGCCTACTGCATTGTATGGCTGATCAGTCATCTCGCCGTAGTACCAATGGCAGAGCGGGTCATGTATAGATGTATCGACAGGCGTGCTGAAATAATTCAGCCTGGCCTTCTGAGCTTCCTCTGACCTAGGCCACGGACGATCCACAGCTACCATGTTCGAAGGAGCTTTGTTTCGGTTCTTTTTCTTTTTGGGTGAACTCTGATTCGACTGGTGCGCATCATCTACAACGCTACTTCCTGATCTAGAAATGCCATGCCTCTGACCCTCGGTGCCCATATGGGTCTGCTGCTTCATCGATGTTGATCCTCCCTTGGAGGTGGACTTATTCGGCTTGGACTAGACAGAAGTCAGGTTTGATCTGGGATACAGCTAAGTGTCACTGACTTACTTGTTGGTGCATTTTGGTAAGAGGGGCTCAGCTGCTGATGCTGGTATGAACTAGAGTGTTTGATCTGCGGTCTTAATCCTGATCTCGGGATCGTCAGAGGTTGCCATGCTTCTTATACCATGTGGGACACTGTCACATTCTCGCACGCGAGCGACCAGAGAATACGGACTTTGAGGCCAAGTTGCTGACCTATCCGACTCTCAGAGGTGACGAGAGACACAAACAACTCCGTCGGTCATCGTTAGATGGTATTCTCGCTCGTAGAGTCTACATCCCTTTCGAAGCTTGTGATCGCGTCCAAGCAGCGGGTTCGAATGGCAAGCACTCCGCACAAGCTAGTCAGCAAACCTATTGCCATGATCTCATTGACAACAGGACGCGTACTTGGTACTCCAGACGATGCTCTGGCCGATATTCCGGACAGGAATTACCTCAAAAGAGGGGTTTCCGAGACCGCGTCTACAAAGAAGTTGAAGCTATGGAACGAAGGGATACCATAAGCATGAGCTCTGGGACCTGAGTTTGCTGCTAAATGGATCCAACCATGAGCGCGATAGCCTTGCTCCTACAACAGCCACGACATGCCAGCTGTTAGCGATGCCGGATGCGGTCCCGCAAAGCAGCTATTCCAACGTCTGGGACCAAGCAGTCCATCAAGACCGAGAGTCAAGCAAGACAAGTCGGTTGAGTGGTCCACTTGGCGGCTCTTAACAGTTACTGAGACAGGGCTAGAGCGAATGGGACGAGCTCCCAAGGGATGACATCTCGGGCCCCCGCGGGAGGGGACTTGAGCTGCTCCATCCTATTGGCGAGCGCATGCACGAGACCGTGAGACAAAAACAAAAGAATATGTTTACTCGAGCTAGGTCGAGTCTATTTTCCCGCTGTCTTGTCTTAACCGCGTTTGCCTGACCGGAGTGGTTCGCAAGGAAAACAATCCTCTGGTCCAAGCTTGAGAGAGTTTTTCGATAGTAGATGATGTCCCAAATTCAAGCTTCGAGTTATTCCTGTACATTGTGTTTAAGAAACATCTATAGTGTCAAATCATTCTCTGACAAGGGCTGGGGTCATGTGGCACCGGATCTTGATGATAATTATAGGAAACCAAAGTTACAGGAGAAGACAGAATTCAACCCGCTCCTGGACCTGAAACTAGAACTGAGATATTCTGATATCATTATCAACGCCAAAAGATTCAGCCCTCTCCAACAAACGGAAGCCTGTGTCCAACTCAAAACCAAATCATGACGCCTCTTCCCTCATCCGCCTCTCATTCCTCCACACGGGACCCTTCTTTGCTATCAAAAACATCATCGGGCTCAGAACGGCACACAGCGCAGCCAAGAACGTAAACGACCACCCCCTCCCCATCCCACGAATCATGTACTCAATCACCGCCGTCCCAACGGCACCCATGGCGCACCGCACAAGGTTATTCGCCGCCGTCGCCGTCGCAGGCGCATCTGGGAACAAATCCACAATAAGCGTATTCATAACGCTAAACGACCCCGTGATAGTAAGTCCAATAACGCCCTGCAGCACCAACGGCGCCGCAACACCACCGACCTCAAAATGCAACACCCACCCGTACGCCGTCAGCGCCGCGAGACCCACGGCGACGGCCGGGTATACGGGCTGAAGGCGGGCTTTTTCAATGGGGAACTTGAGCAGGTCGTCGCCGCGGCGGCGGTCGATGGCGAAGCCGATGTGGGAGGCGATGCGTCGGTAGTTCCAGTCGAGGACGTAGCCCTGGCCCAGGCTGGCGACGACGCAGCCTGCGCCGTAGGGAAGATAGCAGAGGCCGAGCTCGAGGTCGTTGAAGTGGTAGATTTCGCGGAAGAGGGTGCCGAGGGTGGCGGCTACGCAGATGAAGGCTACGTAGAGTAGGCTGTTGTAGGCGAGGACGAGGGCCATTTCTTTTTCGAAGATGATTTTGACGGAGCGGATTGGGTTTGGGAAGCGGAGTTTGCGGTGAGGATGTGTTGGTGCTTCTTCTGTTGCGGCGGATTCTGTCAAGGAGAGGTTGTTTGGGTCTTGGAGCCTGCGGTTCCGGCGGCGGCGCCGGCGTATGAGGTCGATCAGGGGCCGGTTCCACGACTGGGCGGGGACGGAGCCGTTTCCCACGACACCTCGACAGGTCTCCGGGACGAACAGGGCGTACGGAACAAGCCATAAGCTAATGAGCACAACGCAAAACCAAAAGATGGACGCCCAGCCAAAGTACTGCGTCAGGACGCCCCCAAGAACGGGACCGATGGTGGGTCCGACGTTGATGCCCGCGCCGACGATGCCCATGTACTTGCCCCGCTCCGAGCTGACCGAGATATCGGCCACCATGGCGAACCCCAGTGCAATAGCACCGCTGCTCCCGCCGCTCTGCAGCATGCGGAGGACGAGAAGGGCAGCATAGTCACGCTGCAGGGCGAGTCCGACACAGGCCACCAGATAAATACTAAAAGCGACGAGGAAGGCCGGGCGGCGGCCGGCCATGTCGCCGAAATCGCCAAAGAGTGTTGGGGAGATGGCTTGGAGGATCATGTAGGAGGTGACTGTGAGGTTGACGAGGGCAACGGAGACGTGGAGGTCGTCTGCGATGGGGGCCAGGACCGGGTAGTAGATGTTTGCGGACATGGGCGGGACGAAGCAGGCGACGGAGGCCATGAAGGCTACCCAGCGCTTTGTGGAGGGGGAGAAGACGCTGTAGGCTGGGCCGCTGGGTTGGCGGGTGAGGTTTTCGGGGTCGTCTTGGTCTTGGGCCGGGTTGGGATCTTCGGTTGAGGAGACTTTATTCTGTGCTTTCTCGTTGGCGAGTTCGGGGTCGCTTGGTAAGGAGGCCTGGATGATGGTCTGGCTTCGAGATCTCTGTGGTGTACTTGGCCTCGTTGGGTTCTGTTCCGAGCCCATTTGGCCTAAGTGGTTCAACTCATCTTGTCCCATACTTGTCGAGACAGCATCGCCGTAGCAAGCAAATATACGGAGGGACGATAAGACAAGAAGACACAAGGGATCAAAGCTGAGCTTCTGTTACTGTCTAGGGACACTTGCTTGATAGTATCTCACAGCGTCTACTGGGGATGTCGCAGAGACTGTATTAAAGCGATATCAACCGAAAAGATGAGCATGCAAACACCGCAATTATGAGCGACTTTGCTTGCCTCTATGAAAACTGCAAGTCTTCCATATCCGTGAGCGGGACCACCTTGCCGCGCTGCCGCACACCCTGCCTTTACAACAATGATGTTATTTCCGCTCCCAGATCGGCCTCCACCATTCGGCCTCTGACCGACCGCGATTAACATGCAGCTTCCATGATTCGTCCGGACGGGGCCATGCCTCCACAAAAGCCCGCCCGTTTTGGGCAGCTGGAGTCGTCCAGCATTGACCGAGGCGGCTCCTGGGACGCCTCTATCGGTGCGGTATCGGGTGGGAGGCCATTGTGCAAGCAAACAAAAAACAAGACCCGTTGATAACTGGGTGTGCTTGACACTAGTAGACGATCTGCGTTGGCTTTACAGCCAGAGATGGTCGGCATAGTTGGAGTCGCTGGACTCTAGCATGAGTAGCTTTGACTCCGAGATCGGAAAGCTCAGCTTTAAGCTTTAAGCCATTCTCAGAAATCCGTTCCTGAATGTGGTGCCTTTCCAATGGGGACATGAAAAGTCGTCAATAGATGTCTTAATTGGCGTCGTCTGTAAGCTTCAACCTCGACGTTGTGGGGGAACTGGCTCGTGCGCCCTGCCGACGCCGTTGCCGACGTGCCGATGCAGCCCCGAACTCTCATCATCGACGGCCCGCTTAGCTAATTTTGGGTCACCAGCCACAGTAGCCCCAAGTCCGAGGGGACAAACGTGGCTGGTGCGACCTAAGAACCGAAGCCACGTCATTGGAGAACAGCTTTCCAGATCTCCAGCTGGTAGCGTGGATGTGACCACAGGGTTGAACGACATGATTCCTCAGCGTTGTGTGATACCACATACTATGCTCCTCAGCTTCTAGTCATTGCTTTCAGATTGAACATTACCCTCTCCCAGCCGTACGGCAAAGTCTCCATTCGCCCCCGCCCCCGAAAATGGACATTACACCGGTATTCAACGAAATCCTGCGGAAGCGCAATGCGCCCATCGTCACCGAAAAGAAGCTCAGTCTCGAAGCGATTGATGGCTTCCTCAAAGAGGCTTACAGAATAGTCAGTCTATACCAACCCTTACCTCCGTGACCTAGGAATACATGTCTCTAACCCAACTCTCACCTCCAGAATTCCCACATCACAAACCTCCACAACGAACTCAAAGATGTCCGACAAGCCTACCTGTCAACAGCGCAGCCGCGCAAATCACACATCCACGCCGCCACCCAACAGCAGCAACGTCACCTAACAGACCACGATCGCGAAGAAGTCGACGCAAACGCAAAGCAAATGCTCCGCGAGCTCAACGCAAGCATCACAGCCCTCAACGAAGCAGAGCTCCTCCGCCGCGAAACCGAAACGGCCGTTATCCGCAAAAAGTACGTCAGCAGGCTCGGCGCCTTGGGAGCCTGGGCCGCCGCCAGCGATGCGGGGGGGGACAGCGACAAGGGAAAGACGGCGGACCACGCCGCAGCCGAGGCGCGGGCGAGGACGATTGGGCAGCACCGCGACGAGGTGATTCAGAGTCTGAGGCTGGGACTGCAGCGGTGCGGGAGGACGCAGCAGGATATGATGGAGGTGAGGCTTACGAGGGAGATGGAGAAGAATCGGAGCGTATTGGCTAAGGCTGGTGGTGGGGGTGCGATGCCTGAGCTGGGTGGGTTTTATGAGTCCATGGCGAAGAGTGCTGCGGCCAACAAGGGGACGATGGGCAAAGCTGGTGGTGGTCTGCCGCCTGTGGATGAGGGTGCGTCGTCGTCGTATGATCCGCGAGAGGGTCTTACGGATGAGCAGATTCAGATGTTTGAAAAGGGGAACCAGGATATGCTCCAGCACTACAACAGCACGCTGGACAAAGTCAGGTATGTCTTTAGATGGTTGACGATCTTCACTACAAGTCGCTCAAGACTGCTCTCAAGATGCACTGCTAATCAATGCTGGCTATGAACAGGACGGCAGAGAAGTCGCTGCTCGAGATCGCAGAGCTGCAGACGCTGCTCGTGGGCAACTTGGCGACGCAGTCGGCGCATATCGAGCAACTCGTGGCGGATTCGGAAAACATCACGGCGGATGTGGGCGGTGGTAACAAGCAGCTGAAGAAGGCGGCGCAGCGACCGAGCGCGGCGAGGTATACGTTCTTCGCGTCGGCGGGACTGTGCACGTTTTTAATTCTGTGGGACTTGATTATATAGATGTGAGGCTGTCCGCGGCTGGACAGTTGCTTGGCTAGGAGTTTGTCAAGTATGGATAGTTGCTGATGGCGATACACATCAGAGCCATCATATCATCTAGGCTGTCCTCCCCACCGTATATCGAGACCTACTAAATCCCACCTTGAACCTCCGGCCTTTTGAATCTGTGCAATTTTGAAATATCAGCGTAGCATTGCACTTGTTCCTTGACTCCAATCACAGGCTCATCGTAGGGTGGTGGGAGGTTGGGCTGACAGACATGTGAAAATTTCTAGATACGAGCGTCACATGTTGATGAGTTAAAAGCCTGGGCCAGGTGCAGGTGACCTTCTAGTCCCAAGCCCTGTAGATCCAGCGGACTAGAACATAGGAAGACCGGTGCCTCAATCTACAGGCACTAGGAGCATTAATAGCGATCTTGCCATCTTTAGCAAACCGAGCTGCCTTCATAATAGAGATGAGGAATTGTTGCGGTGTGCTCTAGGATGCCGGGGAAGCTTCGGCAGGTCCACGGGGGACCAAGGCAAGCTCTCAGCTGGCGAGCTTCTGATTGGCGCTGTTAACGACATCCATGGATTTGACATGCGAAACGGTTCTCGGTACTCGCGGTGTTTTGGAGGGGGGAGTGTTGCAATACCGAGGAGTGGTCTCACCTTTGCGGTTATTCTTGGGGTTGCCGAGCTCTATATTTGTGCTGTCAACAAGACCCTTCAATTGCATTGTATTGATCCCAAGTTGAGGCCTGATTCTCTAAATAAGATGGATGCGGGCTTGACAAGCTGCAATCCGCTACAAAGATAAGATGGGATGATCTTGATCATGCCTCTAGTCTTGCCCGGCAATGCGCTGCATCCGATGTTGACGGATCATACCTAGGAAACCAAGAAGATAAACCGGGATAAACTTTCACCTGTGTTCGATGAGGTCGAGTCGTGAAGGCAGTCTGGCAGCAAATAGGATAGTTTGGAGAGTCATGGGGTTGAGCCCGAGACCTCGGCCCGCCCGCAACGGGTGACCTCACAAGCGCCATTGGGAAAGGTTGGGGGGCAATGGGGAAGCAGCGGGGAGCCGATAGCTAGAGGATAAAGAGAAGGCGCGCTCCTTCCCCCGCCGATGCACAATACACCGAAAGGAAGGTACTGCCACCTACTGCTGCTACTGCTGCTGCCAAACCTGGAAACAACGAAATCCCCGATTATCGCCCGACACTTCGCCGATTTCTTCACTTTCGGTATCTTTTTCTCTGTTCCAACATCCCGGACAAGTCACCATACTGCTTCCCGGTCTACCTAGCAAAAGGACAGAAGGGACAGAAACAATCTATTTCTGCAGACAAATCCGCCTATCCGCACCCGATTCGAGCAAGGCGTTACGAAATACCTACCTCGACCTGACTATCCTGCCCGCACCCGGTGGATCCCATTTGATACAACTTTGCCCCAAAACCCAGCCTTGGAAGTGTCACAGTGGTACTTTTTCTCCGTCACCAGGTTCCATTCAAACTCGATTGCTTGCTCTTTCTCAAGTTTCTTCCGCCACCTGCCCAGACAGCCAGAATTTCCGAGCCACCAAAAAATACGCCCTCCGATCGTCCGAGCCAAAACCTCACCACCTCAGCCCTTTATCCCGGATTCCAGCGACCCCCAACCAACCCCTTGAATCGACGCCGTTACTCTACTTCACGGTGTACCCTGCGCCCTGCATCTGTACCTATCTACCTAGTGTCTGTCTTCTGCAGCCCGCCCGTCCGCTGCAACCACATCTACGTTCTTGTACGTTTTCTGCAACTCCCGGTGCGCCGTGGGGACGAGACACTCGGCCAGACCCAAGCGTTTACCGGATCGTAGTTAACATGTCCAGGTCTTTCTGGGATAGCTTAGCTCCCGCACCAACCAACCCCCCCGTCGTCTTCCCCTAGGTAAGCAGTTGCAGCCAGTCTGCCCCTCACCTCAGCAACATGTCATCTTGCGGTTTGCCCTGTTCCTTGACGTCCTAGACGTTTCCTGCCTTACCTTAGCTGGAAGTCCCCCGTCTATGGAGGCGCATGTCCGCTTCCCCCTTCCCCTTCCCCGTCCAACCTCGAGGCGTCGGGTGACACGGTGACCCCCCCGGGAGCCCGGGCAGAAGGGCACCTCTCACCCCAAGATCCCATGGTCCCAAAACACCCCGACCACACCGGTGACCAAGCTCCCATTCCCACTGCCCACCTCACCTAGGTACTTGGGCTGGGGCACCTCAGACGCTGGACAAACGGTTGGCGCCTGTAATCGCAAAGCTTCCCATTCGCCCGTCTAAATCGTACCACTATTTGATGCCATAATAATAACCACCCCCAGACAGACCCTTCCTCCCCCCCCGCCTCTGACTCGTTCCCCCTTCTCACGAAAGCTCCGACGCTGAAAATGCCCGGTGATTCCTCTTCCTCTTCTTCAGCTTCGCCCTCTTCCTCCTCTTCTTCTCCCCAGAACAACTCTACTCTTTCGAGAATACGCAACATCGCATCACACATCATGGCGCCCGTTTCCACGACAAACTTCCCCGCCAGCACGGTGCCTCAAGCTCCCGAGGATCCCCTCTTCGGCTTGATGGCCGCCTACAGGGCAGACCAGAGCAAGGACAAGGTCGATTTGGTGGGGTGAACCCCTGATTCATCAAGAAGCTGGAACTAGCTGTCTTGATGGTGTTCTCAACTCTTTTGCTAACCAGACCAGGGAATTGGAGCTTACCGCGATGACAATGCGAAGCCGTGGGTTCTCCCCGTCGTCAAGAAGGTGCGTCACAATTCTCTTCTCTCTCTATTTTCCTTCATCTTGGATGTGTGAATGCCCTCCGGAGACGGACCCTGCTCGCGGCCCCTGTGGCTCTAGCAAGGCAAAGCCCGGCTGCGTCACGCATCGGCAGCACAACAGCTGATGTGCATCGTCCTATTTTTGATGAGCTTTCCCCTCATCGCATCCCACTTCCTCCACTTTTCGCCTGCCCCTTACAAGTTATCCACCCCCGCTAACCCCGCCATGATGCAACTTTACAGGCCGACGAGATCCTCCGCAACGATCCCGAACTCAACCACGAATATGCCCCCATCGCCGGTATTCCCCAATTCACCGGCAAGGCCAACGAGCTGATGCTCGGCGCCGACTCGCCTGCCATCCGTGAGAAGCGCACTTCCTCCGTCCAGACCATCTCCGGCACCGGTGCCGTCCATCTCGGTGCCCTTTTCCTCGCGAAGTTCTACAAGGGCAACCGCACAGTCTACATCTCCAATCCGACATGGGCCAACCACAACCAGATCTTTGGCAATGTCGGTCTGCCCATCGCTCAGTACCCCTATTTTTCCAAGGAGACAAAAGGTCTCGACTTTGAGGGCCTCAAGTCTACCCTGTCCTCCGCTCCCGAGCGCTCCATCATCCTTCTCCACGCCTGCGCTCACAACCCCACTGGCGTTGACCCGACACAGGAGCAGTGGAAGGAGATTGCCGCCCTGATGCGCCAGAAGAACCACTTCCCCTTCTTCGACTGCGCGTACCAGGGCTTTGCCTCTGGCAACCTGGCCCAGGATGCTTGGGCTGTGCGCTACTTCATCGAGCAGGGCTTCGAGCTCCTCATTGCCCAGAGTTTCGCAAAGAACTTTGGCCTCTACGGCGAGCGCGCCGGATGCTTCCACTTCGTCACAGCTCCGGCCTCCGACGCCGCCGATACCACGAAACGCATCGCTTCCCAGCTCGCCATCCTCCAGCGCTCCGAGATTTCAAACCCTCCGTTGTACGGTGCCCGCGTCGCAGCCACCGTGCTCAACGACCCCGCGCTCTTTGCCGAGTGGGAGGACAACCTGCGCACAATGTCCGGCCGCATCATTGAGATGCGCAAGGTCCTTCGCGCCAAGCTCGAGGAGCTCGGTACCCCCGGCACCTGGAACCATATCACCGACCAGATCGGCATGTTCAGCTTCACCGGCCTGTCCGAGACGCAAGTGCTGAAGCTGCGCGAGGATGCTCACGTGTACATGACCAAGAATGGTCGCATCAGCATGGCTGGTCTCAACACGAGGAATGTCGAGTACTTTGCAAAGGCGGTCGACAAGGTTGTTCGTGAGACGAAATGAGATTGAGGCTTCTTATGACGTTTTGTATGAATGTAAATGGGTAAACATGGGGGACCGGATAATTCCCCCCCTGCAAATGGTGTGGCGAGACAGATGGCAGGAAGTGGAAAGAGGGAAAGAAAAAAATTCTTAGATTTCCTACCTAGCTCTGGAGTAATGACCATCACATCTTGTTCTTGATACATCCTGCTGGTTCCTACTGGCTTTCCGATGAACTGTGTGATATGAAACTATCACTCTTGATGTCTATAAAACCTACCGTTCGGACACCGGTGACAGAGGACTAGTCAATTTGCTGAGAGCTGTTGCCGTCGGCTTTCCGTGCCGGCTGAGTGCCGGGCAAACGATATTGAGATAGCCTGGCAAGGTGAGGAGAGATGTGGTGAGCAACAAGCATATCGATCAACCGGGCCTTTCTCTCTCCCCATCTCTCTCTCCCTCCCTGCCTTTCTCTCTCATTCTCTTTAGCATCTTCACCAGCGTCTTCTGTTTCTCATTCTCTTTGTCTCTCTTCCTCTTCTCTATCTCTCTTTATCTTCTTCATCTCTCTTTTACCCTCTCTTCTCTCCCCTCGTCGTAACCAGTCACGAATACGAAGAAACTAGCACGGGGCAGACTCTGGTCCTAAGCCGCACAAGCACTCGAGGTTCTCCTGATCGACTCTAGTGGGCGAGGTTCAAATGCTGCCATCGACGAGGCGCTGACTTCAGTGGGAACCCAATACTGTCGTGGCGGCACTGTGGTTGAACCGAATGTGTCCATGGAAGCTCTCGTCGCTGATTTTATCATGAGAAGGGCGTCTGTAAGGTGTGGCTTTATATGTTAAAGAAGCCTTAACAGTGTAGTGAAGGGTTGCTTAGACACTCTCTGATAGGCAAGTCATTATGTTTCTGTGTTGATGAAAGTGGTGTCTTTGAGGCTTTGCTTTGCTGCTTGATCTTGGTTATTCTCGATGCCGATGCCGATACTGTAGTTGTCGTCGTCCTTATGCTGATAGACCCCTCAGAAGCAAATGCCCCCCCCCCCTCCCCACCATGGCGCATGGATGGTTCTGGTACGAACTTGCTTTCCAACAGCCTGTTTTCCCTGCAGTCAACATTTTGCCAACCTCATCGGTATTTAACTCGGTCGAGATGTCGACCCATGCTTCCTCCTGCAATATTCATCGGATATCGAAATCGTTCGGATTGGGACTCGAGTCGAGAGTATTCGGGTATCGTCAAGAATCGGACTAGACACTTCTGTTCCTCCTCCACTTTTCCCACTCTAAACTCGCAACAAGCCAAGCAACAGAAACTCCAGAGAAGATCAAAATCCTTCCGAAGTTCAAGAACTCACGAAAACACAGAGACCACAGAAGAGAAGAACTCCAGGGACGACGTCCCGATTATCTAGTCCCAATCCCTCGTGGCAATCGGCCCTTCTCTCGGGACTTTACGGCTAACGGGCACACCCCACCCCCGGTCTCCCGCAATGCCGGTAGAGGGGAATGGTGTGGTCCATGGGTCTGTTCGAAACCCCTGTAGGGTGCTCTTTCTTCACGAACCTATAATATTTGAGTCTGAGTAGTCTTGTGGGGGAAATGGGACGATTCCGAGGACTTTTGTTTGTCCTTGTTGTGGTCTGGACTTTGGAGGGCGGAAGACTTCATGTCCGCGCGATGTCTATCTGCTTGCTTTTAAGTCGTTCGCTGCTGTGTGAAAGACAAAAAGACATGTATCAAGGAAGAGTTCTACGGAATCTTCTTTCGTCGAGCGTACGTACAATACGAGTGTGAGAACTGTTCTAGAACTTTGAGCCCAATCGGGATTGTTGACGGCTTACGGCTTTACTCCAATGAGATGCAGAAGACCCTCCCCCGCAAAGTCCCCCCCCCCCCCTCTCTCCTCGTCCGGATCAGTGTCGAGGAACTCATACATTGGGGAGAGTAAATTGGAGAAGAGACGTCAGTCACACCCCTCGCAGCCTCTAGTCAAAGCCTTTGACATTACCCGGCCAGGACGACCATGGATCTTGCATCCTCGCGTTCCAATGGCTTCAACCGGGATGGGCTCCGATCCGCTGCTGACACACGGCACGGACACTGTCCACGAGTCCGACGAGACCAGTCGGAACTTGGTATGACTCTTGAGTCTTTGAATTCAGGGTTACATCTTTGCGAGCCGTCGACCATACCACTGGGAAACAACATGAAGTTGCTAAACATAGACTGATGGAATGTGATTTTGGGCACACGGGTGGGGGGCTTTCACCAACCTCATCCTGTGCTGGGGTTTTCTCAAAGAGTTGAACATCTAGACGTTGGGAACGCGTTCTCCGGCCGGTGGGAGAAGTCAGCGTGATTACCTTACGGAAACCAGGCGAAAGAACATGCGATGACACGACAGATTGCGACATTCCTTTGAGTAAGGTTTTTTTCGTCCGCATCCTCCCACAGCTCGCCTCGAATAGACGAGCTGTGCCGCCTTACTGCGCTGGATAGCCTCTCGGCGCCAGTCCGCATGAGCAGCTGCAGTCTAGTTGGAGTAACCCGACATCCATCATAATCTTTGGGCTCAGCGCGGGGAATCCATAGGAAACATTGTGCTTCATTGGAAGTCTCTCACTCCAAAGACACTAAACTCTACGAGATTTCTTTTTAGAAACCAACATTAAATTCCGTAAACTTATTATCTTGGAGTCTGTAAAATTGAAGTGCATCTCATCTCCCCATTTCGGACTTCCGTAGCATGACCTCGGCATTGGATACGAAATCTCGCTTATGGCCATCCCGAATGACCGAATACGGTAACGGCGCCAACCTCCCCCCATCCTCCGGTAAAGGCACCGCCAAGCCCAGCACCTCGAGAAAACAAACCTGATGTTGATCCATTTCCCGTAAGCAACTGACGGGAAACTAACCAATAAACCGTTTCCTTGGCCCTAGTCTTTCCCCAAACCATCCAGTTGTTCTAGCGGAGATGCGGAGTTGAATGCTCGTGCGAAAAACTCCCACAATCCTTTCCCCTGCCCATAAATTAAGCAGTGAACCATCTGACCAACGCCCATGGGGAAGGGCAAAGACCATGTGGGGGAAACCTCCCCGCATATCATGGAATGCTGCTCCATTGTTTGAGACGAACGTGTTTCCTCACTGGATGGATAAATGCAAAAAACAATTCAACCCCAAGCCCAGCGAGAAACCCCCCCAGACACTTCTTGGCGAGAAGCTAAACCTCCCTTCCATGGACCACGGGCCACCGCCCCCGGCTCTTTGCGAGCGTGTCCCCGATGCAACAGTCATCTCATTCGGACCTTCTGCCACCTGGGATCCTGGCCGACGCGGCTTCCCTATCCCGCTGTCCCGCCTTAGTCCTTCTTTTGGTTCTGGCCTGCTGTCTGCCGGAATCTGCCCATTGTGCTGATAGGTTCGGACGTATTCAAACATGGGGTAGTTGCTTCCACGGCAGTGCGTATGTATATAAAATACCCGGGTGGACCTCGTCGGAAGTTGGAGATGAGAGAGTCTACCGGATACACGAGAGAAGCGTGTTGGAGTCGCGCGCACTTGAACACACACACACCCTTGAGCGCCCAGGGACAAGGACTCGGTAACATATATCCCCGTATACTCGTTCTGCTGGATAAAGACTACTTATTCGTCATACCACCCCCATCGACTGTCACCGTCTGAAGCCTTCGACAAGTCGCTGAGACTTTTCTGACCAATTCTCCGTGCCCCTATTGCGTGAGCGAAAACCACGGAACATCCTCACTATGGTGCAGATCAAGCGTGCCCAGGAGACCGGGGCGGCGGATCCCATCCTGACCCGCATCTCGGAGGAGGACAAGGTGCCGTGGTACCAGAAGCCGAACCTGCGATACCTCTACCTGATGCTCTTCCCGACGTGCATGGGTATCGAGTTGACGTCTGGTTTCGATTCGCAAATGATCAATGCGCTGCAGATTGTGCCATCTTGGAAAGACTGTAAGTTTCGTCGAACGACTTCAAGTCCTGTAGTATGTTGAGGAGGAGCCTGGAAAATTCAAGCTGACCTGTTCGGTAGACTTTGGAGACCCACAAGGTAGTCTGAAAGGAATCATCGCCGCTGCGTATTCCCTTGGCGCTATTCTGTCTCTTCCCTTCATCCCGATCGTGAACGATAGGTTTGGACGAAGATGGTCCATCTTTGGCGGCAGTTTGGTCATGGTTGTCGGAGCTCTTATCCAAGGCTTCTCTCAGCATGGTAAGTTCGGTCTTCTTTACTCCTGATCTCGGATGAGAACTGACTCAGAGTAGTTGGCATGTATATCGTTGCCCGCATGATCCTCGGCTTCGGCATCCCGACTTGCATCGTCTCCGGATCGTCTTTGATTGGTGAATTGAGTTATCCCAAGGAACGTCCTGTTCTAACATCTCTGTAAGCATTCAACTCTCGCTGGGTTGGATTGACGTACTGACGAGATTGCAGCTTCAACGTGGCGTACTTCGTTGGTCAAATTGTGGCCGCGGGTATCTGCTTCGGTACGAACAACATCGCAAGCAACTGGGCGTGGAGAATTCCCTCTCTCCTCCAGATTTGCCCATCTCTACTACAAATATCTTTTGTCTTGTAAGATGGTCCCGAAAGAGACGCACCACCGGATAGGGTAGTCTTGAATTCTTTAGAATACTAACATCTACCGCTACAGCTTCCTCCCTGAGAGTCCTCGATGGCTCATCACTAGAGACCGTAGCGAAGAAGCACACGAAATCCTCATCAAGTACCACGCCGAAGGTGACCGTGATTCCGAATTCGTCAGGGCCGAGATGGCACAGATGAAGACCGTCATCACCCTCGAGATGGAAGCCTCCAAGCAGTCGTGGATGGATCTCCTCAACACGGCCGGTATGCGCCGCCGTGCCCTTATCTCTTCCATGCTTGGTCTCTTTACTCAATGGTCCGGCAACACGCTCATCTCGTAAGTCTCTCAATGCTATCTATGAAGCACCGTCCGAACACTTGCTAACATGGGAGAATGCAGATACTATTTGGGTGACCTCCTCCAAATGATCGGCTTGACCGACTCCACCGTCAAGCAAAAGATCAACCTCGGCATCGCCGGCTGGTCCCTCATCTGCGGCTTCACCGTAGCCATGCTCGTGCGAACCTTCCGCCGTCGTGTCATGTATCTAGCTTGCACTATCTCATTGGTATGTCTCTCCCAACGCCTCAACTTGAGCCCGCACCCGCTCACAATTCTCGATAGCTCCTCTGCTACATCAGCTGGACAATCTCCATGGAACGGGCCGTCCACGCCCTCGACAACGACTACAAGAACCAATCCGCCTCCGTCGCGACAATCTTCTTCATCTTCATGTACTCGCCATGCTACAACATCGGCTACAACGCCCTCACCTACACCTACCTCGTCGAGCTGTGGCCCTACGCGCTGCGGTCGCGCGGTATTTCGCTGTTCCAGCTCTTTGGCAGATTGGCAGGCTTCTTCACGACTTTTGTCAATCCAATCGGCATCAAGGAAGCGTCGTGGAAGTACCTCATCAGCTACTGCGTCTGGCTTGCCTTCGAGGTTGTGTTTGTGTACTTTATGTTCCCCGAGACTGCGGGACGTACCCTTGAGGAGTTGGCTTTCTGTAAGTGCCTCGACACCGTTCGCGATTTTCTCCTGTTTTGTGCATGGCTGATGAGTTTACTTTACCAGTGTTCGAAGACAAGGCTCTTGCCGACCAGGCTGTTGGCGCTGTTGAGAAAGTTATTCATCACGATGACATGGATACTATCGGCGAGGTCAAGAGCGGAGGCGGCAATACTGAAGTGGTTGAAAATGTCGGTGCCAAATCGAAGGTTTGAACGTCGGATGCCGTCCAGTGTAGCGGCATTAAGGAAGTTCAGGCAGTGTCGACTTTATTAGTTGCGTAGATCACGCGGAGACCGCGAAAAAGTCGGTCTCGTTTTTTCCTAACCCCCAGTTGCATCCTCCTCCATGCCAACCAATGAGACACTGGCGTAACACTCCCTGCGCTCCGTGAGTCTGCTCGTGCAGCTTTGAATTGTTTTTCCCGCTCAGGCATCATCCGCAGCCTGCTTCAAACCAAGATAACCAGTAGTCAGCGATTAAGCAGTGACTACCCAATTTGCAGGCAATGCTCAGACCTTATCACTGAGGTTGGGGGGTTCTATTACCTCATTCATAAATCGTTGGAAGATTATCTGGCCTCAAAGTGGACAGGCCTGTCTGCTTACAGCGAACTCCAATCTCAGGCTCACGACATTCTTGCCGAGGCTTGCCTTACCTACCTCAACTTTGACGAGTTCCAGAAAATTCGCACGCTGATCCCATCGGAGATTTCTGCATTACAAAGGCAATTCCCTCTACTTCACTACGCATCATCTCAATGGGGAAGGCATTACAACCTGGCGAGCTTACTCGGTAGCAGAGGATCAGAAGTGAAAAGGCTTGCTCTTTGTCTCTTGTCGTCAGAGAGTATCATTGCGTTATCGCTCAATATACTTGTCTCACACGAGTCTCATTTCAAGAACCTGGAACACATGGGCCGCAACTTTTACCGGAAGCCAACGGCACTTCACCTTATTTGCGCCCTCAACCTGAAAGGTCTCGTTACATCGGTGCAGAATGCTGTGAGGCTTGTATCGCATGTGGATCATCTGGGATATGTTCCGATCCAGTACTCACTATAATTCGGCGGTAAAGAAATGTGCTTTTGGATGATGGATGCCATTCGAGCGCGGCCGAACAGACAACAGCTGATGAACCAGCTTGTTTCTGACTGCTATGACATGGTCCATGAAGTAGCAAGATTGGATTGGGACGACGTATTGAAGGACTTACTATCCTTCAACTGTGATCCAGATACTCGAAATGAGTATGGCGAAACGCCTTTGCACTGGGCGGCGAAAAGCGGCTCTAAACACACAGCTAATACGCTTCTCGCCGCTGGTGCAGTTGCCACGAATCAAGCCTACGATGGCACAACTCCCCTCATCATGGCCGTTATTGGCAGAAATCTGGAGCTTGTTCAGACGATACTTGACGCAATTTCAAGTACGAAGGGAGAAACCAACGAGATTAATTTGGAGCACCCAAACGCTCGGTCTGATGATCTGCAGGAGGTGAAACACATTGATCACAGACAGGAGGACGGACACAATGCATTCCTGCTTGGTTGCTTGTTGGGACCTAGACCTCTGGTAAAGTTGCTTCTCGAAAACGGCGCGAATATTACAGATAATTTTCAGTCCGACAACGGTTTACACCTAAGCTGCAACCACGGCAATGTCGATGTGCTTGATGTACTGCTTCAAAGGCGCGAAGCGGCTCAATTGAAAATAGCTGAGGGTGTTTGGGGGACGACGCCATTACAAAACGCTATCATCGCCAGAAACACTCCGGCTGCGATTAAGCTGCTACAACATGGAGCACCGACTGCTCTTTCCTCCAAGAACGAACTACCCCCTCTGGCTTTATCGATTGTAAATGGAGAGTAAGATATCGCCGAGGCTCTCATTGTTCGCTACAATGTAGACGCCTTGGAACTTGACACGCGAGGTAGAAGCGCGATGTATTGGGCAGCCGCTGTTGGGTGGTCATCGATCCTGAACATCATCCCAAATCTCACATCTCGATATCGTGTTCAGGACAGGGAATGGTCGGCGTTTCATGTGGCAGCTGAACGAAATCAGTGGAGGTTTCTTGAAGAATTGACAAAGTTTCCATTTGCATCCGACTTTGCTCCTCCCAACATCGATGGCGCCACACTACTCCACGTGGCTGCCAATGAAGGGGCATTAGAAACAGTCGAGTTACTATTGAGGACCAATCCGTCGTCAAAGCTCCTCAGAGACGACCGACAACTGCTTCCGCTTCATCTGGCTGCTGCCAAAGGACACAGCGGCTGTGTAGAGCTTTTATTGACGCTCGAAATCATCGACGAACGAGACGAAGATGGTTGCACGCCCCTATGGCGTGCTTGTGTGAATGGACATGAACATATAGTTGAATTTCTCATCGAGCAAGGCGCTGATTGCGGGTCTGCTAATTTCGATGGCAATATGCCGCTTCACATCGCCGCATCCTTTGGAAACTACACGATCATCGAGCGCCTTCTGAATGAAGGCTGCGATTCCTCTGCTCAGAACAAATATGGACAGACACCACTGATACGGGCGGTAGAGTCAGGCTGGCCCGAGAATGTCAAACTGTTGCTTTCGGCAAACCCGAAAGCAGGCCAGATTCGTGACAACCACGGCCGAACATGTATCCATACAGCCTCTGCTCTCCAATCACCACAAATACTAGCACTGCTGCTTTCTCAAGATGCTGGGCTTAGTCAAGAATTAGATGGCTTTGGAATGGACGCAATGTGTCATGCTGCAAAGCAAGGAGGAGTGGCGACAATGGACATTTTACTCAAGTTTGGTGTCCCACTCAATGGAGTTATGGGTTGCGCTTTTACGCCTCTGTGGCTGGCAGCGACCGCCGGGTGTTCTGAATTTCTCAAAGAACTCGTCAGGCGCGGAGTTGATCTTGAAGAAAGTCTGGGGCGCTTGTGTGGTGAAGCTGCCGGAGATGCCCTCAACAGCTCCGCCATGCGTGGTAACATTGGAACCACCCACATTCTGCTGCAACTCGGCGGGGACCCAACCACGAGAAATATCTTCGGGCAATCCACATTGGACTACGCAATGGACTACGCAAGCGACTACCTGAAGCCGTGTTTTGCGGCCTGGCTCCCTGCCTATCAGCCATTGTCTAGGGATACGCAACTCAGATATCTGCAGACAGCCATAACTCGGGAATGCACCGAAATGATAAGTTTGAGAGCACAAGACGGCACAGAGCGGGATGAGCTGAAGTGTTGGGATAACTTGCAGAATGGGCTACTGTTATTCAACTCGGAGGCAAGCCTCCAACACTTGCAACTTCTCATAATCGGATTTTATCGAGCTTTTCCGAATTTGCTGGAGTGCTTCAACTATTGCGACTGGCGAGGACCGGATTTTGATGGGTCATATTTTCTGCATTATTCGGAAATGGGGTTCACCACACTTTGTCCCAAATGCCACGAGAGCTATTTGAGCTATGTGCAACCTGGTCATTCGCCATTGACCAAGTTCTTCTTTGATGAGTTGGAGAGAAACACTAGGCCTGTGCTTCAGATGATGCCCATTTTCCAGAATCTCCGACCTCACGTCATATGGATGTGCCTGAATTCCTCAAAGTTCATCACTGATTGGCTCGAGGCAGTAATTGGCGCATATTCAGTGTGCGATAAAAGGGAGAACGGGTCCGCTGGAGGGTCTTTCTCCTTAGAAAGCCTACCAGGCTGGCGTCTAGCCGAATGCCTGGAGCGAATTCAGGAGTCGGAAGTATTCCAGGTTGAAATTGGAGACGCAGTCAGACTAGAAGCACAAGAGGCCTTCAGCCATACAGTCCGACGAGACATTTTTGATTGTTCAAGGTCCAGTCCAAATGAGGAAGTCACTCATTTTTATTTTCCCGGCAAAAGCTACTTCGAAAGCCCTGGAATGAGCTCCTTGTCGAAAGAACAACGCCGTTACTTTGATGAACGAGGTCAACTAGGCGATGGCTTCTTCCTGGAAATATTAAATTATTACGCCGGTCTAGATCTGGGGGGCAAACCCCAGTCTACAGAGACGGGCCCGAAATGCAACCTGTCAAAGAAAGGAAAGCTGCCAGCAAAATATCCCTGCGAAGTGCTCAAGTCAGGTGGGTCTTTCGAAGCGGATATTGAGACGATGCGGGAGTTCTTGGGACGGAGCACCACAAATTTCTTGCCAAATTTCATTCCTCCTGAAGAGAAGGATGACATTCTATGGGATACTGCAGCTGAACTTCTGACCAAATCCGGCCTTATTTACCACAAGCGCGGAAGGTTGCGCGAAGGAAGCACGGAATTTTTAAAAAAAAAACAAGTGAGCAAATCGAAGCGTACGACGTTTCGTGGAAGCTCTTGCATGCAATACTCAATATCGAGTGTACGCAGTCGGCATGGGACTTTTGCTGGGAAAGAAATCATCGAGCGTATGGGGAGATCCAGGATCCAGGTCCTAGCCAACAATCGGGAAGAGCCCAGCAAAGTAAAGTCCCGGTTGGGTGGTTTCAGAGTGTCTCGGGTGACCTATAGCTTCTGCTTGATGAGTTCCTTGTCATTCACATTTGGATTAATGGAAAGACTTTGGACAAGAAAGGGGGGCGGGGGTGAGGGAAAGAGAAACAGATAGGCAGAGAGACAACTTGATGGAATCGGAAAGCAGTCCTCTTGTATCTAATTGAGAATTTTGATACCTCAGAGCCTTGCATGTCACCTCTGAGCCTTCCGCAACCGCACATAATTCTTGATCGGCTTATGCGTGACAACATCCTTGCCCTCATACCCCCAAAGTGCCTCCGGACACCTGAGTATCTCAAAATTCCACACAATCAAACTCACGAGGATCCGCAGCTCCACGTACGCAAGCCTCCTCCCGAAGCAACTCCGCCTGCCCTGACCAAAGGCAATGTGAGGTCCAGCTGTAGAGTCAAACACCATCATCCTGCCTTCGTCTGTCAGTATGCCATTAGATTGGTCCTTCTCTGATTGGCCTGCGCAAGTGAGCCACCGCTCAGGCTTGAAGTCAGCAATGTCGGCGGAATCCCATTCCGGGACCCTTCCTCTATTTTTTACCGCAATTCGACACGTCTCGTTCCGCCTCGTCTCGTCAATCTCGTACGCCGGTTTCCGAAGACTGGACCCCTGTGTGAGACAGAAGATCTGGGTACCTTTCGGAATGGGATACCCGAGCAGAACAGTATCGCAAAGAGCTTCTCGCTCTACCAATGGTGCAGTACCGGAGCAACGGAGAATCTCCTCCATTGTGGCGTCAAGGTAGGGAACATTGATCTGCATAATCTCTTGGACAGAGGGTGTTCTGGCTTCTTTTGATGCTTCACTGTATCTTGACTCCATACAGGTGCGGAGCCTCGACTGGATCGTTGAGTGGTCTGCTAACAGCTTGAGACCCCATAACACCGTCGTGCTGGTTGTATCGTGACCTCCGGTAAGGATTCCGAATAACTAATCGTTGCAGGTCAGCTGGATGTTTAGAGATTTGCGCGGTTTCATACCTACCTCATCTCTCATTGTAGGCGAAAGGAAGTCAGGAACCCTTTCGTCATCTTGAGCTATCTTCTTTTCTCTTTGCACCATTAGATCCACAGCCGACCGCATCCATGTGTCGTTATCGCTATTAGCCAACTGCCTGGACGTCGCTTTATTCAGTTCCCTAACAATGAACTCGTTCTTGAGCTTCATCGTCCGGCTGACTGGCGGAAACTTTTCTATGACCTTCCATTTCAAGACAGGCCAGGGCGAGCCGTGTAATCGTTCGATGGCGATAGTGACGTCAAGGATGGTCGATAGCACCTCGTCACAATCCACTGAAGGGAATTTCATCGGATCATCGATGGTCCCGGATGCACGCAATTCGCTCAGTTCGGTGCTATCGAGGCCTCGAATAAGATCTGCTACAGGTTTGGTAGCGTTGTGTGGGAAGTCCCCGCCGAACGAGAAGGCTGTAACGGCATCCAAAGCTGCGTAGAAGATATCTTCGGACACATCAAACGGCCTACCGTCAGCTATACGCGTCTTATACTGCCAAAGGTCGATCAGATTCGTCACGTTCGAGTAGATAGCCGGTGCCGCGACGTCTTGCAAAAAGGGGGGCGACATAAGATCCTGCAACAATCGTCGGTGCGCTTTCCACTCGTCCCCGAGTTCCAGAGTAATTTGGTGGTTTGGCGTAGGGCCTTTAAAAATGTTTTTGATGATTCGTCCGCGATCGAACTCCTTCCGCCGCATGCAGAGATCCTGCATCTCGCGGAAGTCGCTCAATATCACCACGGGCGGCGACATGGGACGAAGGAAAATCTGGCATACTGGAGAGTCGTGCTGGTCCGCCTGGGATTGCAACCAAGTAGCTAGGTCGCCCGTCTTCAAAACCTCGCTGGCGAGCTCTGGTAGGTCACCGAGGATGCGGCCGAGAGCTTTTGGGTTGTACGGGATGCCGGGGATAGGCTTTGGCAGAGCTTTCCGATACAGCCTGTACAAAAGGTAAACGGAAAGTATGCCTGTGAACAGTAGGAGACCATAGGCTTTGCGTGGGTAGATTGTCTCCCTCATGAGATGAGCCGTGTCAGACGAAGTTACGAGAGGCATTGTGGCTATGGTTCTTCCAGAAGAATGGGTGCACGAACTCCAAGTTACCAAACCGGCGGGGGAGAGAACCGACAGTTTATACATGATGTCGCCAAAGTATACCACGGATAGTGATGCTCAATAAAGTAGTCAATTCCAACTCGCTGTAGTCATCCGGGTTTGAGGACTCGAACTCCTTTTGCAAACTCCCGAGGGAACCCAAATTGTCGGGTCTAGGAGGTACCGCAAACGGCATTCGCTGTGGTGACGGAAAGTTGGTAACTAGAAGCGGTTCCCCACGTGTCAAGAAAGCTTCCTCCGCATTCTGCTACGACCTGGATTCCGAAAGGGGTAACTATCTCATTGCGAGCATTCTTAGCCGCCACTTCTAAGGGTTGGCACTCAGACCACCACCATCACTTGCTGGAAGGGCAATCGGCGAATCCGTATCAACCATGCTTCATGAACCTGAAGCTTACAGCCAAGATCGACCCTGTTACATGTGTTCAGGTAGCACAAAGAAGTCACCAGATAAGAATCGATGACAATTGAATGCATGGTCGTCTGCACAAGGTTTAGCTACGATATGTGGTGGTGACCACATGTATTTTGGCCGGATGGATGAATGGTGCCATGGTTTTATCGGCGATCATTGATTACCCGCTGGCTATGGAAGATTAGACTTTAGATTATTGCTAGCAACAGCTTGGCTGTCTATTTGTTGAAGTTATTAGGTAGATGGCTGACTGATCTAGTTGTGAGGTGTTCAATCCAGAATCCTGCAAGCTATGTTGAGGTACCTAACGGCAGGCAAGTTGCCGGTTGCACGTCAGCGACTGAGAAAGTGACAGGAGCCAATTTCGGAATGGGATAACAGATCAAGTCCTGTTCACAAATCTCAAGAATAGTGTGAGATCGGCAGCGGAGAGTTCCCGTGTTCACTCGAAAAAAGACTTCCGGGGATGCAGGCGGGCGAACTGAAAAGCTCAGGCGAATAACATCATAAGATCTAGTGACCGAAGAACAACGCCATCCCAGAAGTATATGAAGCAGATTTGAGTCCGATTGGCCGTCTTAGCGCCGATAGTTCCAGCGAGTTCATCCTCCTGCGAAAACGAAGTCCACTCTCTCTCGCAACACCTTCCAGAAAGGAGTCGGACAGAAGTAGTGATTTACAACTGGACCAATAGAGAGATGTGTGCTCGACAAAACTGGCAACTGCCATTTTGACTACTTGCAGAAAGTATGCTCATTAGAGTTTCGGTGGCGGCGGTGATTATAGAAGCCGAGGGGTCCACCAAAAACGTCGACAAACATGTTCAAAAAGGCCACTCGCCCTCCCCAAATTTACTCTAACAATGTAGCCGTGTGTCACCACCAGACTGTGTTTGAGAGACAGTAGGCCGGCCCCGATAAGTCATCGATCGGCGCGCATGCGTCTTCCAAAATCTAGAACCCGAAGATCATCAACTACGGCGAGACTCACATCCACACGGGGCTACGTATAATTAGGAAATTTAATCTGGATGGATACGCCGGCTCGACTAGACAGTCTTGGAGTCTGGTGTTCTCAGTCAGACAGCTGGCGCCGAAGCACGGTACCACCGTAGAGTCCGGACCAACCAGATCTGGAGACATTTCGACCGTTCCCAAAGCACCTTATTGATCATTTTGTCATCTAGGACTGCTAGCCTCTGAACGGATAGATTTAACCTCAAGGGTCGCGATTTTGAAGTGTTGAGCACAATTGCCAAGTTAGTAAGCAGATATCCTAGATATTGCCTGTTTACCAAAGACTCGAGAAAGCCGGGCACACTCTCGGAGTTTTGTCAATATTGCATACTATTTGAATAGAGAAACGCTGTATTCCTACCCACCACAACATGAGCCTTCCACTTGGAATCAGTTCAACGGGGTCGACCAGCTCAGTAACAAATGTATGCGTGCTCCACTGACATCCATAATTGAGCATGGTCCATAAAGCATAGTGTTCCACCCTGAGCATTCTCTAGTCCGATATGGTGTAGTGGCCAACATGATGCCCTCTCATCTATGGCAAGTCGTTTGAGAGGATAGGCATAGCCCCGAGTTCGATTCTCGGTTTCGGAAAACACGAACTGCGTATCACACAGTGCCATTGCTCATCTACTTTTTTTCCCCTCCGGCTAACCATTCAGTCTCGTGCATCTTTTGTGAATGAAGACTTGCAACTATCTATTCAGCCATTATCTTCCATTGTCCCCAGTACTTTCCGATTGAGGCATTCAAGCTGGTTGAGAGGAAAAGGGTTTTAGGAAAGAATGCATATAGGAAGCGGGTTACCGAACGCAGTGTCCTCTCAGCAAATGGTTTTAAGGGCACTTCCTCCGCCCTCTTGATAGGTGGTGGATATATAGCTACCTGCGGCAGAGGTTCTCATTCGATTCAATCTTCTCTCCTTCTGAAACCCATAGGTCTAGTTTTATGTGAAACTAAATTGACCTACAGTGGCTTTTTGGACTGGATTTTGCGCTGTCAATGTTGGAAGAGATGGGCAGTGCTTCTGGCCGTTCTGTGTTCTGCCTTACTCCGTACAGCCCACAAAAATAGGCTGCTGGGCAGCTGCCTAGAGCTTTCCGACTCTTGCACCCTTGGCACGCTCAGTATTAATGCTCCGAGGTAAAACCAACAGGCTGTTTCCATCCCAAAGAGCCACTCTCTAGACTCTTCCCCAAACTCGACGAACCTCAACTCTTACTTTTACCATGGACCTCAAGGACATACCCAACGAGATTCTTGACCTGATCATTGGGCAATTGTTTAGACTGAAAACCCTCGGGGACCCCGAGAAAATTCGGGAAGTCCGCAAGCACCTTCTCCCCGCCCGCCTCGTTTGCCGACGATGGAACTCCATGGCAACTGGACACCTGTATCAAACCCTGGAGCTAGCACCCGCAAAGACTGTCAACGACGACGAGGATGAGTTTGAAGGCTGGAACAGGATTCTCGACCTTGAAGCCGCCAGGAATGCTGCTCAACGAGTCATCATCCAGAGCTGCCACAAGGACGCGAAGGAGTATGGGGACTGGCCAGATTGGCCGGGTGGGAGGTATCCAGCCTTTACCTCAGCCCTTCAACGCATCAAGCAGCTGCCGAATCTCAAAGCGATCGAGCTGCACTTCAGCGAAAAATGCAAAGGCCAGTGGTTCCAGCTTCGGGGCTATGGAGACGATGTCGAGTCAGCCGAGTCTCGACTACACACGCTCAAGGCGGTTTTCGTAGCCATTCGGGACCGAGCGGTGCACTCCAATCCCGAAATTAGCCCAATTCGGTCCTTGACGATTCGAAATCTTCAAAACATGGCGCATCAAGAATTTGTCGACTCTGCTCTTTTCAGAGACGTCGCGAAGGACATCGATCGTCTCCACCTGTTGATCACAGAAGAGTATAATGAACACGGCCCAGACCACGACATCTTTAAGGAGGATCGCTTAAAATTCGAGGGTCATCTGCATCGACAAATTCTCCCTCACTTCGCGGCCAACCTCACCGCCTTGACCTTGAGTTTCCACGAGTGCTGGGGCACCATGCCGGGATACTTTGATGGGGCGGGCCCAAAGCTTCCTCGCCTCAAGACCCTGACTTTGGGAAACTTCGTCATCAGCAACAACCACCATTTTGACTGGGTTCTCTCACAGAACTCGCTGGAGACTTTACGTTTGGACAGCTGTTCTATCGTCTCTCACATTAACATTGACACCGAGCCTACGGAAAAATGGAATCTCCACAAGGAAGACTGGCAGCGTCTACCCAGAGGCTCTTACGGTATCTCTTCTGGTGGTGCCGAGATCTACAGGTTCGATGGCACATGGGAGGCTGTTTTTGACAAGATCCGTCACAGCCTTCCCTACCTGAAAGACTTTCGCTTTGACAATGATTCCAACGGACTTCACTTCCTTCGTCCAACCAGGATTGGTACCGTGCTGTATCCTTCTCGATACACTAATTTCGACATGGGAATGTGTCCCAGTCCATGGTTATTGACGGACAGTGCGACTGGTAAGATGGAGTTTGGAGACAACAATCTCGGTTCCTCTGACGACAGTGATGATGACGATTCTTATATGAACCGCTCGAAAGAAACAAAAGAAGGCGACGCTAGAGCATTCAACGATCTTCTCAGTGCCTGCCGTGGGAGACATGAGTACTTGGTGTAAGAACGACGGCAACACTAAGCGCAGAAGTTGGAACAGACAATAGGCAATAGACATAACAAATCAGGAAAATCTGTCGAAGACTGGAGACTGTTCATGGCGTAATCGAGCTAGTTTATCAACACCTATGTGCTGTGGGTTTTCTTTTGAGACATACACAGCTATATTCTTGGAGCTAAAAACCTGCAACGTGAATTGCATGCTTGTCGTAACATCATCGTCTCGCTCAGCTATACCAAACAACGTTGGCTGGTCCCGATGCCAAGGCCAGATGCGCGACAGCTGCCGCAGTCGTGGATGAGCCAGTAGCATCGATCTTCCATACTTCCAGGAAGTTCGAGCCGCTATCCGTAATGGCAAAATAGTCCTCGCTAAACTTGGCGGGAGAGACGGCATTGGCGGAGCCACCGCTGTTCGTGGTGGGAGTGAGGAAGAGCTGCTCGGTGATGGCGCCGGTGGTGCTGTCGAGAGCGAAAGCGGAAACGTAGCCCGGGATACCGACGGTGCGGGAGCGAGTGGCAGCAATGAGGTACTTGGGCGCGGCGGCGCTGGCGTTGCTGCTGGGGATGGAGAACATGACTTCATCAGCCCAGTAGGACGATGTGTTGGTGTAGCCTGACGAGATGTTAGCTGGTAGTTTTAGCAACCACTCCACTTGGATGCATACCTGAGGGCAAGAGAGAGTAGGTGGTGTTGGTGAAAATCAGCTTGCCGGTAGTCGTATCGCGCTTGTAAGACGCGATGGAGTTGGCCTCCTCGTAGACGACATAGACCCAATTGCCATTGGGGTGCACGGTCAAGTGTCTGGGGTTAGATCCCTCGGCTGCGGCGAGGTACTGGACTTCTGTAACCTCTCCGGTGGTGTTGTCATAGGAGTGTGCCCAGACGGCGTTGCCCATGTCATCGGCAGAGTAGATGAAGTCGTTGTTGGGGCTCATCCATGTTCCATGAACACCTCCGGCGCTATCGTATGTGACGTTCGCGGTAGCCTGCTGGAGCACACCTGAGTCATCAACGGTGATGGCCAGGCTTGAGCAGCCACCTCCATAGGGAGTTCCGAAAACAGTGTAAGGGGAGGCAGAGGAAGAGGTGATGTAGTTGGCGTTGCTACCTATTTACTGTGAGCAACAGGCTCATTTTGGGACACTCTACTGTTAGGGCACTCACAGTCTGAAGACAAGCTCACGTTACTGCTGTACGTCAAGCTGAGGTCGTCTGTGATGGCATAGCTTTGAAAGTAGCCAGTCGTACCGACATACAAGTTCTTCAGGCGGGACTATCGTCAAATTGTCAGCATCAGATCTGGCAGGCTTATTTTGAAGTATGCTTACATCGATGTGAATCCACTTGGAGCCCGAGCTCGCGTCTGTGCTAATGTTGTTCTTCAATGTGAGCGACTGTGTTTGGTCATCGAACTCGACGCCGACAATAGTGCTGCCAGAGAAGAATCCCGAGAAAAAGTAATGGCTGTCGGCCAGGGCCGGAGCAGCGGCTGCCGCCAACGAGAGTATTTGGAACGAACGCATGGTGTTGAAGTTTAGCAGATGGGATGAACAGGCATGAGAGGACAGTTTGAGATGGGATCGGGTGCTTGGCAGATTTAAACATCATTTTGTAAAAACGCCTTTACAGCTCTGATGACGACTCCCGAAGGCCTCTATCCCGCCGGAGGGAGACTCTCCACATCACGAAGGTGCTAAGCCCCATATCAGGGGGCCGTTGCGCGGCTCAATAAAGTATACCAAGCTTTTCGCATGGGGGACGTATACCCAGGGGCAAGCAAATACCGCTATGGAGTATGGAGAACAGTAGCTAGGGGCAGTGGAGAAGAAACTTGGAGTCTTAGACAAAGGGTTGACGTTGGTAGTAGTAAAGAAGGCCTCGCGTTCTCTGCAAATGCCAAGAATAGTTTCAGAGTGTGGCTCAATACCAAAGCTGACGAAATTCAAGGGGCCGGTGCTACCGTCCTATGAGCGACAACGCCTATATTCTGACAGGTGCACGCGTAATCCCGAAAAGCCAGCCAAGCCGTATTCAGTAAAACTCGGGTCGGGATCTCCATTCTCGATGGGCGAGAAATTCGTCCCGCGGCTAGGCGATGCTTGTTTCAATCTAAGTGCCGCTTGTGGACGAGTCCGGGCTCAATGTTTTCTCTAATTTGTTAAAGTTCATCCCGTTTACTGCCCACATCCCGTGCCACGGCTCTGGGAATAATGTGTCCGGCGCGATCCAGCATCCACCCCTACAGAAAGCCGGAAGTGCCGACTTTGAGTGATTTCCAGAGAACCTGCCAGCGACGCATCTAGCAAGTATTCAGATTGATTTGGAGATTAAAAAAGGTCGTCTATCCCGCTTCACCACCCGGTCAAAGTAAAAATCACACATCACCAAAGATAATTCTACTCATGTGACATTATCTGAGGTCTATGTGCAACGTGTACTAGTGTGGATATCCACGATTCCAAGCCTTTGTTCCATATTCTTGACTCTCCTTTTTGTCAAGTTGCATCTTATTGCCGCATGGAGAACAAGCCTCTGTCAACAAAAGTTTACTACTTCAAACCTCTAAGGAACAACTCAAAACTAGCTCACTTCGTTCAACTCATCCCTCTATCAGAGCTTCGAAGGCGCCTGAATAAGGAATCTAGGATATATTAGCTCAATAAATGGCTGGAAATGTTTCTCTCCTCCCTTCCTTTTAACGTTATTCCAAGCTCTTGGACTTTACTGATATCAAAGGGCGATTGCCAGCTGTCTAGCTGCCTCAGCCATCCACGTCGATGCCTTTCAAAACACTTTGAACGCATTCTAACCGTTTCAGTCGCCGTTAGTTTGAGGCTACCCAATGTTAGCGACCGAAAAATGGAAACATTCCCCCGAATATGCGTGAAAAGCAATGTGATCCCTCAGAACTTGTCATTTTTTCAAGTCTCAGGGTAGAAATGATCGCTGCCAAAAGCCTTGCCTAATATGAGTCCTGCAGGATCGGATAGCCTCATCATGTTGGTCGGGGCACACCAGCGCGCAATTTTGCATAGTGATTCGTCAAACCAATAGGGTAAGCATGGGTGTTACAATCTTTTGCCTAGCAACATGCTGCGCAAGCATGCATCAAGCAGCAATATTGCATGCGATAAGCTCCATCCGATATGTCCTTCTCGCAAATGACGATCCCTACCTTCGTAAGCTTTTACCACTTTTCACTCACACGCTCAATTGGCTGGACTCATAAAATCATCAGAGGTAGTTTTTGGAAAGCTCGATAGCCGCAAGAAGACCGGAACACGCGGCCGGGAACTGATCCTGTCATACTCTTTCAAGCGACTTGAAACCACAGGGTTCGTTAAATGGACGCCTGCCGCCGCTATTACGGAGTGCTTATCGAACTTGTGAGACTGTGTCCTTGATACAAGCCACCCACTTCTCATTCCCAGCATCATCATGTCTGGCCTAGTAGCGACAACTGACGAAGTGAAGCAACGAGAAGCCGGACTAGCATTCGGCAACTCGAAAAGGCAATCAGTGTCAATGATGATACGACTAGCATTTACTACGCAAAAGATGACACTATCGATTTACGTGCCGTCACAAGTGATCTAACAGAACACCGTAGAAGTATTCTCCCTAGGCCACCCAATTTATGTTCCAAGGGAATTGACAGTTTGGAAGCTGCCACAGATTTCTTCTGGGCAAACATTGACCCTGCTGACAAAACCACACCGTTCGATCGGATCCGTGCGACTTTGAAGGGCCGTTTCCAGTGCCACAGAGTGCGGCTCGTCGGACTGAAGAAATACGTTGCAATATCTGTGAAACGCTTGAACATCCAAAGGAACATGGCCAGAAAGACGCCCACCCACTACCTTACGTACTTCACACGAGAGTCTCGGGATATCTGCCCATAAGAAGTACCTCAGGTTTCAATTGTTACGGCCGAAATTGCACAGAAGGATGCGAAACTGAATCTCAAGATATCGGGAGATCAGAGGAAAGTAGCCCATTGTCACGTAACAGGAATGGTATCAGCACTTGTCAGGCACCTTGCCACGTGCTTTCTCACGTGGATATCACATTCACTTAGTACATAGACTGCTCTCATGTGCTCATTCCAGATGGGTTACTTCAAGCCACTTTAACCCACTTCATATACCCATTGCTGGGTGCCATAACTCGTGACACCCATGCTAGTAAAATCGATAGCCAGGCACAGAGGGCTCTGTCCCTCCTCGGTGCTGCATTCCTGCCTGACACGCTCATCGCCTCTATTTTTAGCATGTCGTTTTTTGACGTCAGTACCAGCGCCCCTTGGCGCGTTTATGAAGCGTGTAGCACTGACACTATCATGGTAGAAGCTCATGTTTCGTCAAAGATTTGGATTTACTTTGCGTTCATGATTCCATTGACCACTGCTGGGCTTCTTGGATGGCTCTTCTGGGATCATAAGCGAAGAAAATCGCAACACTTGACCAGGTCTGCCACCAATAATATCGGCTCCGCCACCGAGATGGCAATTCTTTCTGAACTATCTAAGAGATCGTGAAAAGCCCCGACATTCGCGTATACTCGATACAAGGCTCTAGCTCTTATAGACCCTCAATTTTGATTCCATTCTGTGGGAAACGTATGTAGTTCAGAGTCTATTCAGACATACTATGTTCTCTTCAATACTCCGTAGCGTGTATTCAATTTCTAAAACCAACTACTTATTCTATCAAGCCACTCCGCGAGTTTCTTTGCAATTACGAACAATCAGTCAAAGACCCATGTCCCCGCTAATGGGTCTCGGAGCTGAAAATGGGGCCATCAGGCAACTTCGGACCCGAGCTGAGGTCGAAGCCAAAAGCTTCGTCGCTGATGAGGATTGCAACTAACCAGAGAGGATATTCCAGTGGAGATATGACCGTTCAAAAAGCTTCATTACACTAGAGCTCGGGATGACTTTGTGGGTGGTAAACTGGCCAGTTCCTTAGCAAGACAGATGCAGTGGGTGTTTGGCTTGAGGACTGAAGTAGGGAGGTCGGAAGATTAGGGGTGCAATAATGGCGACCGCTATGGAAGCTCCAAAGAAGCACAGTCTACCGCATTAGTACTCCTCACTAGTTGAAAGTTATTGTGCCACGTCGGGTTAGCTGCTAAATAAGGCTTAAAGGCATAGCATATAGGCTAAAGCTGCAAAGCATAGTTGTGAAACAGGAAAGTGTGAGGTATGGCTATGAATGAAGTGCCGATGGCATCGAATCATATAAGTCTGCCGATAGATTCGCTCGATCTGAGCTGTGGAGGCAGCATAGCCACGATGACTGCGTAACCACGCACACCGTCCAGACATTAGAGATCTACAGACTACATTTCGGGCAAACGGCTCCTGCCAGGTCTCTTTCGTCTGGATAAGAGACCTGACATTGTGGAATCTACCTACTTCTCCGAGTAATACTCTATGAAATCCTTATCTATGAAGCCTAAGTAAGAAGGCAGTGTCTCCGAATCGTCCAGTTCGGCTTGGCTGCCGATCCTGTCGGAGACGACTTCCGAGGCTTGGCACGGCTAGATAGTGAAGAGCAAGACGGACTTCGGCGCGGCTTTCGGGCAAATCACACCTTGGTTCAAAGTCTTAGATTCGGGCAGTACGATGTGGGGGAGGCGAATTTCTATCTTAATGAATTCGACTTCCTACAAGGAGTTGTTCTACCGAAAACTTTCCTGTTTACCTACAGCGGCTACGAAAGACGGCTGCAAGGGTCCATACGGTCGTCCAATGAGATCAAATCCTATGCGTATATCACCTTATATTATGGCGAGTGGGCCATTGCCAAATGCGATACCGAGCGAATTGCCGTGCTGACAAGTTTGAACTAAGCTTGGGTTGATATATGCTTAAATCCGGTGGTGGATACGGCCTAGGTCAGTTCTCAGCGTCCATAGCACCATCACTTTCAGTGAACAAATGATAGAATCACACCGTTGAACGTGGGTTTCCCATCACCAAGAACAGCCACCACTGCCGCGTCATGCCAATGCGGATGACACTATGCTTTGCGGATCATGAGCCAACATGAAGACATGACTCCGAGGACAAGCGCCGAGTAGGCCTAAGCCCATTCAGTATATAACATCAGCTATTACTTAGCTTGAAGGTAAAAAGGTCTTCTTAGCACCATTGGTATTCTCTTTACCTCGGAAAGCAGTACAAATTTTGAACATGTCGCTTGGATTTCTCAACAGCACCATGCGAGCTGCCGTCATGACTGGGCCGTATCAAGTTCACATTGATCAGTTCCCCATGCCGCGTATCGTCAACACCACCGACGCAGTAGTCCGTATCACAACCTCTGCGCTTTGTGGTTCGGACCTGCACCGTTATCATGGCTATGTGGGAGGGGAGCCACCATGGGCGTTGGGCCACGAAGCTAGTATGAGACCAAGTCTAGGACAAGAGGATGTTCTGCAAAAGCACACTGAAGCTAATAGTGGTATAGTGGGATACATCGAGTCCATTGGTAGCGGCGTGTCGTCTTTGGAGGTGGGACAATATGTCATCATTCCAGACAACGGCGCTACCGGACACATCGATATGGGAGTTGCGACTGGACCTAGAATGGGCCTGCCTTTCGGAGGCCTCAACGGAGGCCTTCAAGGTATTCATACGCCGTATCCAAGTACTGTTTCCCCGTTACTAATGATGCTTGGTATGATCAGCTCCTTACGCCAGAGTCCCGTTCGCCGACATGGCCCTGATCCCTGTTCCCCTGACCGCCGAGACCACCAACACCAGTATCGAACAAGACTACTTGACCGTTTCCGATGTCTTCTCCACCGGATGGATTGCCGTCACCAAGTCCGGTTTTGAGGCCGGTGATACTGTGGCTGTCTTTGGCGCTGGTCCCGTAGGCCTGCTCGCCGCATACTCTGCTATACTTCGCGGCGCATCTCGGGTGTACAGCGTGGACCATGTTCCCATGAGACTTGAGAAAGCCGCATCCATCGGAGCTGTGCCTATTAACTTCATGGGCAGCGACCCCGTGCAGCAGATCCTCGCATACGAGCCTGGCGGCGTCATCCGTGCTGTTGACGCCGTCGGTATGGAGGCTATCACTGCCAATGGCACCATGCAGCAAAATATTGTGCTCAACCAAATGGTCGAACTTGTTGCTGCAGGTGGTGGGATTGGCCAGATTGGAATCTATCTGGCCCAGCCAAACACTGGTCTGGCCCCGAATGCGGAGAGAATCACACCGGAAGTCTCGTTTCCTCTCACACAGTTCTTTTCGAAGGGCATCAGATATGAAGGCGGCATCGCAGATCCTGAGACTGTTGCAGGAGAACTCGTCAACTTGATTTCAAGAGGTATTGCAAAACCGGGTTTCGTGGCTAGTGCGTCTATCGACATCGAGGAAGTCCCGGCGTACTATGAACGGCTCAGCAACCAGCAGGAGCTCAAGGTCTTTATCAAGTTTCCCTAAGCACTAACCCCGACTAGCTTATATTCTAGAGCTGTGCATATCCTCAACATCGCCGGACATTTATTCCGTACTTGGAATCAGCACAGGGTTGCGGCCATGTGTGTCATCAGGCCTGAGACATAGATTCAACGAGTTCATTTGAAAGGGGCAGACGGCCTTCACGGAGCTGGGAGCGCACATCCCAAGTGCGTTGCGCATATAGTGAAAGGTTGCCCTCAGTCAACTTCAATTCTTTGTACATTTTACATAGACCAACTACTTTTAGACTGGCTGCCTGCTCTCCATCAAGACTTGTCCATGACTAGATCCAGAATGGTGAGATTTGGCCCAGTCCATCTCTTGCCTTTGATGAACCAGAGACCTACTGCAACCAATAGGACGAAGACCATGACCGGTCCACAATAGTTCATGTTCTCTGCAGTGACAGGGACCGTGGAAGGGAAAGGAAGAAAGATGATGACGTAAAGGGTATAGACCAAGGCGAATGAGTTGATGTGGAGACCAAACCGGCCGAGATTCCACTCTCCAAGCTCGACCTCTCCTTTGGAAGATAGACGAGCGTACAGCATGCTGCTGATTGCGATCGCATAACTGAGGTAGAGAGCTAAGGATGAGAGAGAAGTAATGGCACCGAAAGCGACGTAGCTTGAGTTTCCAATATTGAGGAGACAAAGGGCACAAACAATGAACACCGTAACGACAATTGCGCGGATAGGTACGCAGTGCTTCGGATGAACGTATGCCAGATAAGCAGGCAAGCCTCCGTCTCTGGACCAGGCCCAAGTAAGACGAGATACAGAGGCGATATTGGCCAAGTTTACGCTGAAGGATACGACGAAGAGGCCGGTGATCATGGCCGTCGTCGCGCCCTTGGAACCGGTGATGCTGAGAAGAATAGTGAGAATTGGGCTGGCTGAGTTGAGGGCGTCGTCAATCGAGCCCATTGAGACAAGGATGACGCAGACTATGACGAATCCAAAGCATCCGTTCATGAAGATAGACCAGAACATGGCACGAGGCACTGCTGACTTGGCCTTTCGGGTTTCTTCGCTCATGTGGATGGCACTGTCGAAGCCTAGTCGAAGGTCAGTTAAAAGAAGGTGTGATTTTGGAAGGATTGACACTTACCGGTGAAACTCCAAACACAAGTCAACATGCCGAGGTTCCAGGCAATAAAGGTATCTGTCCAACCAGACGCAATGTTGGTCTCCAAGAAGAAGCTACCTGAGTGCCGAGTTCCCATCACGGCCAAAACAACGACAAAGACAACAAATAAGCAGACGTGAAGGACTCCAGCAACAAGCTCAACCCACGGGATGACTCTGAAGCAATATGTGTTCATCAATCCCTGAATGACGCACATGGCGATGACAAGCACCGAGGTGTGCCAGCCTCCAGGCACATAGTCGGGATGGTTCAACTCAATCATCGACTCCAGGAGGATAATCGTGACGTTTGCAATTCCAGCAAGGAGCGATACGTATCCAAACCATGTCGACCAGCCCTGGATCCAGGTAGCGAAGCGCTTGACACGTGCGGGGGCGAGGTGGAAAGTCCAATGATACTGAGCACCGGCGACCGGTTGGATCGAGGCCATCTCGCCCAAAGACGCGGCTTGTGCGATGGCTCCGCAGAACACTATGACGAAACTGAAGATGAATGTTTGAGGCCCGCCGTTGTAGAGTGCAAAGTACATGTTTCTGGGAATACGGTTAGATTGAGGCGGTGTATGTAAGGGGAGCATTGGTAGCTTGCTTACGTGCACATGCCTTCCCACAAGGCCATGTAAGTCAAGGAGAAGGCGAAGAGCTGAGAGAATGAGAACACTTTCCGCGTTCTGGTCTGATTATAAACTTCGGATCCATGTTTTGACTTGTTCGCGTCAATCTGACTGGCATCTTTGATCGTGGGCCGCAGCTCGATTGCCTCTGCCGGAGCCATGATGAGATGCTTGAGATACCAACTGAAAGAGGGATTGAGAGAAACTCAACAATACAGAAGAGCTCGGGGGTCTGTCTATGTGAAAACGAAGATGAAAGAGGCGTGTCCGATCCTCGGCACAGACGAGAGTCTACTCAAGTCGGAGAAGTTCAGAATAGTCTGACAGCACATCCAAAGCCTTGGCCGAATGCTGCGCCATATGCACATGAATATCAGCAGGTGTAACCGCGGACATGACAAAGTGAGACGCTGATCCCGGTAGCCGCAGCAAGCTTGCAAATAGATGAGTGATCTGAGCTCGGAAAACGATTGGTGAAGAGAGGATCCGGTTCATCCTCTTCGATGCAGTGACGGCTGGCTGTTGAAAGTCAGAACCAACGGGTTTTTAATTAAAATTTCGGAATGAGCTCCGCTGAATATGCATGTTAAAGCAAACATTGCTTCCTTGATGGGAACTGTTACCGACCAACAGGTGGTCTCCGCGGTGGGTTCGAGCCGGGGTTCCTGCATGCCGGGAGGAGTTCGACCACACGAACTCTACCCGTACCGTTCCCGGAGCTACTTGGCACCGTCGGACCCTCCAAACTCGCAGTTGAATCGATCATATGTGGTGTCTGCCGGTCAGATGCCTTTCTGGTCATCATTTCGTGGGCCGTGGGCTGAAGAATGCCCGGGCACCGGGGTCAGGCTACCCTGTTCCCTTCTCTTCGTCACATCTCTTTGCGATTCCTCCGACTCGACGCAGGGTGAGTGAATCGAAATCTGAGGCAATTCGATTTGTATCTCAGTCCCCAAGTAATCTTCGTCCGGTTGTCCGGCCTCGCTTGCAGAGAACGTAACCCAATGTATCGGATCGATGTCGTGGCAATGGTCTGGATGCTTGGTTGAGATTCATGGCTTCTGGATGCCATGCTTCCGAGCCACCGAGCCAATGAATAAACTCTGGTTAGGAAATAATCAAGTAAGAGAGCCAACCCTGCCAGGTTACGGGCGGATGCTTGCTATGCACTGCTCTAAACGGCACGGACTGACTGACCAGGTACGGATACACTTGATGTATTGTTTCTAACAGTTCCAACGAAATCTCTCCGGTCGAGCCTGTGAACCAGAGTCGAGATGAGTTCAATCTGATTGACAGACATTGTGCTCGTCTTTCGTCTCCACATGATATGTGCCACGACAGCTTTCATCACATCAGACTTCGGCCCACCAGGCAAACTTCGCTTCCATCCTTGCAACACGTAACAGGACCACAGGCGAAATTTCACCACCCGCACACAAAATATCTTCCTCGAGGACCAGATCGAGGGTCTCGTACGATGGAATAATGTCAAGGAGTTGCTGGACGGTTGATTAGTTTCTTACGCACGGAAGATAAGGCCACTCCCGTCGTGTGGAACTTCCCGGCACTGCCAAAGTTACATGTACCTGGATCTAGCAAGTGTACATGTACTTTCACTAAATTTCAGACAGATTTCACACTCTACGATGTCCGGGCCAAGCAACTCTACTTTGGATCTGTTGCTGGTTGGCTTTATTCTTCCGCACGACGTGACTTCCACGACTCACCGGCCAGAGACCACTGCTGCGAGGAGCTTGGAGTGACCTGCAAGCATACCAACCAGCCATGTAGCTGCTCTGTAGATCTTCGCAAACTACTCCGGATTCTGATACGAAGCCCGGCTTGTTGGATCGATGAAGAATTTACCAAAAAGTTATTACTATGGGTCCCGCATCCCGCAGTAGCTCATTACAAAGCTCAAGACTCTGCGGCCTCATCAAGAAGATCGTTGGGCCATAAGTAAAACGGCTCGACTGAATGCTTCCAGCAAAGATTCGGTCCTTAGACCAGCCGAATATGGTAGTCGGCATTCAACCAGATCCTCCATTTTACGCGTTGACGGAGGACGACCAAGCTGCGCTCGTCGTCGTTGCCTCGCTGATCTTTCTCATCTACGCCATCATTGGAATATCACTGAAGCTTATCATTCGTCTTAACATCACTTCATTGAAGAGTCACGATGTGGTATTACTATTCGCAACCGCATCGCTCCTCTCGCAGACGATTTGCATCATCGTCGCTTGCAAGTTTGGGCTCGGACGTCATCAGGATACGGTAGACTTTTACGACCTCGGCATATTCCACAAGGTAAGTTTACCGTCGTTGCGACCAAAGCTGAACCGTGTGAACTGACCCTTTCTCAGATCTTCTATATCTCAACCCTACTAGCAATTGCTACCGCAGCGAGCATCAAAATTTCGCTATGCCTCCTTATCCACTCCATCAACAACCACGGCCGACTCAATCTTGCGAACAAGATACTCTTTGGCATCATCGTTGCATGGGCCATATCCGGAATGCTAATGGCGTCATTGCAATGCTCTCCTCCGCAGCCGTGGCTTGCTACCACTATCGAGAAGTGCCCAGGTCGAGAAGGGATTTTCCTCTACAACGGCGTTATGGACATCGCTACAGATGTTTGTCTATGTCTGCTCCCCGTAGCCATGATGTGGAAAGTGCAGACTACTTTGAAGAGAAAGATGATGGTGGTTGCTCTTTTCACCACCCGCATCATGTAAGTTGCTTCAAGACAACCGCTTCGGTGATGCATTTGCTTACATCTCTCTCTCACAGCATACCAATCATCACGATTCCGAGACTGGTTTACACACATACCTTGGTGACAGACTACACTGACGCGACATGGCATGCGGTCCATCATGCCATTTGGTTACAAGTCTCACTAGGCATGTCAATCCTCACAGCGTGTATCCCGAGTCTGAAGGGAGTCATCGACAGTCTCCTTGGTTCCACCTCCGTGGCCGCGATTCAGGCACCATACAATTTGGCCTCATCAGGGAAGGGCGGCAGCAGACTTCAACCAACAAGTCTGTTGATCGGCAGCGGGTCCAACACGAGACCGGGGTCGCATCTGGCCAGCGGCACAGGAGATTCAAGGGTCGCAAGGGCTGGGTTGGCGAGACCACCCGACTGGTCGATCGGTTGCGGGATCCGCGGCTATGCAGATAAAGAAGATGTCGGGTGCAGTGAGAGTGTGCGGAAATTGACAGAAGATGGTGAATTTGGGGCTTCTTGTGATGAGAGGCGAAGGTCGAGCTCACAGGAAGGATCTTTGAAGTCTGCTGAGGCTGAGTTGCGATTGTAATTCCGGAGCATTTCCTTTCGTTTAAATAAATACTGATAGAACCAAGGCCGATTAAGGTTTTGAGAGAGATTTCTTTGGTTCTGAATCGCACATCTGTGACGTTGGACAGGAAGAAAATTTGCAACTCATCTTACCAAGTATGTTGAGATAAAGCAGTCATCAGTGAGCCGGGCAGCATGACTCCCTCACAACTTCCTGGACCTGTTTGCATCAACCCACTTGGATGAGTCAAGTATGACCTAGGAGCTGCTGAAGAATTCGCAACAATTCATTTCACTTTTCTGTGTGAGAGCGAGCATGGTAATCCGATGGAGCGAATGAGATGAAGAGATCTCACACCGTTTCCCCGAGGTGGCGCGATCCTACAGAGTGCTGCGGGTTCGGGGATCCGGAGTAGTGGAGATACATCCACCAATTGACCCGCTCTAAGTACAGTATCCGGAGTCGACGGGAGTCGGAATGCATTGCCGGCGTGAAAACTTTCTCTTCTTGTTGCAGTCGCACGGACAGTTGTGTAAGCTGGGTTCTTGTCCTCTCATCCCTCATCCCTCGCTCTCGCGGTGCAGGACGGCCCGATCCCAAGACGCGTTTGACACCACCCAATCCAGACGGAGAAAGCAAAAGAAGAAGAGACAAAGAGCAAAGCAAGACAACCTGGAAGACACACAGACTCCTCTGATGCACCTCAGCTTTGGGCTAATCAAAGCAAACCTTACGGGAACCTAAAATCCTCAGCTGGGCCCCTGGCTAAGGACCTAATTAAAAAAGCAACACCTGCCACCTCACCTTTTCGCCGCCCTACCCTTCCGGTGTCATCTCACACCCTCGTTCTGCGACCGAAAGTAGAGCCGTTCCCCCCCGCCATGGACCCCCGCGACCGAGACGACCGCACCGGCGAGACCACGCCGTTGCTGTCGGATCAGCCGCATCACAAGCCGGACATTGAACCGGCGGGTAGCGGTGGTTGGCTGTCGGAAGCATGGCTCCTCTGCCGGTACTCATTACCTCTCATCGCCACCTATCTGCTGCAATACTCCTTCACTGTCATCACGACATTCGTGGCTGGCCACCTCAGCGCCGATGACCTCGCCGCCGCTAGTATCGGTCTGACGACCATGAACATCATCGGCCTCGCTATTTACGAAGGGATGGCTACTGCCCTCGACACCCTTTGTGCTCAGGCCCACGGCTCCGGGCGCCTTACTGCCGTCGGCCTCCATGTTCAACGCATGCTCATTCTCATGGCCCTCGCCACCGTGCCAATTGGGCTCTTCTGGGTATTTTCGCCCTCGATTCTCTCACTGTTTGTCAAGCAGCATCACTTGGCCGTCAAGGCCGGCACATTCCTGCGCGTGAGCCTGATCGGAATGCCAGGTTACGCCGCCTTTGAAGCCCTCAAGAGGTTCCTCCAGGCCCAGGGCGACTTCAAAAGCGCCATGGTCGTCCTCATCATCTGCGCCCCTATCAACGCCCTCCTCAGCTGGCTCTTCGCGTTCAAGCTGAACATGGGCCTGGAGGGCGCCGCCCTCGGTCAGGCTCTGGCCAACGACCTACGTCCCGTCCTCCTGCTCATCTACATCGTCGTCTGGGGCCAGTGGTCGCACCAGTGCTGGGGTGGGTTCTCTCGCAAGGCCTTCACTGAGTGGAGCGTGCCGGTGCGGCTCTCCATTGCCGGATCGGCGGTTAACCTGGGCGAATGGGCTGCCTTTGAGATCCTCACGCTTAGCACATCCTACCTGAGCACCGAGCATCTTGCCGCGCAGACTATTTTGACGACAATCTCTGTCGTCATGTGGCATATTCCCTTCTCAATCTCGGTTGCCATCAGCACCCGCATTGGCCACCTGATCGGCGGTGGGCTCGTAGCGACCGCTCGGCGAGCCACGACCGTATACGCCATCGTCTTCACCGTTGTCGGTGTCCTAGACGCTATTCTCATCTTCCTGTTCCGCCACCAGCTCGCCCTCGTGTTCTCCGAGGACGCCGAGGTTCAACGGCTCACGTCCGACTCCATGCTCGCGGTTGCGGCATTCCAGCTCATCGATTCCATCATCAGCGGATGCAACGGCGTACTGCGCGGTCTCGGTCGACAGGCTGTTGCGGCTTTTGTCGTCTTTGCCGTGAACTATCTGGCTGCAGTACCGCTCGCAGTCTGGCTCGAGCTGGGATCACCGGGCTTAGAGCTGGATGGTGCCTGGATAGGCCTCGGTGGCGGCATGGTTGTCATCGCCATCATCGAGTGCATTTACATGAAAGTCATCCGATGGCAAGACTGTGTCGAAAGTGTTAGAGACAAAGAAGGCATGTAACGGATTCATTCCAGTTCAAAAACAAGCGGGTTAGCATACATATATACCATAGACAAGTTAATTAGACTTTGTGATTCTTACGCTTCATTGGTCCCAAGGTCAGACCGACTCTGGTCAGTTCACAATATTCCTGTCCGTGTTTCCACTATCAACCGCAAAGAGACTTCATTTTGGCAGCACCGTTATCCTTAGTTTCCTCTTGAATCTGCCGCTAGAGAATGTTATTTTGGTGACATATGCAGCATGACAGCATTTGACAGTGGTGTTGAGACGGAGTCGCGGGAAAGAAAAGACCGGACCGTCTCAGCCCGCTTTCAGTGGAGCCTTTTGTTTGCCTTATGTCAGCGAGACTTCATTACAATGCAACGGTGCGATGCAAAGTGTAACTATAACCCAACTGGTGATGTGCTCAGGAGAAGTTGCACCTTCCCGTCTGTAAATATCTTCACCCTTGAAGCACGACCTTCATCAGCAACTTGCTGGCCGGCTCCATCTCGTCGATAACGTGGTCGGGGACTCCTATTCAGTTTGGAGGCATTTAACCTTCCTCGTTGTGCAAAGAGCGCCCCTGTCCAACCGGTCTTTCTGCATCACCACTGTGTAGAGGTTCGCCAACGTTGAGAAAACACGATGTCGGGTACCGAGGTTCAAGCCCATCCCGATGCGGACTAGAAGTCACAGCCGCGTACGGTTTGTCTCGATCTTGACAAGGCGCGTTTGCCTAAAGAGAGCGGCTTAGGCCTGGAGCAGGACCACTCGAATGCGGTGAAATTAAACGCAGTCTCAAGGACATTATCAAGGTCAGCAAGGGGGAATGCCAAACTTGTCACGCAATCAAAGTTGCCATTATTTTTTGGGTTACCGATCTCGACGTTCCCAAAGCTTCTTGATGATTCGGTCGCCTTGCTTGATTTTTCTGAGACTGTCAGTGTGACAGCATTGGTCGAATATCGAAACGATGCGAACGAAGTCGTTGAAGCGACGGGCTTGGTCGACTTGTTCACGAAGCCAGGTAAGAGAATGATCAACGTGGAGTGACTCTCGGAACGGATGTTAACACATTCAAAGACAAACCGCTGCCGTGGAAGTCCATCCGAGTTCGAAATGAGATTTATACCAAGCCAGACTCCGAGCATCGGCAGAAGACGATCCGTGTATTGGTCGATGAATGTGACGCCAAATGCAAGCATGTGGCAAGAATTGTACCCGGGTGCGCCTGGCCTTGCTCCTCGACGGTTTCTAGAGATTGGGAAACCCCCGCGGAACGGGCCCTCCTATATCACCATCGTCCATGGGTACGCCGGTCCGTTGCCGGCTCCTTCATCGTCAACAACCTCGGAAAACCTCGAGGAGCGCGAAAAGCGTTTGCACTGGTGGCAGATACCTGTGGCTCTGCAAGAAGTCATCACTATCGCCAGCGTATTAGGCGCCCAATACATTTGAAGATAAGATTTTTGCGTCATTCAAGATGTTGAAGCAGACGTAAATTGGCACCTGGCCCAAGAGAATATCATCTTTGGACGGTCATACCTCACCATCGCCTTGACAAATACCGAAGACATCAGGTTGAGCAATTTCGGCTCCGAGCGAAAGAACAGCACAGCCGGCGCCGATCACGCGGTCAACTCCATTGCCATTCAAGTCAGTAAATTCGGCCGCACGCATCACATCCATGCTCGGCAGGCTATGCACTGGAACCATGTTGCATTCGCCAAGAAGGCCATGCTGGCACCCGATGAGGATGGTGAAAATTACAAAATGTTGAACGTGGTGGAAGAGCCCATGAGGCTCTTCAAGCATGCCCCTGCGTTCCAACGCCTTTTGCTGTCTCGCAGGCTGCTCTGTCTGCACAAGTCGGAGCTGGTGTGGGACTGCCTCAGACAGCCCAGCTGCGAGTGCGGTGACCCAGTTTACTTTAGAAAAGGAAATCGACCGCCCGTCCTTCAAAAAGCCGTCTGGATTTCGAGAGGGTACGCCCAGAATCCCGAACGTGTGCTCGATCTGTACAAGGCCATGATGCCGTCCAACCCCGAAGAGAGGCTGACAGTTGTCGCTGGCCTCTTTCAACACATCCTCCGTCTCGATGGAGCACGATACTTCGTCGGCATGATAGCAGATTCATATGCAGAGCTAGGGCTGAGCTCCTAGGACCATCCTACCGCTCGAAGGGCCGCAAGGAGATCAAACTAACCAACAATCTCCATCTACCCCAGACGCATATCGACATCACACCAGTCGCATGCCGTCATGGTCCTGGGCATCCATCATCGTCAGCAAAGGAAGAAAAATTGCGAAATCATGTTTTCACGTGCCAAATCAGGTGTTCAACTATTTGGCTTGCGAGGAGACATTCGATTCGCCAGGACTGGAGTGTGACAAATTGCCTGGAGCCACCGATTTTCTGGTGGCCGGCAACTACCGCATGTAAGCCAAAGCGCAAGTTCTGCCGGTCACCGTCGTGCCGCCAAAGGGCACAAGACTCCAACCGCCACATCCTTTCAGCTGCTACGGCGGCGAAGTCCCGGATCCCAAATCATCCGTCGTTTGCCGGTTTTTGCCAGACTGCGTGCGGTTTCGCGAATCCGTCCAAGAAAGTGACAGATTCAAACGTTACCTTATGCTGCTAGGTGACATGGGGCAAGTTGCCATCAACGAAGCAACGGGGGAGGCATCGTCAGAAAGAACCAATATGCAGGATATAGGCTTGGTTCTGTGAGAATCGCCGCGTGAATAGGGTGCTTTCGAGCGGGTTGGAACGTTTGCAGTGCCACAAAGCCGCAGCACGTTTGCGAATGTCGCGGTGCGTGACCTGATGCTGGTCTAAAGCAGAACGGGGGACTTGTAGCTAGACTGTTTTCCTAGGCCGAGTTTGACATAAATTCATGGCAACTGTTCCGAAAATGTCAGCGTTCTCATCACAATTTTGAGGATTTCCTCCCCCTCGTAGAGAGTACAAGGTTTCAAGAATTTGCTGGTGGACAAAAAGTCGCGGTGCCGGAAGCGGGGTCCCCTCGGCCATGAAGACATGTATAGTGCTCTAAAGTCTGTTAGACTCCAAGCACCGATTCAAAGATTATTAGGCACCTGACTTGCCATGACTTATCTGAAGTAGTGATGACTGATGATTCGATCAAGCCTTGCAGAATTATGCACCAGGCGCTAAACTAAACGTCGACGCATGTTCAGAGCAAGACCAAACCCCTCATGTATCTGTGAGTCCATACAGAGAAGGTACATATCACCTACCAACTACTTCACAGGCACAACAACAAAAAGAAAGACTATCTATCATAGAGAGAAGTGAGGTCTCTCAAAATGCAAAAGAAGAGACGCGATCGGTGGGACTCGAACCCACAGCCTTCCGATGATCTTTTACTTGTAAAAGTCGGACGCTCTGACCAAATTGAGCTACGAAAGCAACCGCTGTTGGATGGCGATTCCCACTCAGATTGGGGCTTAGGTATGTTGGCTGTAGACCGGTGGAGCCCTTCAATGGGTCCGGTCAAGTCCGTTCTGCCCAGCTCAGCTCAGCTCAGCCGAGGAGCCGGTCTTTGCTGGTCTCTTGTTGACTCATCTTCCGGGTGACACAAGAGTTTGGGTATGAGCCATTGTTGTTCTAGTGAATGAGTCTATACGACGTTAGCCTGTCATTGTCACCCAATCTCGTTGCTCAGATCATGGCTCAAGTGGCGGCTGTTGGGAGGCCTGTTGTTGGTAGGTAAGCATCCTCCCTTGCAGAAGACTAGCTACCATCCATGAGCTCACCTGCAAGCGCCGCTACCAGCAACAACCGCTCGGATCGATAGCTCAGTGGTAGAGCGAGAGATTGCAGTTTCTCACCTGCAACTATCTCTAGGCCCCGCGTTCGAATCGCGGTCGGTCCTTGAATTCTCTTTTGGCATATCATGCAGATTGACTGTGGAAGAGAGGGAAAGTTTGCTATGTTTTTGTTGTGTGCGTCTCCGCAAATGGGACTCGCTTCGCATGCATTTTGGGGTTGTCCACTTAGAGTTGAGCTAAAGGGTCCACCATTATGTAAATGACTCGGCGGGACCTCTCAACTAGAAATAGAGCGAATATGGATAAAGTGGAATCAGTATCATCACAAGTCTTCATAAGTGTGGTGCATATGTAGATGCTTGATAGGTTCCCTAGGCACTATCGTAGAAAGACTGAGTTGTGAAACTCGTGGACTTGTATCAAAGAGGCACCATAAGAGCGGCACTCGCCACCACCGCGACCCCCCAAACAGCCTTGATAACACCAATGACCATCGATGAGCTGGCCTTGGAGGGAACTCCAGAGCTGGGCGTCTCAGTCGCACCCGTCAACGAACCCTCCCCGGAAGCAGCAATTGAGGTCTGAACTACATTCTCAGAGCCTTTATTCACGAGCGTGATTCCAGGCGTGATCAACACGCCAACGTAGCTCGTGCTTCTCTCCGCGTCAATCGTCTCTGTCCTCGGCAACAACGAAACAACCGAGCCCTTCGTCGAGACGGAGTTGCCCGTGACGACTCTCCCATGGAAAGTATACGTGCGTTCCACGAGTTCTATCTCGTTTACGTTCAAGAACTGGCAACCCGTAGTAGCCGTGTAGGCCTCTCTGGCGGTCGAAGAATAGCAGTTCCCATAAAATCCCCCAGTATAACCACTAAGAAAGACACACCATCAGACCTGTCCTAGCCTTTGAGAAGAAAACTAACTACAAAAGATGCCGGACTTACCTCGGACAGCACACGACCACAGTCTCCGAAGGCTCCATCGCCGACATGAACAAATTCGGCGCCAACTCGAACCTGGGATTAATCTCCGATGCAATAGATGTCGTCGTCTGTAAATCGACCGTCACCGTCGGGTCCGCAAAGACGCCGCTCAAGGAGTGCGAGGACGTCTCGTCGCGGACGCCGTAGCCTACGGTGGCCCATCCGGAGGGACACTGGCTGCCCGGGGAGTGATGGAAGAGGAAATTCTGGGTAGAGGTTCGGCGTGAATGGTACTCCGAGTTCAGCAACTCGCCGGAGGGGATGCAGTCGTCGTACGGGTCGCGGTCGACTTGGCAGGTTTGTAACCAGTAGGCCACACTGGGGTCAATCAATCGAGCTAGCGCTGGGGTTGGCGTTGCGGTTGCGCATGATGCTGGGGCTGTCCATATTGTCGTTAGGGGTCCTAGGTTGAGGAGACTTGTGCCGGATAGAGTGGGCGTTGGCATCGTGAAGGTAAGTAAGAAGCGAAAGGGTGACCAAGATCTTCAACTAGGCACGGACTGACATTGCGTGAATTTTTAGGACATCAGGGGATATTGAGATGGTATACATATTGTTGCCTGGGGAAGCATCTGACCTGATGGTTGATATTACCTACGGCGCAGCCCAATCATCACGCATTATTACCCCAGGTAATAAAATCCTTGTGAGAATGGTCAATTCTCATTGCTGGGATCTCTCAATGCAACCGCCATTTTAACCAATAACATACCTCGTGCCAAGGGGATTTTGGTTGGTCGTTTTAACATTATTTACATGAGGGATCAACAAGAACGGGGTTTAAGCTCAAAGGCTTGATAATTATCTAGGCTTGGATAATAGCATCACTCACGGCAAGTGACTCTCAATCGCTGCACCCGATCTCGATACCTTTTGAAAACAGCTTGCCTCCAACAGGAATGAATCCAGCAAGAGCACCAGCAATACTCCCAACCCAACCGCATCCACCACTCTCCGAGTTGGCAGTCGCAGAAAATTCAATAATCAAGTCATCAGGCTGCAGCTGACCGTCAACGTACGCCGTGACCCGCAGCGATGACGGGACCTTGTGGCCCCAGGTATGGTTCATGCACTGCGCCAACCCGGGCGAGTTCTCCTTGCGGCACGGGTACTGGCAATTCCTCGAACTCTGGGGACCACACGCCGCGTCGGACGTGTACCCAACGCCCTCCATCCACGTCAGTCCCCGACAGCCGTTGAAGACCTCGTACCCATACGGGTCCGACACCCTGCTCAGGACCTCCCACATGGACTGGACGAGGCCGTCGCGCATTTCGTTGCCCTCGAGACCAGGTGTCTTGCCCCAGGCGCCGTTCATCTTGACCCGCACCGTCACGTCCGGGTCGTAGTCGTCGGCGTGCGTGCACTCGTTGGTCTGGGCGCCGGTAGAACGGTCTGTCATGATGGCCCTGGTGTTGCCGGACTCTCCGTAGATGGTTTGCCATGTTACGGCGAAGAGGTCGAGGTTGCCGACATCGATCATTCTGTCGCTGAATCGGACTTCCATCTTAACTTGAAACTGCGCCAAGGCCTGACCGGCCAGAGTGGCGAGGAGAAATGTACCGATCGTCTTCATCTTGGTCATGGGGGTCTGGAGCACGATATCAGCTTTGACGCTTAGGAACCAAAGTTATTAGACTCTGAGCCTACGAGAGCTTACAGTAAAGAGATCGGAGGATGTTCAGATCATATGACATTAGCGGACACTCTCAAAGATATATGATAGTAAGCTGTATTCGAGGCTCGATCATAAGATGGACATGGAGTCCTTATTATACTTGGGCTGTTTTCCATTCCATCTCACGATGATCGGGAGTCTCCTTTCACAAAGCTTGCCGATTATCGAACTCAATTTCCCAGGCTCCGGATATCCTGCTCGGAAAAGGAACTGCAGTGTGATGGCCTGACAGGTTGATATCCATAACCCCATAAGTCTTCCGTCTACAGGCGCCTCCTGGCAAGATGATTGGAAGCAATTCAAGTCTGCCAAACAAAGGTACTCCCGAATTTCTCGTTACCAACTTTGAACCTGCCCAAAAGGTGTCCGCGTTACCCAGTCGGCCAAGGCATGGGAATTGCGCACCTTGAGGAATAAGGATTTCACGGCGCAAGCATGCCACGTTTCTGACATGTCAAATCCCATCGGCTTAGGATACCAGGAATGAAAGGACTTTCTCCACGTCGGAACCGGGGGCATGGCTTGGATACATCCCGTAAAGGAAGTCTGGAGTCGCATTGACGTACGGAATTGGGAGCCCTCCCCATTTAAACCACTATTCACGATCCAAAGGGTAGGAATCTCAATCAAAAGTTCCCGTTGACAGGTTGGCCAAGAATATCGAGCGCATGCGCGTTTCAGTTGTTCAAATCAGCACCTCCAGATCAGGCATCTCGAGTCATGAAAACAAGCAGGTGGTGAACAGGTTTGCTAAGAGCTTCATTTTTGTTTCTTTTGCACAACACTACTGCAGTATGATGGAGACTGAGACGACATAGAGTTCATATCTTCAATTATTCGCTGAAAATTGTCAGTGCTGTTTGAGATACAGCTATCATCTTCATATTTTCTTGTCACAAGGCAAGATGACATTGATGTTTCCTTGAATTTCAAAGCTGTAGATTTGCTTCTCCTCCTTCAAATAGTGCACATTGTCACAATATCCAGGAGCAGCCCCCTATCAACGTGTCCATGTTTACCCATCACACGGACCTCCGACCGCATTTCCAAAAGTGTGCTGCCCACCACATGCAGCTGTGGGCACCTCGTGCCATTTCTCTTCTAATATTTACGCTTATCCGCTTAGATCCGTTCCTAAGTGGTCTTATTAGGGGTTGGACCCAGTAGCCATCGTGGCATTCCGATCCCAAGTCCTCGCCCGCTCGGGAACTCGGTCTTGGTATGCCCAACTACCCGCAAGGGTCGGGGGCTGCGAGTCATTTCGATATCCATAGGGCTGACTCGTGCAATTACGGCGGCGAGATCCGATGTGGTGCTTGTATGTGGTAGTTTGTATAAGTGCAGAGTTCTAACAACCTGGAGGTCTCATTTCTTCTTTAAGTATCCGCAAGTCGATGTGTATTCAACTTGGAGATGCGCATTCAGCGATAGCCAAGATTAAGTGGATTGAGTATAATTTTAGCCCGAGAGGCCGACTAAGTTCCCAACAAGGGATATCAATCGAAGGCCCTGATTATTTGTCTTGTGAACTCTAATGGGCAGTCACTTTATGGCCTTGGTAGGGTATACCACAACGCATTGTATTGCCCATTGAAAGAATTCAGGATGTTACATTGCAATCAATTGTGTCTACCTAATCAGTCGACATGAGAAAGACTTTCAGTATGGGACAAGGCTTATGCTTATCTGGGGAATTCCCCTCATTAATAGACTCATTATGGGCAAAGAATCGCCAAGCTCCAACTCCACGACTCTAGGTGCTCCAATGATATCTTACAGAAGGTGCATTTGATCGATCACCATCATCCAGTGTCCCTTTTCCGCCTTGTTTCAAACGTTCCAGAAAACATTCAGAGCGAAGCTGGCGGGCGAAAGTATGCAGAGGCGCAAAGTTTGGACTTCCACATGGCGTCCACCTTGTTGACTTCAAGTATGTGACGGCGAGGAGTGATCAATTGGGAAGGCATCTATCTCCGGAAGGAGTAACTTGTCATTCTTAATGTTGTGGTCTTTACCATGGCTCACTATTTTTCCTTCTCTGCTCACTCAGGCCGGAGGAAGGAATAAGTAATAGGACATCAACATGAGATCCGGAATCCAATAAAGTCACAACAAAACAGAATCATTTGCAAAATTTCACAACATGCCTCCAGCAAAGAAGAAGCCTGGCAAGAAGAAGACGAGACTACACAGGCCATGGCCGAAGCCGAGTAAATGCTCTGATAACATTGGTAAAGTCAACAAAAGGCCATCTCTAGCTCCAAGAGGAACAGTCTACGTTTGAGCTGCGTCCGAATCCATCAACACACCATCACCCTTGACTGACATCCTCCTCGCATACACTCTCTTCGCCCACTTATACGCCTCAGCACCAACCATGAAGATGAAAACATCGACAAAGACAATTGCCCACTCCCAACTGATGCCATGGTGCATAAACACCACATGATCCAACACGGGTATATATAGCGTCGGAAACACCATGAAGAACACAACCGTCACAGACAAGAAAAGAAACTTATTACCCCAAAGATGCTGGCCCCAAGCCTTGAAGCCCGCTGGCATGTAAAAGAGGGACCGTCGCGAATCGATAAGCTCCCAGGCGAAGAGAAGAAAGATCCAGGTCATGGTGGTATAACTCGTGGCACGAGCGCGGAAGACGGGCTCGCAGACGGAAGAGTAAGCGTTGTTGCAGTCGATGCCGAGGTTGCCGCCGTTGAAGCCGAATATGACGAGGGTAAAGGCTCCAAGGACGCAGCCTGCCATCAGGAAACCGTAGACTACCATGTCGAGGAGGAACTCATGCGTGAAGACGCCGTATTTGAGCTAAGACATCACTGTCAGCAATGGAGGTACCACGTGAAAGGTTATGTCTGAATAAGATACTCACATTCTGTGGCGGACGATTCAGAATATCTGGGACCGCCTTCTCGAACCCAAGCCCGGTCTCGCAGAAAGCACCCGTCCCCAGCAACATCCACAGAATCTCCACAGGCGACAACAAAAAGACCGACGTATCCGTCTCGTCCTTGAACGCCAACCCTGTAAGCAGCGCAATCACGAAGCCAATGTTCGCCGCCAAAACGTGGAGGATGAACTTTTGGATATTATCAAAGATCCGGCGTCCTTCCTCAATGGCGTTCAAGATGGAGGCAAAGTTATCATCCGTCAACACGATGTCGGAAGACTCCTTGGCCACGTCCGACCCAGAGCCCATAGCGATACCAATATCGGCCCGCTTCAGACTCGGGCTGTCGTTGACTCCGTCCCCGGTCATGGCGACGTACCGGCCGCGACGGTGGAGGGCTTCAATCATCCGGACCTTCGTACTCGGCGCGCATCGCGCCACCACCAGTGGCAACTCCGGCAGTTCGTCAATCTGGGAGTCGGTCAGGGCGTCAAAGTCGTGCGCGGGCATGACCATCGCCTCAGCGACATCGGCAGCGAGTAGCCGAAGCTTTTCAGGCGGCGGTAGGATGCCGACCTCTGTGGCGATGGCTCGAGCAGTCTGGGGGTGGTCTCCGGTGAGCATGTGGACGACGATGCCGGCGCCTTGGCACATCTCGACGCTGGGCCGGGACTCGGGACGGGGTGGGTCGTAGATGCCGATGAGGCCACGGAAGGTGAGATCGAGCTCGAATGTGTTGCGATTCGGGGCTTTGCCGTTCACGAATTGGGCTTCTGAGATGTTGCTGCTGAGAGTTCGGTGTGCGAGCGCGAGGACACGCAGTCCTTGACTGGCTAGAACCTCCATGTTCGATATGATGTCTTTCCTGTCACTGTCGGTCAGGGTGCGGGTATCGGAGCCGTACGCGATGGTGTTGCAAGAGGTCAAGACACGCTCGACGGCACCCTGTAGAGTCCTTCAAGTTAGTACTGTGCCTGTGTTGAAAAATGTTTGCCAGCTGAGAACTACCTTTGTGAAAATATGCATCTCTTCCGATGCCAAGTTCTTGAAGATGACGGACATCTTCTTGACGTCTGAGTCAAAGGGGAACTCTGCGATCTCTTTCCAAGAAGCTCCTGGGCCTTGGGACAGCTGCGGCCTGTTCCAGCCAAAGCGAGACGCGAACACCTCAATAGCAATCTCAGTGGGTGCTCCACTAGCCGTCCACTCCTCAGATCCACTGAGACTATCAGTGGTTTGCTTCAGCGTTGCCAGATTTGCTAACGACGCAACATTCAAGAACCATTGCAGAGCAGGCTTCTTTACAGGCTCATGGCGCGTATCGATCGACTCAGTCTTCTGGTCGTTCTGCTTCTCTGACTCGAAGATGATGTCCTTTGGTTGACCAACCGCCAACTGGACTTCACCGGCAAAAGGGTTATATACGTCGTTCGTGGCGTGGACAGAGTACGTGCCGCATCCCGGAAGCCATGCCTTGCGGACAACCATGCGCCCTTGGGTGATCGTGCCCGTCTTGTCGGAACAGATATCTAAGATGACCCGCAGTTAGTGACTCGATAACTGACAGGCTTTCCATTAACAAAAGTGACAAAGGAAGGATCACGAACTAGTAACTCCCCCAAGCGCTTCCAAACTCGAAAGATTCCGGACAATAACGTGACGCTCAAGCATCTTCTTCGTGCCCGCAGCCATAGTCACCGTCAGAACCAGCAAAAGCGAGACAGGGATCGTCCCAATCGCAGTAGTAACCGCGTAGATGATGACATCCTTTCGAGAATCAAACTTGTTGACACCGAGAACAATGATTGCGCAGATGATGGCAAGCAAGAACAACCACAGAAATAGCTGAGACAGCTTTCTTTGCAACGGTGTGCCGATCGTTAGTCCCAGGAACTCACCGATCCACGATTTGATAGCCATGTACCCGGCGGCAAAGTACGCAAAGACCGAGGCGCTCCCATCCTCGTTGCGCTTCACCCGCGATAGGGCCTTGTCCCCCGTGCCGCCGTTCAACGCACCAGCAATCAGACCAATCTCGGTAAACATGCCGGTAGCAAACACGACGCCGCGCCCGCGACCCTTGGTGATGACCGTGGAGCTATACACCACATTAAGGCGATCCCCAGGGCCCGTATCTTCATCAAAAGCTGAGCTGGGCATCTTGGAAACGGGCGCGCTCTCTCCAGTGAGCAACGCCTCGTCCGCTTCCAGGTTGACAGCCTCAATGAGTCTGATATCCGCTGGTACCGAATCGCCCGTGTTCAAGTCTATGATATCTCCCGGTACTACATCTGTGGTCTGTATCTCGATCGTCTTGCCGTCGCGCACGACTTTGCAAGTCGGTTTGCCGAGGTTCTTTAGCGAGTTGATTGTCTTTTCGGCTTGGAGGGTCTGGAAGAAGCCGATGAAGATGTTGAGGACGATGATGCCGCCTAGGATGCCACCTTCGATCCAGGCTTGGATGCCGAAACTTGCACCGAGTGCTAGTAGGAGGACCTATTTTTGATGGTTATTAGCTCGCAATTTTGCGGCTGTTGGGTCGGCTGCGTCTAAATGACAACTTGAGAAGTGCGAATATAGCTGCACGTGTTGGGCTTGAGAGACAACTTACCAAAGTCATGGCATTGAAGATCTGCTCGAGAAAGATTTTCAAAGGCTGGACGCCCTTTTGTTGACGAAGCTCATTGCGCCCCAGTTCCGCCAGCCGATGGACGGCATCTTCGAGGTCCAGACCTTGACCTTGGTCGACATGAAGTTCCTTGAGGACCTGAATAGCCTCCAAAGAATGAGGTGGTCGAGAGAGAGGCTTGTTGGATTGTCCAGAGACATGTTCCTGGAAGGAGTCCGTTGTCTTCTCGCTTGCCTTCATGGCTTGTGTGTCGCCCCCAAGTTTCAAGTCTAAAATCAATTTCAGAGTCTAATGAGGAGAAAGCAAAACCAACTTCAATCTTGGCTATGCGCCGTGATATTTGTAAAGCGGTATCATCTCGCCTCTCGCTTTTGATCTCCACGCCAAATTCTTCGCTCTACTAGAAACTACGAAAGTCCAAGTGCATCATATCCTTCTCTCTGCTCGTCCCAAAAAGGCAACCAAGACTCAGCGGTAACAATGAGGAGAGTTGGGACCACATTCACAGCTTTGCTCATTCGTTGGTTGAACATGCTGGTATTGCTCAGTTGATGAAACCTGCGAGGTGAGTCCGAATGTCCGGCTGCCATTACGTGTGGTGTACGTAACAAAATCTATAGTCATTAGCTTGTTCCTAAGCAGCTTGACAGAGACTCGAGTCAATTGACCATTCTAGAAGGTCTCCAAAGCTGTAGTAACCGGTGTCAGATGGGCTACGAAGTTACTGGAGTAGTCCGGAAGAAAGACATTTGCGTCCAACCTTAGCCTACGGGTCCGGCAGTGGTCCACGAAGTGTATGTACGGCATGTAATTGACTTGCCTAATCGGGCAATTGACGTTTGATTGCAGCTGACTCAGGCGGAGAGAGTTCCCGAGTACGTAACGAGAACAGACCTCTCGGGACGTCGATGATCCCCGGGCGGTGGAACGTGGAACTTGGAAGTGAGGCCTTCCTCTGGGAGATCGTGGAGGCGGGGCGGGCGCTAAGCGGAAAGAAGCAGCCAAGACGCAAGTGAAGGCTTGTTTCCGTTTGCTTCATATGTGGATGATAGACGCCATTTCTTCTGTCTCCTACTAGCACAAGTCATAGATCGTTAGCCTAAGCGACGGTAAGTTGCGGTTGGCGACTTGTTAAAGCAATGTGCGCCGTAATATACTCCTGAGTGAAGTATGGAGCTTAATGCCTTATGAAATACGCGTCGATCCCAAAGCACACGCCAAGACTTTCCAGATGCTGTCACAAATGGCTATACAAGCATACTAATGACGACCTCTGCTTAGGAATCCAGCATACGTCCGGACTTTTGCTACTCCGCATCGTCCTCAACCCAAACTATGTAGGTATTACCAATCTGAAGGAAGACACAACATCAAACCTCACCTCAACAACTCGTCGATGACGGATCATGCCCCATCAACCGCCTCATGAGCGGCGTAAACTTCCCCTCCCCATCCATAAGTTGCGCCGCAGGACTCACAAAGTCGTCAGCGCAGTGTGCCATACACCCAAACCACCCATACTCGTCAATCCACTCCCTCTCATCCATCCACCCGCTCAGCTCCTCCGTAAACGCCTCTACCTTGCCCGGGTCCCGACTAATAGACGCAATCTCCGACACGTTGAGCGGAAGCTCATACCGCTCGTACATGGACGTTAAGTACAGTTTCGCATGCTCAACATCACCGCTGTAATAATGTACCCCAAGGAAATCCGGCCTCATCCTCTTCTTCTCCCCGTCATTCTCCTTTTGCTTGTTCTCATCCTCGTAGACAACTCTCATAAACTCCGCAAGCCACGCCTCGCCCCCGGAATCACTAGCACAGGCCGGCCCAACAAGCTTCTTGCCCCTCTTCTCTCGCAACTCGGGCACGACTTTCTCCAGCCACCAGGCCGCGGCGTCGCCCGGTGAGATCCCCTGCCGTTCCGGCTCGTTGAAGTAGTGGACCATCTCGGCGTCCGAGTCGCGGATCCAGTCCCACTCTTCCGTGTCCAGCTGTGCGCGCGTGCGGATCATGGGGCGGAAGGGCAGTCGGCCTTTGAGTTCTGGGGGGTACCATGCGTTCCAGTTGTGGACGGATTTGAATGGGGTGACTGGAATGGGCGTTGTTGCTGATTCGGAGGCCTTGCTGGTTGTGGCTGACGATGTTGTTGTAGGGAAGAGTTGATCGATTGCGTCTGGGCGGTCGCGGGTGTTGGTGTAGTCCCATAAGAGGCAGCGTTTTGAAGTTATTGGTTTCGCCATTGTCGGAATGAAGTATGCTGGATAGACTGACTGTTGTTCTAGGTAACGTATGTTGCTTGAAGAATGATTGATTGCGATTGTCGAATAAAGAAGTTCGTGGAATGGGGGTAGGTATCGTTACTTGACTGTTCAGTATTGTTGGTTGACTGACAGTCATCTCCCGGAAGCGCGTGCCGCTGCCTTACGTCACGGCCGCCAAAATCAAGTTCGCGGCCACCGGCTCCGATTTGGTAGAGACTCCGCCCCCGGTGGCTTCGTCCACCTTACGCGTCCCAAGTGACCATTGGGACCGGAGCGGTTGCACAGCTACTATGTCGAATGTGTTAGTACTTCAACATAACCGCGAGATTTCATCACAGTAGCTCGGACAAGTGCGTACAATACCGCCCAGGTTTTTAACACAAAAAACGCTTTTCTCTTCCTTGATATATTTTGACAAATAGTGTAAACCCCACACGGAGCAGAACACCCTCTACTTCCTGTTGCGCTGCGGTCTCGCGTTCTTCTCCATTTTCTTCTGCTTCTCCCATCTTGCCTTCCGGATATCCTCGACACCCTTGATCTCCTTGCGACTACCCGCACCATCCTTGTACTGACCAACACGCTTCTCCTTGGCCTCGGCAATCCTCTTCTTGCGTACCTCGTAATCGTCCCGGAACTTGTCGGCCTGCTTCGGCGCCTTCTCTTGCTTGTGCTTGTACTGCCGGCCCGACGGCAGATCCGGTACGTTGCCCTTCTCCAAGCCGCCGACCTGGATCCGCCCCAGCCTGTTGGCCTTGCGCCAGCGGTCGAACCGCCCGCTCTGGAAGCTGGCCGCGATCTTGACACCGCTCTCGCCGCGCACGTACTTGGACCCCTTGGAGCCGTCCTCGTCGTTGGCACGCGCCACGTACTTGTTCTGCTTCTTGTCCCAGCGCATGCCCGCCGCCCTGGTCGGCTCGCCGAAGCCCTTGGCCGTTTCGTCGTTTGTGAGGTCCATTTGCACGTCGCGCGCCGCCTGCACGAAACTCGACGTCTGCGCGCCTGATGTGACGCCGTATCCGCGCTCCTCGGCCGCGTTGATCGTTCTCGGGGTGTAGGACATGAAGACGTCCGAGTCGCGCCAAGAATCCGTCTTCTTCTTCTTGTCCTTTTCGCCCGTGTTGGTGATTGTGACCTCGAGACCGTCGTTGTCGTCGGAATCGTCCGAGTTGTAGGCCTCTGCGGCACCGTCGTCTGCTTCTCCGTCGAGGTCGTCATCCGAGTCATTCTCAGCGCCTCTCAGACCCTCCATGTCGTCGTCCGAGTCCAGTTCCTCCTTTTTGTTGCCGCGGTGTGGTATGATACGTTTCCTCAGCTGCTTCATAACTTCCACTGCCTCACTGCTCGATCCCTTGCCTCCCTTTCCAATCTCGAAAATAGTCTCGGCCGGTCTGAAGCCACTAATCTTGGCCATCATGTCGTTGCGGGCTTGTTCCACAGCGCTGGCATCTTTTCCAAACAGGGGGTGAAGTTCGTGCCAGCCCTTGGTTCCCACAAGCTCTCTGGCTCGTTTCGCGCTCTGGCTCGAAGCAGAATGCCTAGTCTTCAGGTACAGCTTCTCAGCCTTTGTCGAAACTTTGCGCAGCGCCTCCAGGTCGCCTTCCTCTTTCAGGATCTTGTCCATCCACTCCATGTTGATTTCGATTCTGTCTCTCTTCAATCCACCAACGACAACGTCTTCGGCGTACGATGGGTTTTCGGTTTCGTGGCCTGCTACTAGCCTCCGGCCAAGGAACAGCTGGAGATCTAGCAGATAAGGTGTGTCGAGTTCGCGCACGATACTGTATGCCCAACCCCTCTGACCAGCACGAGCCGTACGTCCAACGCGATGAACAAAGACCTTGGGTTGCGGAGGAAAATCGTAGTTGATGACATTCGCGAGAACAGGGATATCGATACCTCTGGCAGCGACGTCCGTCACCACCAGGATGTTTGCTCTGCCATTTCGAAAGTTCTCGGTGTTGATGCGACGCGCCTCCTGGTCTAGTGAACCGTAGACGTGAGAAACTGCGTAGCCGGCCTTTGTGAGAAGTTGTGCCAGATACTCGACGTGATGCTTTGTGGCCGCGAAGATGATAGTGGAGTGTTCTGTCGGTTTACCAGTGCCGCCACCTTCACGCTTCCGCTTCTTCGACGGCGCAACATCCAGGGGAACACCGTCGGGTGTGCCTTGAGGCATCTTAATGAGGTCGTTGAGAATGTGAAGCAGAGAAGCCTCCTTTTCGGCTCCCTTGACGGAGAAGAAAGCACTCTCGAGATCGGGGGAAACCTTTGTCTCGGCATCCAATCTCACCAGGCTCGGGTCTTGCAAACCGGCCCTCGCAAACTCAACCAAGGATGCCGGCAGCGTGGCGGAGAACAGCAAACTCTGTCTCGATAACGGAAGGGCGTGAAGAATCTCGGTAAGCTGGGCAGCGAAACCCATTTCGAACAGACGATCGGCCTCGTCGAAGACGACGTACTTGATAGACGACAGGTCCAGGCCCATTTCGACCTTGAGATGGAGGAAACGACCGGGCGTGGCAATGACGATATCCGGGTTTGACGACATCATGCTGAACTGGTCCTCCATGCTATCACCACCGACGAGCAGGATGCACTTGAGGTCCGTCCCCTTGCTGAACTCCTTGACGACCTTGAGCGTCTGCAGCGCAAGTTCACGCGACGGCGACATGATGAGCGCGCGCGTGCCGACCTTGGCGCTGTGGGCGCGTAGGCGCTCAATCATGGGGATGACAAAGGCCGCAGTCTTTCCGGAACCGGTTCTCGCCATGCCCACAACATCCTTGCGGTCCAAGATTAGGGGAATCGTCTTTCGCTGAATCGGCGTGGGGACGGAGAATCCCTTCTTCGTAATCGCGCGCAAAAGGCCGGCATTCAAACCTGCGCAACACCAGATGTTAGATCTCTGGCAAACATAACCAAGGTTGTTGTAGCGTTCAGCGACTTACCCATGGCCTGGAAACCACCGCCTCTCTTTACCGACTTTCCCTTGATGTTTGACGACTTGCGGAACGAAGCAGCCTGCTTCAGCGCAATGAACGCTTCGTCGCCGTCATCATCGTCCTGCCCGTCTTCGTGGCCGTTCAGGATTCCGTCCATGTCAAAGTCAATGCCTCCCACATCCTGGCCAGCGTCGCTGCCATTGTCGCTGGCGTCGAACAAGTGACCGGCGATGTCGACCTCTCCGTCAGAGGGAGTAGGAGATATGGCGCGTCGACCCATGGCAGAGTTCTGTGTGCTGTTCTGGCGAGGCCCCCGGGATTTGTGGTCGTAGATTTGGGCCCGTCGAAAAGTTGGTTTTCCCAAGGCGAGGTTTACGAAACGGCAAAGCAGAGCATACAAGAGCTGGCTGGCTCACCTTTTTTCGAAAATTTGGGCTTGAGCGGGACGAGAAATTTCTTATCGGCTGGTCTTATCTTAGCGTCGTGGGGCAGGCGTTTGTAGACAAGGGTCCTTAGCGGGTCCAAGTGGCTGTCACTGAACCTCGTCTCGTGCTCACCAACGCGACCGTCCGCCTTCAACTACCTTACTTCTACAGTCTCAGCCTCATTGTCATCAGTCCACCGAGGCACAGCTGTCAATCCATACTTCTCTCAATAAGGTCCGCGATCATCACCATGGCCAGCGAAGACGTCAAAGAAGAGAAGGACGCACTCGATGCTCTCGAGATCGAGGCAAAGGAGTTTGACAAGGTAAATGCGATCGCCAGACAAAACCGAGGTGCACACCTCATGCTAACGGATTCTTCCTTCCCCCGTTTTACAGGATGCAGAAATCGACAGAATCCTCAAAGCCTTCAGGCTAGACGCCTACGCCGTCCTCGACCTCCAACCAGGCGTCCCCGAATCCGACATCAAAATCTGCTACCGCAAAAAGTCGCTCCTCATCCACCCGGACAAGACCAAGAACCCGCTCGCGCCCGACGCCTTTGACCGCCTGAAAAAGGCTCAAACGGAGCTCATGGACGAGAAGCACCGCGAGCGCCTCGACGAGGCCATTGCCGACGCCCGCATGCTCCTCATCCGCGAGAACAAGTGGACCGTCGACAGCCCCGAGCTCAAGACGGACGAGTTTGCTAAGAGTTGGCGCAACAAGGCGCGCGAGGTGCTCATTGATAACGAGCACCGCCGCCGGCGGCAGATGAAGGCGCAGATGCAGGAGGAGGGCCGCGAGCAGAAGAAGGAGGAGGAGGAGATTGAGCAGCGGAAGAGGAAGAGGCAGCATGATCAGGATTGGGAGGCGACGCGGGACCAGCGCATCAGCAGCTGGCGGGATTTCCAAAAGGGCAAGTCGGGCGATGGGAAGAAAAAGAAGAAGATGAAGCCTATCGGTTGAGTCTGGAATCACGGAATGGGGGCGGGCTCCAATACGGGTTTGCATTGTTTTCTTCTTTTCTATCTACAGGCGAAGGGGTCATTCTTCACTACAGCCTGACAGGTCTCGACTGCGGATTTTCGGGCGTCAAGCATGCATACAGCATGGTCATATCAACGAATCAGTGAGTTTGTTATTTATTGACCACCGCGGTTATGTCCCTAACCATCTCAGAAGTGCAATGCTCGTGTCTCCTCCCAACCCCAAAAGTTCCCCCTATCCCCTTTCGGGGGCTTTTTTTATGTCTACCAGGTAAGCACCTTTCCCTCCCGTCCGTTGTATCGTGGCTATGATTTTCATGATTCCAAAAAGAAACCTGTACTTTTGACACTTCCATCCTTTATCTCCTTTGATGGTTAGTTTCGTGACATGTTAAAATCCAGAAGTTGCCCCTGGATCGCCCATCTTCTTCGAAGCTTTCGTATCCAACCCCGGATCCCCCTCATGCCTTGTTCTTCTTCTTGTACGAGATAAACCGTCCGAGGTTCAACACAGCCTCCTCGGTACGAGTGCGCAGCTCAGGAAGAGTCCGCTTATCAATCGTCTTGACCAAGGCCTTGACCTTGGGCTGGGCCGCCTCGAGGTGCTGGATAAAGTTGTCC